GTGGAACCGTCACAGCACGACAGCTGTATCGTTAAAGCTTAATCACCACCATTCTATTGATTGCACACTCGCCACGCTATTTATTTAAGCGTCTGAATTCGTTCCCCTTGGTGAGTGGGTCCCGCCAAGTTTCCTACCCCCTTGTCCACGACTCACTTGCCCATGGGTTTTCTATGTGGTGAAGTCCACTGAGGACCATCTGATAACACACACACACACACTATGGAAAAGCAACAAAAACAATCCAGCATGTCCAGGGTTATATTATTAACTGCAAAAACAAACGATGGACAATGGTTCCTGAAAAACAGTTCGTGGAATTAGACCTCACGCATATTTTTGAATGTAGATATTTCCTTTCGCGATTAATAAACTATTTGGTGATGCTGCTATGACGAAGGGCCGTTATAATTATGTATTGTTTGATTTAAGGCCACGGTGTTATTGACGAATGTGTTGGGGTTTTTTGTTTGTTAGTGATGATATTCATCTCGTTATCATTGAACAGTTTTTGGGGTGAAACATAAACTGTCAGATTTGGTTGCTTGCATCTCGATTCTTGCGCTCTGGAGGTGGAGTTTGTGTGTCGTGATGAGATGACGTTGGTTCTAGACACACACAATTATTAACTTGTCTTCTTAACCGTGAAAGTGTAATCAAGTCTTGGTTTGTGGTCTTAATTTAGTCATTCACTCGAGTCGACTAAACTAGTCAAACATTTAGCCACTGTTATTAAATGTTGGTGTGATGGGAAACTATTTTTCCCACCCCAATATCATAACTGCCGGGCGGTGGTGGCTATGCACGCCTCTAATTCAGCGCTGTCGAGGTGTGGGTGGGTGGGTGGATGGCCGCACAGATGTTGTGAAAGTCTCTTCACGTGGACGCCAAGTAAGTGTCATACCCTGGCTCTGCCAGAAGAGGGTGTTCCGGCAAAAATGTGGACTCCACCTGTGTCCGATGGCACCTTAATATACAGAGGACCGCAGAGCTTGGGAAATTCTTGGCACCCGCTCGCCACGTGACCAATTCGTTTTCCGCTTGTCTGAATGTGTGTACGTACGTAGCCAACCGTGATAATCGGAGGTGTGGGGAAAGGACAACAAACAAAACACAAAAAATCAGTTCTAAGGAATTTAGTTTTCAAACTAGATGGTTTAAAAGTGCACAGCTCCAGTGGATCCTAATACCGTATCAGAAGCAAGAGCGTTCCAGACGGCCGCTAGAAGCGCATCTGAAAGCGCCGCGCGATGCGTTGAGCGCCGTCTTTCTCCTCGTGCCTCTGCGTCGTCTCTCTCATCGAGAGTGAGGGCAAATCCTGTCCAGTGGCGTGTCACAAGTTGACATCATTATTATTATGATTATGTTCAGTGAACTAATCCTATGTAGCCAATAGCCATGTTCGGTATTGCTCGGCGCACTGCAGTCTCGAATGGGGTTACTGAATTATCTTCGTCTGCGCCTTTTATTCAGACTGCTGTGGTTAAATCTATCTCGTCAGTCGGTCTCGTGCCTTGCGTCTTGGTGGGTGGGCAGTTGTTGTGGTCATCAACACGCTTCACGATGTTCGTCCACTCAAGTCATCGCTGACTAACATTCAATACAAAATAAAACAGTTGAGGACTATTTTCGTCTCAAGTTAGTTATACAAATTACCACCGTCCTAACCGATCTATAGTACGATACACATATACTGTACATACACGCATCTGTCAATGACGTTTTGGAGAAGGACAATTTGATTTCATCAAAGAGCTTAAAATATGGACTTTGTTTTTACCCAGTGTGAAAAGCACAACAGCAAGATGAAAAAGTATCGACGTTCCGATTGTTATCAGTGGGATCATGATCGATGTCAGCACATCGATGTATGGGAACCAAGGCATCGCTGTTGCTGATATATCTGATATATCTATGTTTATTTTTTGCCAATCTATAGGATAACAAACGAGGACATGTCCCCCATATAGCTCTAACGGACTGTTGGGGCAAATGCTGTTCACAGGTATCATCTACGCAGGCCAGCACGGAACACGAGGGGGTGGGGTGGCAATCCGTACACAGCTGCTCACTTGAAGCTGAGTCGACCTAGGGCAGGGGTCAGCAACCTGCTCTTGACTGACTGCCTCGTGGGGTTATTCACGAAGGGGCCATCACCGAGTCTCGGGTTCACCACAAGTGCGTTGCGGCTCGTGAACTCTTGAGGGTGGTTTTGTTTTATACCGAATGCGAAAGAAACTGCCCTCCCTATTCCTTTGATTGCCGACGCCCTCACCTCGGCGGTGTTCGGGACCGGTTCCGATAATCGTCACTGGTTTTTGGTGCTGGTCGTGAATGGGAATCGAACTCGAGTGAGCGGGATTTGTCGAGCGGTGCGCCAACTGCTGCGCCACCGCTCCCCACACCCCGAGCACAGCAAACGCCCCGATTAACGCCTCCCCCCCCCGCCTCGTTTAACGTCGTTTCGCAAACACGTCGTCGTCGCTGTACGATGCACACCGCTACGAGCTCATTTGGAGTCGCCTCAACCCCTCGCTTAGGGGCCGTCCATAAATGACGTCACGCGATTTTGAACGATTTTTGACCCCCCCCCCTCGTCACACGGCGTCACAAAAAGTTTAGCCCCCCCCCCTCTCAAATATGACGTCACAAAGCCCTGCCCCCCCCCCCCCCCCACAAAACCAAATTTCTATTTTGAAAATAAAACATGCTTCAAATCGCTTTAAATTATTGTCATTGTAGTGCGCATTTAATGTACCGCTGCACTCTGATGTTGTATGAGAAAACATTTAATTAAAAAGTATATTTAATTAAGTAGAACGTGTCGTCTTTATTTATTTAATGTTGCGCATTTTGATGTGAAGTCACATTTCTCAAACCCCCCCCTCGTCACACATCGTCACAAATGTCTGACCCCCCGGGGTATTACCTTACAAAAGATCCCCCGTATAGCCTTAACAAACTGCAGGGGAAAGTGCTGTTAGCGAGCACCTATGAAGGCCGGAACGGCCTTTGTCTCCCTAGTGGCGATGTTTACACACCGCACCAGGTACTCATTTCAGGCTGAGCCTGACCTAGGGGAGGCCCAGGACCGGTTCAAATAATCGTCACTGGTGTTGGCCGTGAGCGGGAATCCAACCCGGGTCGCCAGGTTCATAGCGCAGCGCGCTAACCGCTACACCACCGCTCTCCATACCTTACCTTACAAGCACACACACAACACACACATGTGTGCGCTTCTGAGCATCTTTGACCGTCCGTTGTTTTTAGTTGCCTCCACTATTTATGGGTTTGCAAGTCACGCGCACACAGATTCACCTGGAGCGGGCGAGCACGTTGGGAGAGTGAACAGCCCCCCGTTATTGCATTACGTTAACGACTGTGCCTTCATTCAATAATGCATCACGGGCAGGACGCACAGCCCGTGTCAAATCACAGGCGTGGGTTTCCATCACGAACCTCATTACATTAGAAAACGAGAAAAATATCTCTCGAAATCCACGTTGATACAACACAACCTCTGCCACTATATAAAAAAACAAAACTAATTGGGGACATTAAAACAGGACAGGCATGAGACTTTTTGAGCTCTCGTAAATTATGAAGATACATCATGAAAATTGTATAACTTGACGTGTCAACTTTTTTTTTCAGTTCTCCATAAGTTTTAATATCGCGGTGGCTAAGCACAGCGACAAATTGCCCGAAGACATCAAGCGGCCAACAATTATTTAGGGTTCTATTAGATGAGTGTAAATATAGTTATTGAATTGAGAGGCAATAACTTGGAGAAACAGACGATGGGGATGGAAGCCTAAAGTGTCGTGTGATGGAAAGGAGCATGGAGATACATGCTTTCACCTGGAGTATACTGGGGGGACACAGCATGGATTAGACAACAATCCCGTGTAATCTTCTTGGTTCTTTCGGTAAAGTCACGTAGAAGGGAAATAATAAAATAATAAAAATAAAACATAATTAAATAATTCTCACGACGTTTCGGCCACAACGCAAGCAGCCGTCCTCAGGTGAAGAACAGGTCTGTCGGGAAGACAGCGTCAAGATTTGTAACCAATTGTCACGTTTTAAGTGACAAACCTTACTGAATGGCTGTGTCGGGTGGTGGCGGGTTTAACGACACGTTTATATTAACGCGCTCTAACCCAATATTGTTGTTGTATTATTATGGAATCTAAACGCATGTTTTATACTTCTGAGAAATGTGGCTCCTGAACCGTATCGCTGCTGCCACCATGCGTAAAACCCGGAACGTATCACTTCTTTGCCGAGTAAATCCCCGGGTGCAATTCCCATTCGATGTCGTTACTTGTTTTGTTTGTTGCAGATTTTAATGTTTCGTCTCTGATTGTCAGCCTGACGTGGTTGTTATGGCAACTCCGGTGGGGGGGTAGGGGGTGTAGTGGTCAGCGCTATGCTGCGCTACGAAACCGGCGACAAACACCAATGACGATTATCTGAACAGGTCCTGGGCCTCCCCTAGGTTGACTCAGCCTCAAATGAGTACCTGGTGCGGTGTGTAAACATCGCCACTGGGGAGACAAAGGCGGCCGGGCGTGGTGTTGGCCACCCACCCCCTCGTGTACCGTGCCGGCCTTCACAGGTGCTGCTACTCGCTAACAGCACTTGCCCCTACAGTCTGTTACAGGCTACACGGGGGGTTCTAGATTGAAAAGCTTTCGTGACTGCTAGGATTCACGTAGGGAAATAAATAAATAATAAAATATTTATTTCAAAAAATTATAGAAAAATAATAGAAAAAATAATAGAAATCAAATAATAGAAATAAAATAATAAATCATTCGTTTTACCTACGTGACTTTACCGAAAAAAACCTAAGAGTACACGGGGGATCTTTGTCTTTGTTTGGGGGAGAGGGATGGTGGTGGGGGTGGCTGGTTGTAGTGGGGGGTGGGAGGGGGGGGTGGGAGGGGTGTGGGGGGGGTCGTGGGTGGGAGGGGGGGTCGTGACGTCACGCGCGACGCCATTTTATTCCGCCCTGACATAGCGGGCCCCGCGTAACAACAGCGTGAGCCGCCGCCGGCTGCTTCTGGTGGTGGTGGTCGCAGCCCCGCGGACTCATCGCCACTCTCCCAGCAGCCATGGCGCTCAAGATCGTCAAGGGGAGCCTGGATCGCATGTTCGACAAGAACCTGCAGGATTTAGTGCGCGGCATTCGCAATCACAAGGAGGAGGAGGTGAGGCGCCTGGGCCCCTGACACCCCCCCCCCATCACCACCACCCCCCCCCGGCGAGACGCCACCTCGCTCGGTTGGGCCTTTCAGGAAATATCGGAGGCTGTCGCTACGGCCTAGCGGGACTCCCCTGAGGATGCGATCGCCCCCCCGTGTGTTTGTGCTCGTGCTAACGCAATGTGCAATGTTTACAGTCATCAAAGTGATTGTTTTTGTGTCGTTGCCCCCTCCCCGCCTCTGTCTAATGATGCGGCTGTCGTTTGTGGGTTTTAATTCGTGTTTTTGTGGTACCGACAGCGCTTGCCTGCCGAGTATTTGCTTATTAATGGAGCTGTCATCCAAGTCCCCACTCGCTTTTGTACCGTTGCCAATAATGCGGTGTCATTTGGTTCTTAAATAATCTCGTTGTGGTACAGCTGCGGCTACACTCTAAGCACAGTCGCGTTTGTAGAATATGCAATGTAAGGAGCGTTTAGGTGCAATAATATGTGTACTGTACACACGCCCACAATGTACTAAAGCATACTACTGCGTATATTGTCTATGATCACATTTAGTTATAGTGGCAGATTGCCAAATCTGCCTCTAAATGCTACACAGAATCTTGATACCGCATATACGGGGAGTGGCGATCTAAGGAATACTTACACGCAGTATTAAATTATATCAGCTTAATGTGGGTGATAGCAATTTATAATTTGGTTACACATTCTACAACGTGCTATATATTTGTTAGTTGCATTTGTTAATAAGCGGATTCATCCAGTGTACCATATATTTGATGCTCGTGTTTTATAACCACAGTGAATGGTGTATACTGCATGTGGTATAATGCAGAGTCGAGTTTCTGATCTGTTACTACCCATTGATTTCAATTCCCATATCGTGTGTCTTTGTGCGCACGCGTTTATATCAACACAGGAATTGGTCACACATGAGGCCCACCCTATATCGTATAAGAGACTCAATTGCGTCTTTCATGGGTTAAACATAATTTGATATGTATTAAACACAGATTAATTGGCATTGAATATTTTCCAGAGGCCCCGGGCCATCTCCGGTTTTAATTAGGCCCTGGTTTTAACAATGTGCAGTACGTATTAAGTATGCAGATATGATGATGCTTTGTGTTGGTTAAGGCGTGTGTGTGGTAAATACATGGGAGAATATAAGTACCGTATTGTATAGGAAGTACAATGCCACCTGGAGCCGACCAGCCTAATGGAAGTGCTGGACGGTCAAATCGCCCGCACCACACACAACGGCGTGAGCAGGCCCTCATCCAGCAGTGGATTGGCAAAGGGCTGTAGATGCATACGGTTAGATGTAGTAGAACATTTGTGCACCATGCAAACGTGTAGTCTCTTATTCAGCTGCTTAAGCTTTTTCTGAACCAGTGGCTGAATTCTATAAATTATTTGCAAAAAAATGTTCTCAGCTATTTCCCACTGATGTGTAACTTCTGGGACTGACATGCTGCATTTGATGGAGAGAGGGCGACCCTTGTGTGTGAATTCCACGTGTCGTCTTCACCCCCACCACTCACACGTGTGATTGACTCGGCTGTCATTCCCTCCAGCCGAGCGAGCCTCTTTCATACTCACGAGCACACGATTTAGGAATTCAACTTCGCCACTCCGTGGGGGCCATAGAGTACAGCTGCTCCCTGATTGTAATAAAAACACAATGTTTCTTTTGCATTCTTAAACTACTTATATCAATTTGTTCTTGAGAAACACGTTGATGTTTACGTAATCGCACAACTGTTAATCTTTTCTACAAATGAAAGCCAAGTAGAGACCCAAAACATTTTTAGTTAAAGATAACTCGCAAGGCAATTGCTCAAAACGTTCATATTTTTTAGGTGCAACGTATACAGTTTAAAACGTAGGCTTTCGTGACCAATATCGAGGAACGAAACACGAGGATGTATCCAAATCTAGCTGTCCGCCTGACGATGTTAGTTGAAATTACTGACGAAACTTCGTACTCTGTAAGTGTTGTGGATTTGCTCTCCAACACACCGGTGTACTGTACTAGTAACGAATTGGCACGTTCTGTTTACGTGACAAACCTTACGAGCTGGCTGTGTCGGGTGGTGGCAGGTTTAACGACACATATTTACGCGATCTAACCCAAAAAAAACTATATTATGGATGTATGTATACAGTTTACTGTATACACTTGCCAATCCAATTAAAGCAATTGAATTTTGTATGCAACGTAGCACGTTTTATCATGCACACTACAACTCAATTTGGGGCTTTATATCCTCAATAAATATCTGGATTCACACATGCAATGTGTTTCCTTATTGGACATTAATATTTTACCTGATCCCAGCCAAGTTCATTATTTGCTGCATTCGTTGGCAGTCTTACACAAACACAGTTAACAAAGAGCTCAGCACATTTGTTTACAACACATTTTATAACACACATCTATGTGTTATGAAAAAGGGCCATTGCCTGAAACGTCACCCGTTATATTTTTTCGTGTTAAGGCCTGTTCATTGATGAATGTGTCCAGGATAAGAAATTTACCCACTTCATTCGGAATGCAATTTATTTATCATCAAGATGCATTTCCACACTCTATTGTCTGAGAAAGCTGGAGAGAAGCATTCATGTAACTGTCCATCCACCTGAACTACAGTTCAATTAACATCCCAATATAAATGTTATGGGTAAGTACAATTTATCCCTAGACCCTAGCTGTTTGTATGTGTGTCTTCGAATTCCATCGGTAGTAATTTAAATCTGAACCTCAGACTGGACCTCCCACAAGTGCACCTCAGTCTAGTGTGCTGTGTGATCATCACGACTCGAAAGGCAGCCGGCCATGTGAGTTCCTGACCACATCAACAACCCCGTTATACTTTGCCAGAGCAAAGTTCATCAACAGCGATTTGTTTTCAGAGTAATGCTATGGCATAGCTTCCCACGCACATTCATATCATTGTGAGTTCAGTACCCCATTGAGGCTCAATGAAGGCCATCATCTTTCCCATGTAAAAAATAATAATAAGTGCGAATCATAATGGACACAAAATGTATTCGTCATTTTACTCGCACAAGTCAGAGATGTGGGGCAAATCCTGTTGGTTCATGAGGACCGCTTTGTGGGAAGGCAGCAGTGGTTGTCATGTGGAGACACTGTCCCCTACATTAGATTTGCATCATCGCAAACACTGGCTGAGGACCATCATTTGGAGATGAGCACCTCTCATCACCTATTTGAGTGGGGAGGTGGGGGGGGCATGTGTGGACTTTGAACGGGCACCTGCTCCTACAGTCTGTAGTGCTGAAAGGGGATGCTTTTGTGTGTTTACGTGTGCGTGTGTTTGCAGGCAAAGTTCGTCGCTCAGTGCATCGAGGAGATTAAGCACGAATTGAAGCAGGACAACATCAATGTGAAGGGGAACGCAGTGGCAAAGCTTGCCTACGTACGTAGCGTGCATGTGCCAAAGATGAAAATGCACCGCCCTCGCTGGAGATTGTTCTTTGGTGTCGTGGCCTGGTTTATTTAACGTCAAACTGTCTCCCCCGCCCTGAAACGGGCAATGGGCTGGCGCTTATCTATTTTGGCAGGCCTAAGCCACTGGAGGAAATTACACATTACTGTGACAGTCCAGTCTCTTCTGTTGGCTTCCCACAGTGGTACTAATTCGATTTTTTCCTGGAGGGAGATTAGGATTGGTCAACTCCCAACTTGTTTGAAAGAGGCAGCCTTTTGAGTTTCACATGAGCCATCGTGCCACACGTCCTTTTTAATGAAGGAATGAAAATGCTTCTTAAATGTAGGCATCTCAGCAAGCTCTTCAATTAATGTCTATTTTAATTATTGTAATTAATATTATAACTGACATTTTAATGCCATTTGCGAAATAGCATTTTCATTTTACAGTAATTTGGTGTCTACATTTTCATAAATGCATAATAACATATCTTGCACTGGATATTCATGAAAACAAGTGGGATCTCTGTCAATAAATTAATTGAAATGTAATTCACTGGTCACAAGTGAACATGCTTCACACCACAGGGCCCAATTTTGTAAATGAGTCCTTTTTTATGCATTGCAATGAAACACTGCACACAGACAACGCAGTCACTAACTTGCGGACTTTCCCCCACTCTCCGCATTCGTCATGCAGCTCCAGATGCTGGGATATGATGTGAGCTGGGGCGCTTTCAACATCATCGAAGTCATGAGTTCAGGAAAATTCACGCACAAGGTACTGCACGCCTGTCTCCCAGTGACGTAACCAGTCGGAAACCTTAAACCTTGTATATAGTTAATGTTTGATCTTAATGGGTGGATTATCCGGGTTGTGGATTAACCGTGCTCATTTGCGCCTTTTTGATTGCACGCTGGTTTACTCTTTGGCTGATTCTCTCTGAGAGAGCCAGTGTATCTCGGTCCCCACGTGACTGGAAATTCTGTTGGCCAGTAAACCATTTAAGAAGCAATAAAAATGGATGACACATTCTGTCTTCAGGCCCCATTCTGTGTGTTAAAAATAAATGTGTTTCTGTAGCCTGTATATGTGTTCCGTGGTGTTATTATATTATCTGGCCCATCCCTCCGCCCATTACCTTGGACACATCTTAAGTTGACTGTGTGCACAGCTAAACAAGTTGGCATTATGGAGCCACACCTGTTATCCAGCTCTCTCTGGATGAAAGGGTTTGTGAATCTCCCAAACCTTCTGGCTGTCAAGTTGGCTAATAGATTGCGGGAGAGGAAGTGAATTCGTGACCTTGTCTGTTTTAAATCAATGAGTGTTAGCTCTCTTTATTGTGGGTTTCACTGGGTTAATAAGGTTTTCACCACATGAAAAGCACTTCTCGAAAATAAATTTGATAAACATCTCAACCCAGAAGCTTTGTGAAAAAAGAGGCTTGAGGCTTATCGAGATTATATTGGAGAATGAACCTTATTATTGAATTGGATACACTTTTTTTGGGGTTGATTGCTCCTTATCTGAGAAAAATGGGGCTAAAGTGGCTATACATTTGGTAATTATACTTCATGCTAACGTTAGTTTATTAACATAACATTGTCACAAATCACCTTATTTATGCTTTGTATATGTATTTCAGTTCACAGAGCCAGCCTAAAGCACCCTCAGGATTATTATTCTTCATTCACAATTCCTGAGATTCAAATAGCGTGACTGGGTCCATTTATAATAGTTTCTAAGGTTCACTGCCAGCCAAGTCACCAGTGCTGTGTTTACGTTGCTGTCTTTTGCGTGTAGACAATTTTTTAGATGGTTTTTTTGGGCTGAGTTTGCCGAGGATAGGTCCACACCAGCTACACCTACAAAGGGCAATTGGCAGCTCATGATGTGCATGACTCATGGATATAGCCGGAGAGGTTATAGAGTGGCTTTGCTGTCCAGCCTGCCACTGCTCCACTCATGATAAATAGCCAGAGTAGGCCGCATATGACATAGTGACTAATGGTTATGTATAGTCAACATAAAAAAAAAAAAATTGGAATAAAAATTCTCATCAATCGAGCTGGTAAATGTCAATTTAATATTTGCAGTGTGTGACTTGGCAGGATGAATGGATTGTGCAGTGTGCATGCTCTCCGGCATTTGCTGTTATAAATAAGGCCCCGTCGTAATGTCAATGAAAGCAGTACAAGGGAAAGCATTTATCTTTGATCAGCTCTGGTGTGGTGCTACACAAGGGACCAATACATTTCCCCAGCATTGTGGCAAATGACTCGCAAGCACCGACTCTAATATAACTCCATTCCGGACGGCTCGTTGAGCCATTCCAGATTTTGGTTTTCATCCGGCTCTAATCGACGATGGGTAAAGAGAGGGAAATGCAGAAACGCTTGCGTATTTCTGTGCACGCCGGTGTGCCAAGTCCCAGATGTGCTGCAGTGTTTTCTAATTGACCCAGACAATGAGGCACAGACAATGAAGTAAAATAATTAACCGATATCTATAAAAAACTATTAAATAGATACCTAAACATTGAAATGAAACCGTTTGCAGACAGACAGGCAGACAGCTAAATTAAACCATTAACATACACTTAAATCAAATTCATTAACAAATACATACACAGACTTCAACATTAATACATTAAATAGACAAATAGGCATTGACATGTACACAGGAGATCGGCACAGAAATTCAAATAAAACCATGAGATAAATTAATAGACAGCCAAACTAACATGCACTTACTAATTAAACACCCAGACACACAACAGCTGATTAATCCACTGCTGTTCGAAGGGTCCACAGTGATATTTTGGTTTGGTGTGCCACGATCGGCGAGCACGTTAGTAAGCGTGCCGTGGAATGAGAGCGTTTGAGAAGCACTCCTCTGGAGGATCGCCCCACCTCCATCCACACCGATAACACAGAACTAGCTGTGCCTCTGACTGTTATCTTCTCATCACTGGCCACGCAGAGACTTTTTCTTCTTCTTGATATATCCATTTTTATTTTGCTGCTCTTGATTGATTGTGGGAAGGGCCTGTCCTTGCGGCAGAGCCCTGCGCTTAGCATGCATACTGGGTGCCACGGTGGCGAGATGTTAACTATCTCGCCTGGTATGCAGGAATTCGTGGGTTCGATCCCAACCCTGACGCCTGTATATTTGGAGTTTGTATGTCTCTCCCTGTGGTCGCATGGATCTTTCTCCGGGTCCTCCTGTTTTTCCATCCACATTGACACACATGCGTTTACAATATTTGTCTGCTATAAATTTCCTCATGGCAAGCCACTTTGTTGAGCTATCATGTGGCCAGGTCGCTTCTGAATAAGAGCTACACAGCTCAGTGGTCCTTGGATTAAAAAAAAAAATATGGACTATTCCCAGTGTTTGGACACGGACTATCGCATGCAACTTGCTCACCTGCCCCTACTGGACATTTGTGAAAAAGAGCTTGATAGCTCATCAGATTCCTCCAGTATAAATACAGATTCTGATGTTCTATGTTTGGAGGGTCCAGCAGGCCCCACTGATGGCCTGTGCTTAGCCGAAGCGGTGTCTGGCGGCTGCACCCCATACAGGAGCTGGTTGAGGCCCAGCTGGAAGGCTGCCTTCTTGGCAACCCCGTAGGTCCCCCCCCCCTCCCCGCGTGTATCCACGGACTTCATGGCCAGCCCGAGTGCACACCCAGAGACCCCTCGTGGGCACACAGGGCTCGCGTCTACCTTAGCGAGGGGAGCCTGGGCAGTAGCATGCTACAGGGAACATTGGCGATGGTAAGAACCATGAAGTGTGTGCCCTCCGCCACCGCGTTGTGCTGACACTTCTGTGAGCAGTGTGGGAGGTGGCCAGTACTCCCTTTCCATATATCGTGTCGGGGAAGATGAGCGGCGCAGCATGCTGTGCAATTTTGCCCCGGGGCCACTCAAGCGACGCTCCTGGGCGCGTGCAATTGCCTGACGGTCTGCGGTGAAGCTGGCGTTCTTGCCGAAGCAGGCCCAGTGCAGGCGTGGGAGGTTCTGGCTCCACTGGGTTTGATGACCGCTGCTGCGGTTGAGGCGGTTGAGCACGGCTGTACACGCGCATCCACGTGGGTGGCGTCTGCTGGCCCAGTGGCACCCTCATTGTCTACGCCTTTGTTTCAGCAGTCCGTAATAAAATCTCAATTGGTGGATAGAGGAGAGCCAAGCCACAACATTTATAATCTGACTACTCAAATTGTAAATGTTGTGGCTTGGCTCTCCAACACACCGGTGTGCTGTACTAGCGATGAATTGGCACGTTCTGTTTACGTGACAACCCTTACTAGTTGGCTTTGTCGGGTGGTGGCGGGTTTTAATAACACTTATATATTTACACGATCTAACCCAAAAAACGTATGGATGATATTGGTCGCGAAAGCCTAAGTGTTAAACTGGATGGAGGACATCGCTCCAGGGTACAACTCTTGGGCAATCTCCATCCAGACCTCGTAATGAGACGGCTACCAACAAGTGGGGTTGGGGGACTCACCTGGAGGGGGTTCCTATTCAGGGGCAGTTGAATAGCAGCGGCTGCAGCTGGTGTTGATACAGAGTGGATGTTGATCCATATAAACTGTTTGGACAATTTTTTTTTGCCAGGTAAGGCCCCACTGAGTTATGTAGCTCTCTTTCAGAAGCGACCTGGCACCACAAATGATAGCTCAATGAAGTGGCTTATCACGTGGACATTTATTGCAGCCAAATACTCTAAACGCACGTTGATGCTAAATGTGGAGGGAAAAACTAGAGTATACGGAGACAAATCCAAACGACCACTCCAAAGATACAGGCGTCAGGGTTGGCATTGAACCCACCACCTCCTACATACCTTGGCGCCCCAACACCATGACTGAAGCCATGATAAACCACCAGAGGTTTGAGCAGTTTGAGTGTTTGATACAGATGGCCTGGGGAATTGTAACATGAGCAAAGGCCTGGGGTGTCTCCCAGTCCTCAGTCTACATCGCAAGGGCCTCTGCAACTGGGCCGCAGGCTGTGTCAGTTTGGGCTGATTGGGTCTGGTGGAGTGGGAGCAGCACCTGGAGGCTAGCGAGCAGATATATGGCCAGGAGAGGGGTTCTGGCTCTAAATCTCTTCATGCAGTGGTGACTTTGTAATTTTTTTTGCTCAGAATGTGCACATTTGTAAGACTGCCACCTGGGCCAGTGCCCCATACATTTATAGGAAGGGCATTGTCGTCTTCTGTCGTAATTTGATTTTGTATTGACTGTTGGAACTGCCCGGCCTGTACAATAAATGGATTTTTGTCGACCGTTCCAGCAACATGGCTTACTTAGTAGGTTAAGTTTCCTCTGTGCACATCTGAGAATGATATGACTTATGGGGGTGGCAGGAGAGGGGGTATGGGTGTTCATGAAGTCAGGCGGGTGAAGGGAGTAAACCCAGGGATATGAAAGTGACCGGCAAGTCTTCTGGGTGTCGGCCGTGAGTTCTTTCACCCCAAAGTTGCCTTGGTGTGAACGTACTTGACCAGTCTCCCTTTTTGCACCAAGTATAGAAACGAGTCTCCAGCTCACCGCGTAGTTGCCTTGTTATTTTCCGTGGTTCCTCGTGCCTCCTTGAGTCATTATCTCTATTCAAGAGTCGTTCTCCCCGAGTCGTTCCCTCTATTCAAGAGTGAGTGACTACTGTGCGCTGTACAAGATGCAATTATTGTCTTTTTATTTTGTATCTCTCAATCATAAAATGGTACCAATAAACAGACATTTTTTGCAGCATCTCAAAAGCATGTGCTTCTCTGTCCGCTGTTCTCTGTGCTCATCTCCATAGAGGGTGGGATATTTGGCTGCATCTCAGTCATTCCATGAGGGCACCGACGTGCTCATGCTCACCACCAACATGATCCGCAAGGTGAGGAATGCTCGCTATGAAGCTGCTGTGCTTGGGACGCTCGCCACACTCGCCACATTTAGACACACACACACGCAACACTTACCACGGTTGAAACGATAATCACATTTGACGTGCTAACCGCCGACGGCAAACTTGTTTAATTGTGAAGTCACTTGGGGCAATTTCCAAGGTAGAAGCTGATCTCACGTGAGGATCAAAAAGTTGGACCCCTTAGAGCTTGGTGTGTTCAAGGAGGATATTACCATATATATAAAGTACCTTGTACATAATTAACTATTCCGTGTGTCTCGGGCTGTTAGTTTGACGCCTTGGTTAGTGCAAACAAACATTTAAAATCATGGTCGTGAGCACGAGTGTTACTTCACTGCAGTGCTGTACTAGAGAGTATGCAGGTGATGACCAGTGCTCCCGAGTAAATGTATCTTTCTAGCGGTGACTATAACGATCTTGAGTTAATGTATTTATCTCATGTTGTATAAAGGCACGATAGACACAATGTCACGCACATCTTGGCTCTATTTTGTACTCTTAACACTCCACCGTGCAGCTCTGTAGCGACTGCGACTTTTAATTGGACTCGTTGATTCATCGGCAGGACCTGAACAGCCAGAATCAGTACGACGCGGGCGTGGCCCTCACCGGTGTGTCCTGCTTCATCACGCCCGACCTGGCCCGTGACCTCGCCAATGACCTCATGACCTTGGTAAGTATCAGCGTTTGGGTGCTGGTCTCCTCTTGCGTCAAGTTTTTAAAGTCACGATTGTCACCCGTACTGTGAGGTAACACAGGATCGCGAGAGATTAAGCCCCTTGGACCAAGGCGCTATGTTAATCTTCATAAGATAAGATTGCAACAGCTTGGGGTGGGGGTGGAAGGGTGCCCTAATCCAACAGTGTATTGATCTTAGCTGATGACAGGGTGGCTCTTATGATTATAGCACCGAAACTAGCGGCATTTGTTCACACACCCTTAATCCAGAACTTTACATTTTTGTGCCCTACACCGCTGGTCTTGAGTAGTCACCTGGTTAAGCAAAAATAAACTTTAACTCAAGGGATCAGTGTGGTTTACACAACTGGAAGTAGAGAAAGCCGGTTCACGAATCTATCTTGGCTCTAGATTTGAAGCTTTCGTGACTGCAAGGATTCATACTCTTAGGTTTTTTCGGTAAAGTCACGTAGATGAAAATAAGTAATAAAAATGATAATAGAAATATAATGATAATAGAAATATTTAATTTCTATTATCATTTTGATCATTTTATTATTTATATTTTTACCTACGTGACTTTACCGAAAAAACCTAAGTACTATCTTGGCTCGCTTGTACGTGTTAAACTTGCCTACCCCAGCTCTTTTTTCGTCGAAATTAACCAAACACCCCTTTGCAGGACCATCCTGGAAACTACCTCTTGAGGCTCACCGAGACTTTTTTGGACACAAAACAATCGGAAAAATGTCCGTTAAATTCCAGCCGAGGACTGACTCGGCCAACGTTTTGTTTCGGCTCAATAAATTGATCACCACTTTGAGAGACTGGTTCCGCACCAACGAAATGTGAACTTTCCACTGTTGACTTGCATTCGCCGATGGAGTTGAGCGGCGCTCTTGAATTTGAAGGAGGCTTGTTCATTCAACTGTTCAACCGTAGTGTGGTCTTAACCCGGTACCAAATGAGTTTATTACCAACACTCACTGTTATATGCACTCACCGTCAAACATGTCATCATCATGTGGAATTTTTTTTATTTACAGACATTACAAAACAGAACACATGGGCTTTAAGTGATTTACAGGTGTGTGTGTGAATTAGCATGTGTCTGTGAGTGGGGGGAGCGGTAATGTAGCGGTTAGCGCGTCGTACTATGAACCAGAGTTCGATTCCTGCTCACAGCCAACACCAGTGATGATTATCTGAACTGGTCCTGGGCCTCCCCTAGGTCGACTCAACCTCAAATGAGTGCCTGGTGTGTAAACTTTGCCACTGGGGAGACAAAGGAGGCCGGGTGTGGTGCTGGCCACCCACCCCGCTGTGTGCCGTGCCGGCTTTCGTAGGTGCTCGCTAACAGCACTTGTCTCAACAGTCTGTTAAAGCTATACTGGGGGATCTTTGATCTTTGTTCACTGTTTGTGTGGACTTCATTGTCATGCTTGTGAATGTGTGGACCCTAATGTGTGCTTGTGAATGTTTGATGTGTGTATGCATGCATGCCAGATGTCCTCAACACGCCCATATGTACGCAAAAAGGCTGTACTCATCATGTACAAGGTGTTCCTAAAGTACCCCGAGTCGCTGCGCCCTGCATTCCCACGCCTCAAGGAGAAACTAGAGGATCCAGACCCAGGTATTGCCCCTAACATCGTAATGTCAGCTGCCAGTAGAGATCCGTGCTGCCCAGTTGTTATTTAAGCTGAGGCAGTGGCACTGATCAAACCATAATCTCTGTTTCCTATATTTAATTTAAATGTTTGTGCTATTGGCATTATCAGAAAGCGAAGTCATTTTTGTAAGCTTTCATCGGTAACAGAGTACAGCCCCAAGTATAACATCACAGAACTGCCTCCTCAGTATTTACACAACATTTACAAATTGTAAATTGCATTTACGAATTGTAAATGTTGTGGATTTACTCTCCAACACACTGGTAGGCTGAGGTAGTAACTAACTGGTGCGTTTTGTTTACGTGGCAAAACTTACTGGCCGAGTCAGTTGGTGGAGGGTTATAACACATTTATAACTATGCGATCTAACCCAAAAGCCTTTATTATGAATAATATTGGTCGTGAAAGCCTCCGTGTTAAACAGAATAAGGCCTGTTTGTTTATTGGGTTGCATCTTTTTCTGAAGTGGCAAGCTTGCTAAAAGCACTTTCCCCAAGTGTTAAGGCTATACGGGGGATCTTTGTCTTTGCCTTTGCAGGTGTGCAATCGGCAGCTGTAAATGTGATCTGCGAGCTGGCACGGAGAAACCCAAAGAACTACCTATCGCTGGCACCTCTCTTCTTCAAGCTCATGACGTCCTCCACCAACAACTGGGTCCTCATCAAGATCATCAAGCTGGTGAGGAGACTTGAGGGGCCCGCAGATGTGAAACCTTTGACCTTTGGCATCTTATTATCATCATCATCATCAATCTTTAATCATGCATTTTTCATAATCATCACTATCATAAATGTGTCATCATTCAGGTAACCTTATTATAAGCATCATGATTGTAATCATTATATAATTATCATTCACGTATTTTTTTTATCATCCATCATTATCATCATACAAAAATAGAAAGTTTTAACAAAACAAAATGCAGATGCCACTATCATACATATTTATTCAACATCAATACAATGGCATCACAGGAAGAACAGAGCGCATTCATCACGCCTAGCCAAGATTTTGAAGCTTTTCTTCTGAACGCCGCTTCAAACACGTGTGCCCCGTACGGCTGCTGAGATAGAGCCTTGGGTATGTGTCGACATGAAAAGAGAATGTTGTGGCGTGTGTGCGCGTGCTCCCCGCGGTAGTTTGGAGCGCTCACCCCACTCGAACCCCGTCTGGGCAAGAAACTCATCGAGCCGTTGACGAACCTCATCCACAGGTTCGTGGCAAACATGCTGCAGTTTGGATTCACAAAGCGTCTTTTAGGTATTCTTAGGTTTTTTCGGTAAAGTCACGTAGGTAAAAAATTAAAAATTTATCAAAGTAAAATAAAAATAAAATCACGATGTTTCGGAGGCAACACAAGCTTCCGTCTTCAGGTGGAACCGTCACAGCACGATAGCTGTATCAAATAAGAGAAATTCCAAGAAAACAGTCCTTTTATATATACTGGTTGAGGGTGGGAGGAGCCAAGTTGGCCTTGGATAGGTGCCATCGTTTCTCCAGGCCCTGCAGGGAAAAGAAGACGGGCATTTTGAGGTTATTGGGAAAAGGAGGGATGTTAGTTTGAAAGCAAAGGTGGAAGTTACGGATTAAAGGCTACGTTCACAGGGGGAGGAATAAGACATTTGGGTAAATGCACCATTGACCAGGCATACTGTTTATGGCACAGACTGTACAAATCTGTTCTCCTGTAGCGCAGTAGTTCTGTTCCTGAAGAACACCGCATTATGGGAAAAATCGCGTCACAATAAATAATATGCAATGTAGGGTAAAGCACAGTCCGCAATAACACATGAGATGCGTACGCAGGCTGAAGACTGAGGCGCGTGGGTAGCGTGGAGATGAAACAATCAATATTCGTCCTCTGAAAGTACGTAAGGCTAAAAAGTTTTTTTTTTCTTTGTGTGGACATGCAGCACATCCGCAATGTCCCTGCTGTACGAGTGCGTCAACACCGTCATTGCTGGTAAGAGAATATGCTCGCGTCGCTTTATAGCAGTCAGACGAGATGCCAATGACCTTCAGGCTTGATTTATATCACATTTGTTCTGATAAAGTTACATTGCAAAGGGAATAAACTTCTTTCTGGAAAGGAATGAGCAGAGCCTCACACCGTGATAGCCAGGGCTGTCCAAACTGCAGCCCATGGGACGTATTCGGCCTATGGGGCCCATCTTATCTGTCCCATGGTACCATTTAAACGTATTGTTAAAACAGCTGACCCGCAGCTTTAAGTAGGCCACATGCATTATTGCTTTACCGTACATCTCTTCTCATTTGTTGTTTAATCTTTCTCATATCTTTTCGAGCACTCTTCTAAGTACATCTTTGTCATCTCTTATAGCACTGTGTTAAATAAATCTTTCTTTTCTGTTTCTCATTTCCGGTCTCGTATCTGCTCGCAAAATATGACTTGCAATCTCCTCCTGTGCTCTTCCAAATACATTTATCCTGTAACTCGATTCTACATCTCTTATAAATAATCTCTCCTATATCAAACATTTTCCTAAACAATCCACTCGCTTACAGCTTTCCTCTGAATATATCTGTCCTTTTTTGCTATCGTATCTCTCTGAGAGCGCTTATGAAAACACTTACTTTGTCAGGAACGTTCTGCCAAGTTTGCACAAGACAGGCAAATGTTGCCACATGTAACCCCAATTGAGTAATTTGCATGACATTTTTTTAGAATTGGGATGTTTGGCCAATACGAGTTGCATTGTATGGTTTTTGTTGTAAATTATTATTTGTCATCTCTGTCATATGTAAGTTATTTATTTTCTGTGTCACACAGCTCTCAGCGTGTTAATTAATCCGGCCTTTGTAGATGGATAATTGGATGATACTCTCATATTTGAGAAAATGTTTAAATTTAGCTTCGAGCTTGACTGAGTACTTGAGTTTAATATTCAAGTAATTATTCATCAATTCATGTTATTATGCTCACAGTACATCACTTTACCTTGTAAGTATAATACTATGATTATGATGATGATTAATGATAATTTACATGTAATTTATACAATGATATCCCTTCAGCCAAACTGAATGAACGAGACAGTACAATCAAAGCAGATGGTACAAATGAGTCGTATTACCAAAACAAAAAAGATACAATATTTGAGTCAAACAGTGAACCTAAATTGTTACATATATATCTACATGCTATGTAAGAACCAGCCCTCTGTACCAGCCACCTCTTTCATTGACAATGTGTTTTTTATCTGACACTGGCTCCTCCCTTCCCCATTGACAGTTCTCATCTCGCTGTCGTCTGGGATGCCTGACCACAGTGCAAGCATACAGGTATTGGTGTCACGGGGTCTACAATCGCCCATGACCACATCACACAGAATGCACCTGATCTCGTCAGACATCGGAAGCTATGCAGGCTTTGAGCCTGGAACGTGCTCGGACAACAGGTTGTTAGTATGCTGTGGTGCTACGTAGTGCGTGACCGAGACAGTGCAGAAAAATCCATTGTTCTGTATTTCTATACACCCATGTCTATGCTCTTTCCCTCAATCCACACCGAGCATGTTTGTATCAGTGCACGCATCTTTAGGTTCTATTTGTTTGGCCTACTCTGTTGTGGATTTCGCAATGCCTCGATGGCGTCTTGACTGACCCTCTCGTACCGCACACGCGGCCCACGTACGGCCCCCTCCTTACTCGTGCGATTCCTGCACGCGCGTGAACCCCACAGCTCTGCGTCCAGAAGCTGCGCATTCTCATCGAAGACTCGGATCAGAACCGTGAGTGCCTCCCGCCCAGGGGATTATGCCCCCTTCTGTGGTTTGTGTGGTGCAGCAGCATGCAGATTGTTTGGCTTCTCGTACAGAGTGCAGCACTGCTCTGTAAAGCTATCGCCTTTATGTTGTAGAGGTGGGTGCTTAGGTTTGTCTTTGTGGCCATTGCAATACGATTGTTAATTTAATCAAGTCGGTAAGTCCTGTCCTTTATTATGGAAAGTGCATTTAATATATTTACCAACGAGCTATTACGGCTTTTTGAAACTGTATAATCTAAATAGTATAGTATTTAAGCAAGATAAAACATTCGTGAGTTTTGGACTTCTGATTTTACCAACTCAAATAAAGTAATTGTTTGGCTCGGTGAGTTTCTAATAATTGTTCTTCATAGGCCAAACAAAAGAAAGACGACTTATCTTGAAGCTCATCAGTGGGGGTGTGACCTGTGTAGTTTTGTTTCTGTATCATATTTTGATTGATCAGCTTTATAAAATTGCGTCTTATCATTTTTAGCTGTTAAATGTAACATCCTGTAATTTACAACGCTTGTTTTCAGTTCTGTAGAACTGAGCATTGTTTGAAAGCACTCCTCTGTTTGAATGCAGTGCTGCTATGTGTGTTGCTGTATAACCGTACGTGTTGTGTTGCCACGTATAACTCTGTGGGCAATATTGCCAAGTATCTTGTATGCGATTGCTATGTAACCCAGTGTACTATGTATTGTCAATGTAACACTCGGTTTCTCTTACATTTGTATACTGTGTGTTGTGTTGCTTTGTAACTCTGACGTTTATCCGTGCAACTCTGGGTGCTGAGTTTCCATCTAACCCCACGTTGTCACTTGACTCCGTGTGCCATGTTCACGTTCCTTCCAGTGAAGTACCTGGGGCTGCTAGCCATGTCCAAGATCCTGCGCACTCACCCCAAGTCCGTGCAGTCCCACAAGGACCTCATTCTGCAGTGCCTCGATGATAAGGATGAATCGATCCGGTTGCGATCGCTCGACCTGCTCTACGGCATGGTGCGCCTCCCGACCCACAACACCATCCATGCATCTGCTCGTCTGCGTCCGCGTGTCTGTCCCATTGCCAGCTTCGGTTGGCTACGTACGGTGCAAAAACAAGTTCAACATCCGTTTAACACGTAGGCTTTCGCGACCAATATTATTAATCATAAAGGTTTTTGGGTTGTATTGTGCAAGTATAAATGTGTCGTAACCCTCCACCACCCGACACGGCCAGTAAGGTTTGTCATGTAAACAACGCGCCAATTAGTTTACTACTTCAGCCCACCGGTGTGTTTGAGTGTAAATCCACAATATACATAGTACGGGGTTTGCCCAAATAGCTGAGCAGAAGGGATTAAATGGGGACTTGAGAAGAGGTGGATAAATGTGGTTACAGCAGGTGGCCATGGCTGAGTGGACTTGTCTGTAGTTGCCACCAGTAGTATTAGCCTCAGCCTCTTGTGTGGAGGCTTGTGAAAAACGACCAGTGTGGCTGGCAGCAGCCATCCTTCACTTATTGCAGGAGGTGGAGGTTTGACACTCGCAACCTTGAGCAGAGCGTCAGGTGGCTACAACACATTGGGTTGGCATGGTCGAGAGTGCAAGTGGTTAATTTCTTGATGGAAAATATGAATAGATTTTAACCTTTCTGGCAATATAACAGGAGGTGTAAAGATGTTCAAACACCAATAATAGAAACCTTTTGCAAGGCATCAAGTCTGCATTAACCACATGTACTTGTGGCAAACATTCAAACAGACATGCTCTGATAGTAGTGTATGCATTGTCTTTGAAACCGATGGGGCGGCACAGCCTTCTTTATGGCCTTGTCTCACCAGTGTTAGACCAGAGAACGCCAAAAGGGGTAATTTTTATAAGCCCAATAACGCTGGGGGGGGGGGGGGTCTCTCCACCCTCCGGTGTGAGGCCTTCAACCACTCCCACGCAGCCCCAAATTAAACCTAACCTAGCACAGTCGTCATGACAACCGATAAATTCAAGGGGTACTGTTTTTCATACTGTGCACGATAATCTCAAATGTGAACAAAAAGGGACGAGTCTACTTTGAGCTGGCACCACGAGACAGGTGTCGTGCGCGGGAGGCGCAGTTCAAAATAAACGACGACTATGACGACGACGATGATGTTTGCTACCCAGTAGAGACGGGGGCCTGCGGCGAGCCTCCCCGATAAAGTTTTTTTTTACACCTCGCGTGCAGGTGTCCAAGAAGAACCTGATGGAGATCGTGAAGAGGCTGATGGTGCACATGGATAAGGCGGAGGGCACGACCTACCGCGACGAGCTGCTCACCAAGATCATCGACATCTGCAGTCAGTCCAACTACCAGCATGTCACCAACTTTGAGTGGTCAGTGAGGACAGCGCTCTCCATAGATCCTCACTTTGCCTGCCTTGCTTGGTCATCCGGCTATGAACAAACCTGATATCATGGGACCTTTTTTCCACCATCAAAGTGTTGCGGCGCAATTTACGACTCCGAGGCAGGTTCCGTTAGGGGCTTACGCCGAACCAAAACCATCCGAGCCTATAACTCCCCAGGGGACAGGGAACTGTGATCCCTACAACCCCGGCTAACTCTGCTCTCCTCTCTGTCCCGGGCGGAGTAGCGTCCCCTAGCCTCGTGTGAGGATCACCTACCTCAAGTCCCCACTCCTACCCCCGACGAATCCCGGGTTACATCCTGGGTCCCCCTTTAAATACCCCCCCCCCCCCCCCGGGGGCATGACGTCACGTTCTGCGACGCCACTCTCTGAGGGCGAGCGTGACGTGACGTCACCCACTACTCCTCTACAAAAGTATGAAAAATCAGAATAGGTTTTACCCTTTCTGGACATGAAACCGGTGTTGAGATGTTCAAACACCCGATAGTTACCTTTTGGAAATAGATGCCTTTGAAGGATACCTTTTTCAAGGAAAGAAGGTGGTCTCTGGTGTAGCCCAATTTATTTCAAAGACAATGCGTTTATAAATATATAATTATCGGAGCATATTTGTTTGCATGTTCACCACAAGTGCGTGTGGTTAATGCACACATTGATTGGTGTTTGAACATCTTAACACCTGTTTTATTGCTAGAAAGGGTAAAACCTCTTATTATTATTTTTCAAACAAACCAGATTTTGGCTGATTTGTTTTCGCATCTAGCTCCTTGTAATAAGGCAGTCAATCATCCTTTATCAGTAGCTCCTGAGCCAGTGGTGACGATTTCACATTTCCATCGCAGGAGCTAATCTATCCATAGGATGACGGTTGTCGACTCACCACGATATGAAGCTGGTTTTAGTAACTCCAGAGGGGTGATGGACTGAATTCACTCTTAATAAGAGGTTTAAACTCGTGAGTTCAGTGCTATGCCAACGGTGCCAGCCAGCCAAATATAGTAGTTCAACAGGGACAATGTTACAAAAAAACACTGTCCCCATCACGGCAGTGTGGAATGACACCAGCATCGGACACAATAACGCCCCCCCCCCACCCTCCATTGCTCACCTGAACCTCGCTGGCAATCTTTCGGCCCCCCTCCGGTTGTATGACCGCCGCCGTTATCACCCGTGGCCCCCCGTGCCCCCAAGGTACGTGAGCATCCTGGTGGAGCTGACTCGCCTGGAGGGCACCCGCCACGGCCACCTCATCGCCGAGCAGGTGCTGGACGTGGCGATCCGCGTGCGCGCCATCCGCGCCTTCGGCGTGCGCCAGATGGCGCTGCTGCTCGACAACGTGCACGTGCCCGCCAGCAACGGGCAGCGCAACGGCATCTGCGAGGTCCTGTACGCAGCCGCATGGATCTGCGGAGAGTTCTGCCAGTACGTGTGATGCACCATTTATGTACGCGTCGCAGGGGTGATGAGGTTTTCCTCGTCCCCCCCGCCCTCTGCGTGTCTGTGATCGCAGTTATTGTAGAAGCTGAATATAAGCACTCCCTCGGAGCAGGCCCAAGAGATGCTGCAGTGGTGAGATGTTATCTGCCTCGCCTGGCTTGCAGGAGGTCGTGGGTTCGATCCCGACCCTTGACGCCTGCTGTATATTTGGAGTTTGCGTGTCTCTCTCCCTGTGTCGGGTGGTTTGGCCGGGTCCTCCGGTTTTTTCGTCCACATTGAGAAGCATTTTCTTAAGAGTATTTGGCTGCTATAAGTTCCATATGATAAGCCGCTTCATTGAGCTATCAGTTTTGGCCAGGTTGCTTCTGAAAAAACGATATAGTTCAGTGGGCGTTACCTGGTAAAATGAAAAGTTTATAGCCCCTAAGCATCCTTATTTCCAGCTTCTACTGTACCAACATTGTGTCGGTATGTTCAAGAATAGACCGTTTTTATCTCTACCACTTGCCGGTTTAATTGGCAGTCTGTCCCAGGTTGATGCGGGTTTGAGTGAATATGTATTGTGCATGCGTGTGTGTGTTGTGATTAGTGGGGAGCGATAGTCTAGCGGTTAGCACGCTCCGCTATGAACCTGCCAATCCGGGTTCGATTCCCACTAACGGCCAACGCCAGAGACGATTATCTGAACCGATCCTGGGCCTCCCCGAGGTCGATTCAGCCTCAAATGAGTACCTGGTGCGGTGTGTAATCATTACCACTCGGAAGACAAAGGCGGCAGGGCGTGGTGCTAGCCACCCACCCCCTCGTGTGCCGTGCCGGCCTTCATAGGTACTCACTAACAGCGCTTGTCCCAACAATCTGTTAAGGCTATATGGGGGATCTTTGTCTTGTTTTTGTTGTGATTTCACCCATTCCTGTTTGTGTGTTGGGTGTGTATTTTGTGCATCTGTAAGAATGTGCAATGTAGGTGTGTGTGTGTTGTGCATTGTAAACAAGTGGCATATGGGAGCTGAACCTGTCCTGGGCTTCCCCTGGGTTTCTCAGCGTTAAACGAGCACCTGGTGCGATTTGTCATTTTCAGCACTGGGGAGACAAATGCAACAGAGCGGAATTTATTGCCACATCTTCCGCTTGCCCATCCTGACGGTCTTAATGTGTGTTCTCGATTAGAACGTACCACAAGGCTATATGCTCTGGGTGGGGAATCTTTTGTAATTGTTATTCTTGTATGTACTGTTTGTTGTGTTTGCCTGTGACGTGCATGTGTTACGTATGCGTGCGTGCGTGCGCCACGTTTTGCAGGCACCTGGAGGAACCGCGCGTCACCCTGGAGGCCATGCTGCGTCCCCGCGTGTGCAGCCTGCCCGGCCACATCCAGGCCATGTACGTGCACAACAGCATGAAGCTTTACGCCAGCATGCTGACCAGCGCCGGCTCGGCCTCCGCCTCTGGTGGAGGAGGAGCAGGGGGAAGCGCTGGTGGCGCCGCCGAGGTTGCCGTTGGCGACGGCGGAGACGCGGAAGAGGGCTGCACCGCGGGTGGCGTCATCGAGGAGGTGACGGCGCTTCTGCTTGAGCGGCTGCCGCAGTTCGTGCAGAGCGGCGACCTGGAGGTGCAGGAGCGGGTGAGTACTGGTCTGCGGATGGGGGGGGGGGGGGGTAAGGGTTTGGCTAGACGCTAAGCTCCGAAGAGGATGAAGCAGACACTGTTTCCCCCACCACCGATTCGCATGGTTGGGTCAGTATCGTGCCAAGTACGTACGGTATTGTGTATATTGCACTTCTTTCGCACCTCATGCAGCCGACCGTGCTAATCAGAGGTGCGGAGGAAGGACAACAAACTAAACACAAAAAGCAGTTCTAAGGAAATTAATTTTCCAAGTTCTAAAGAAATTAGTATTAACAGGTAAGAGTCAGAGTCTCACTGCACAACCAAGAATGGGACCAGCACTCCTCTGTATTGGTGTTACTATGGCATTGGTGGAAATTCTGCATTGAAATACTGGGTCATCGTCTCTATAGAGAAACTGTGCACACAGCCTTCCACAAAGAGGCACTCATTCTCAACGAATTGATCAAATATCCCGTTATGGGGTTCTACTGCAGAAGAGTTGTGAGACCCAGTGTTGCTTGTATATAGATAAATGACTTGCTATTATAGATGGCTTTTTGGCACTGTAGCAGAGTACTGCTCCAGACGGTTGCCAGCAGCAAATTTTGTCGCACCATCATCACTTCTTATTGGAAAGCTAAATGAGCACCGCTCTTTGGGAAGTCAACGGTGTTTTTCTTAGTACGATTCGCCCCTGCTGCAGGAATTTGTGTTTTCCATCATTGGCCTATTAAATTACCACCAATGGAAAGGAGTGTTGCCCAATGTTAATTTGATGTTTTTTTCAATGGTTCTGATGAATTATTTTCTTTGAACGCTTGGAAATTGGTGAGATTTATGATGCTTTATTTCTAGTGTATTCCAGGACTTTTGAAACTTATGATGTCTGTACCAAGGTTAAGAACTGGTTAAGCAAAGAGAGACATTGTATCTATTTACTTTAACATCCCAGCTGTGCTCTCTGTCACATGCCATGAGGCGAAGAATCGTCCTGTGTGAACTCGATCACGAATGTGCCAGGGAAAACTCTCGGTAAAACTACTTCCGGGGTCAATTCCCTAGGCCACCCTTACCCAACGTTAGACAGCATTCGTTCCTGCTACGTGAAGAGTGACTGGCCACTTCTCAGTTACCTTCTTCCCATGTCACTTTCATACCTACCACTGTCACTCGCCTCCCTACCACCGTCACCTCCCTACCACCGTTACCTCCCTACCACCGTCACTGTCACCTCCCTATCACCGTCACCTCCCTACCACCACCGTAACTTAATTGCCACCGTCACCGTGCCCCCCCGCAGGCGTCGTGTGCGCTGCAGCTCGTGCGCTACGTGCAGAAGCTGCAGGGCAGGGACGTCGATGTGACGGAGGAGCTCAGTGCTCTCTTCAGCGGGGAGCTCAACCCCGTTGCGCCCAAGGCTCAGAGGAAGGTCCCCGTCCCAGACGGGTGAGGGCACTTCTGGGGCACCGCATACACACGCTGCACGCACACGTGTGTCCGCAACAGATTGATAGGGGCAGGTGATATTTGAGAGCATCCACTGCTAAGTCCGATACAACACGCGACGGGTGGTATGGAGCAGTGTGAAGCTGGGGGGGGGGGGGGGCACCTTTGTCTCCTCGATGCTGATGTTTACGTACAGCACCGGATACTCATGTCAGGCTAAGTTGACCTAGGGGAGGCTCGGCACCGGTTCAGATAACACTTATCACTGATTTTAACTAAACTAAACTTGTTATTTTACCAGGTAAGGCCCGCTGAGCTATAAAGCTCTTCTTCAGAAGCGACCTGGCTCACAAATGATAGCTCGACGAAGTGGCTTATCGCGTGTACAATTATACCAGCCAAATACTCTGAACGCACGTTTCTAATCCACGGAAGGAATCTCAGTTCGTGACGGATGGGTGGGCGGTGGGATGGGTGGGCGGTGGGGTGGTTTTTGTGACCGTTCAGGTTGGACCTGGAGGCCTGGATCAATGAGCCCGAGCCGGAGAGCTCATCCGACGAGGAACAGGGCGGCAACACCTCCATGTTCGTCAAGGAGGACGCAGATCCCTGCAAGCCCCGGCAGGCCGACCTCAAGCCTGAGGAGGTTGCCAAGGTACTCGGCGTGGTCAAGGGGAGGATGCAGCTTCAGGGGCCTGGCATGGCTTTACCAAGACAATACAAACAAATACCCTCACATCGACGTAATGGCACGTTAAACACGTCAAGATCAAGGGGTTGTTACTTACGGCCAATGCCACTGATGCCACCTCGCGTTGCAATCCCGTTCTCATTATCACCTTTAGTCCATGGGCCAGAGCAGGAATTGTCCCTTCTAAAGTAGTACCCATTTATTTTTTGGCTAATAAGGGTGAATTACTACATAACCCACACATTTCGAATGGCTGTCACAACATTTACTATTATTAGCCACAAAAATATATTAGAACCACTAAAGTTGTCACCTCTGGTTGGTAGCGAAAGTAGAATATCTGATTTGGGCTCATCGACTACTTCTGCCTTTTGGGGCTTCCTCCTGGTCTCACCGACCTAGGGGTGCCACTCCGTTGCCCGCCTCGGGAACCTCGCTTATTCCATCCATCCCCGAGGCAGGCCCCAACCACTGCATTTTCCTCTTCCCGATTACATACACTCCTAGATTTGAAGTTTTCGTGACTGCAAGGATTCATACTCTTTGTTTTTTTTCGGTAAAGTCACGTAGGTAAAAAATAAAAAAAATGTAGTTTTTCATTTATTTTAATTTTTTACCTTAGTGACTTCACCGAAAAAACCAAAGAGCATGCATACACTCCGCTTTACTGCGACATTCTATTACAAACTTACAAGTTGCTCATCCCTATCCTACCTTTAAATAATTTATAGCGATGTATAATGTTTCTCAACACGGTGACAACATTCTCTTACTCTTTAAAATTAAAAAAAAATCTAGTACATAAAGAGGCGACTTAAAAGCAATCGCGTTTTGCCTCTTAAAGTCAACATTCATAAAAAGATGAAAAATCGCTTGGCAGAATAAGTGCTGGGATTCATGGTGCTCTTGTGTCTGCAGATGAGAGAGCAGAGAAGAAAGGATCAGGAAAACAATCCATACTACATCAAGAGCTCCCCGTCTCGAAGAAAGGTATTGCCAATTACGATTATTAAAAGGGTTGCCATTTAATCAAGAGCATTGTTTTGTCCATGCTATGCTTCAGAAGCCAGCATGAAAAGTAAAAGACCGTTACTCTGATTTGAATGACTCTTCACTGAAATGAAAAATGAAAAAACAAACACTGCTTTGTAAATTTTGCAATGAAAACATTGAAATGAAAATAGCAATGATAAAAAAAAACTTGAAAAAAAATGCATTGAGATACTGTTATCGAAGCATAATGTGATAACCTCTCTTATGTCGACTCACCCTTAAATAAATAGATTGTATGTAATATATAAAGACGTACGTGGGTTTGGTGACGCCTCTACCAAGATCGCGATATCATCGTGGCCAGCGTGAGTGCCACGATGCCTGGTCAAGGCTTTAAATCTCTCCCGTCCTCGCACATGTGTTCAATACCGGTCTTAATAGGTGCTCGCTAATAATAATACTTGGCTGTGAATAACACTTCGCCTCTGAGGCTGAATGGTATGTGTTTGTCTACAGCAGGAACCATTGCCTGGGGTAGACCACATCCCAGTGGTGCAGATAGATCTCACTGTGCCACTCAAGGTGCCAGGTATGTTTTTGTGTTGTCTGTCGATGCAGCATCCGTGTGTATCACTTGCAGTATGCCAGACTTAAAAGCCTGCAGGGCTTTAATGCGATCAATAGGTGACAGCTTTGTCAGCAGGGCTGTGGGCCTATTTGTATGGACTTTTGCGTGTGTGTAGGTTTTCCCTGGGTACTCTGGATACCTCTCACATGAAAACAAAATTAATAAGTAGCCAATATCTCACCTTCACATATCAGTCCCTCAACCTAAAAAAGTAAAAAAAAATGTTCACTTCCTGTTAACCATAAGGTCATCTGAGAGTGAGCCTAATTTCAGCAGCGTTGGTTCAAATCAATACATGCAAACTCTGGACCAGATTCGACATGCAGCGTCTCATCAGCAGGGTCAGGCTTGCTTGAATCATTGTTGGCGAATCCTATCACACCCAGTGTGACACGAGCTCCGTTTCCCAAGGCCTGGTGTGTGGACATTTTTTGGATCATATAAATTCGATACATAAAGGTATTCAAATATGTATTTAATCTCAGGAAATCTATAGATTAATCAATTATTTAAATGATCGATAGTTGTAGCTCTAGATGTACAAAGTAGGCCACAGGGTTAGAGCGTCCAACTCTTACTCGGAATTTCAAATCACGGCCAGAGGCTACAGCCCGTCACCTCCACGCGCGTGGATATCGAGTAACAATCGGCGCGCGCGTGCGCGCAGGTATCCCGCTCTCAGACCAGTACCTGCGCATGGAGGAGGAGCGCCGAAAGAAGCAGCGCGAAGAGCGCGAGAAGAAAAAAAAGAAGAAGATGAAGGAGGAGGCTGGCAGCGGTGGCGGAGGAGGGGGGGAGCAGGGCAAGCGCAGCCGACGGCGGAGGAAGGGGTCGGCGCACACGGAGAGCGAGGAGGACATCGCGCCGGCGCACACGGTCGACATCGTCACGGAGGAGATGCCCGAGGTGCAAGAGCCGCGACACGCGAGGGTCGCGTGGCACCAGCGGTAGCGCGTTCGCCGCTTGTGCCAGAGGTTCGAGGTCCTAGCCCGGCAGGCTGTGCCCCCTGGTTGCCACGGTCGTGTGCGTTGACTGTGGAATATACAGGGTGCTTAAGAAAAATGTAAATTGAAATGGGACTATCGTTTTTAATAGAAAAAAACGGATATATAATCCACTGTAACATGATAACAAATGTAATGTTAATAGCTTTAAAAAGTCAGTCTAAACTTGTTCGCCATCATTGTCAACACGTGCCTGGAATCTTCTCGAGGTGGTCTCCAGAGCCCAGAGGCACATTTCTTGTAGAATTTTTGAAAAATCTCTGATGTGTTAAAAAAATTAAGCACCCTGTTGCACAGGGGGGATGGTGTCGTGGATGAAGGCCTCATGGTCAAATTATTTCAAAGAGCATTTAAATGTAATCTTGTGTGGAGATGTAAGCGGTGTCCTATGTTGAATGCCACGTATCATTGAGTGGTCGCACAGATGATTTCCCAGGACGTCAACTTTTACAAACTTTTCTGCACCGTTTGACACGAGGAAGTCAAGGATTGACGAGTGATCTGGGTTTCTTTTTTACGTTAGGACGGGTCGGTTAACAGGTGAGCTGGGATAGGTTGAATTCCATGTATCTATGCACAATGAACGTCTTTCGCACGATACAAACAACACAAAAAGCAGTTCTATAGTAAAACAGGAGGCCTGTGGCGCCAGTGTCATGGCAATAGCATTGTGATATAAGAAAAGGCACGAATACCAAATGTACTTATTTACTATTACATAATATCGCTGTGATAGGGGGGTTAGACTTTGTCATTTGGACTGTCTGTTGAATGTGCAATGATTGCATCTCGGAGTGCCGCCCTCTCACTCGCGTGCTTTAGGAAATCTTGGCGTGGGTTTCGTGCCATTGGCAAATTGCGTAAAACCCTTCAATGAACGTCTATTTTTGCTATTTAAATTTGTAAAAAGGAGAGAGTATACTAGCGAAAGTTGTACGTTCTGAGTAGAACCTGGCAGGAAGGCAGCGCAGACACAGTCGTACTCCAAAAAGGGGATGTTGTGTCTGGTACATGCGCAGGATAAAGGGGGTCAGGGTCGGTAACGAATGGAAAACTTCATTAGACCTCCTTTGCCAGTACCAAAATATAATAATAGGGTTTTTCCCCTTTTTTCTGGGAACAATGTGTGCATTAACCACAATACTTGTGGTAAAAAAAAAACTCCGATAATATATGCATTGTCCTTGAAACTGATTGGTCCACACCATAGACGGCTTTCTGATGTGGACCAATCAGTTTCAAGGACAATGCATATTATCTTTTTTTTTTTTGCATTTTGACCACAATTATTGTGGTTAATGCACATATGATTACTTCTAAAAAGATTTCAATGGAAAACTGTTTAGGTTTATTTTGCTGCGTCTTGCTTTCCTCAGTTGTATCGCGATTGTGCTGTTGATGTCGTGTCAAGAGACGAATATTGGCACTGCTGTGCGAGAGTCCTGAAACGATTCTTCTTATGACGTGACACCGATGAGGGGTTTGTAAAGACATTAAAGAAAGTTGACCTTGCTGTGTTAGAATACGCGATGTGCCGTGATGCGTGTTGCAACTTTTGTGTTGTTGGTGTTGTGCCGTTTGCATCAGGACGCACTGCCGAGTGATGATGATGACAAGAAATATGACCCCAACGACCCCTACAGAGCCCTGGACATTGATCTGGACAAGTGAGTGTTGTGGAGATGAGTTGGCGGTTCTTGCTTGTATGGGGTCATTGAAACTCCAATTGTGTCATTTGTTTCAGGAGCCCCATTGGTTAAAACTGTGCTGTATCATAAATACAGACGCAAGTGTGCAGCTGTGCTTGTACATATGCACGTGTGTGTGTGTTCCTGGCGGGGAGCGGTTGTGTAGCGGTTAGTGCAATGCGTTACTAACCCAGCGACCTGAGTTCCATCCCGCTTACGGTCAACACCAGTGATGAGTATTTGAACCTGTTATGGGCCTTTCCTAGGTCGACTCAGCCTCAAGTGAGTACCTGGTGTGGTGTGTAGACATCGCCACTGGGGGGACAAAGGCAGCCGGGCGTGGTGCTGGCCACCCACCCCCTCGTGTGCAGTGCCGGCCTTCATCGGTGCTCGCGAACAGCACTTGCCCCAACAGCCTCAAAAACTACACATGTTCCTGGGAGTGAAAGTGCTGCAATGATGTCGCTATTTGCACAGTGCAGTATGAACCTGATGGCCTGATTTCCATTTCCAGACATTGATAACATTAGCAGCATCTGTGAACATACCCTGTGGGTCATAAATGAGTACCTGGTGAAGTGTGTAAACAGCAGCACGAGAGAGAACAGCAGTCGGGCTTCTTGCTGGTCATACCAACTTCTATTGTGTATCATGTCGACCTTAGTAAATTTCCCACGAACAGCTCTTTTCCCTATGTTCTAAAGGCTATATGGTGGGAGGGGGGGAGAATCTTTGTATCTAATTCTAGTAATGTAATAGATTGTAACTGGGTCTGTCCCATGACCTGCCATTGGGCCTGGCACAAGCGGCACGGTGATATGGCCGCCACTTAGCAGTTGGAAGCTGCTGTGTGTGGGAGTAACATGGGAGCACTCTGCACAGGACGCCACGGTCCCCATAACCCGGTTCGAATTTCAGACAGTCGCATTTGGTACATGTCGTGTAGAAGGCTTCTTATTTATTAAGAGCACATTAGGCGATACATTTATGTAACGCCGCTACACATAGCCGACCCTATCACACTACCCCATCGTCGGCGTCCAACTACGCAGCTGCCCGACCAGCGCAGTGACGGCGATGGTGACAGCCTACTACGGCACATTAACAGAGAGCAGAGACCAGGAATGGTGCTGGCTATATCACCACCCATCCTTAGTAGGTATTTAATCATGTACCCCCTCCACAGCTTCATGGATTGGGGTCATGACCCTGTATGTGAAATATTCTGTATGTGAAAGTTCGGATTTGTGAATGTGTTCAGAAAATGATTCACCGTGTACAAATATTGAACTGGGTGTGGGCGGTTACTCGATCAGGGCGGATATATGGCAATCCGATGTGCGATAATAATGTGCCATGGTTACATCCTATTAACAGGCGGGTTGCCAAAAGCACTGGCCACAAGAGCCTGTATGTCTGTCTGAAGGGGCGTTGGTCCACGTGGTGTGTGTGCGCGAATCAAGACCCCTGCAGGTAGAGAAACCGGTGACCCCACGACCCCCGCAGCCCTCGCCCGGCCTGAAGGGAACCTCCTCGCCTCCCGGAGGAGCGGAGCAAGAGAGGAATGAGCAGGGAACGCCCCCCACTAAACCCACTCACAAGCCCCGCAAAGAGAAGGGGAGGGAGAAGGAGAAGAACAAGAAGAAAGCCAAGAAAGATAAGGTACCGACACATCACGATTAGTATTATTGATGTTGTTGTTGCAGCACACCGGGAAATACAGCACTGGTGGCAACGGGGTTGGTGGGTCGCATAAAGCATTAAACTCCTAAACCCACTGGGCTGTGAAGTGGCTGAAAGACGGTCACTGCGTCGCGCGCTTACGGTGTGGGGAGCGGTAGTGTAGCGGGTAACACGCTGCGCTACGAACCTGGCGACCCGAGTTCGATTGCCGTTCACGGCCAATACTCGGTGACGATTATCTAAACTTGTCCTGGGCCTCTCCGAGGTCGACTCGGCCTCAAATGAGTACCTGGTGCGTAAAGATCATGACAGGACAGACAAAGGCAGTGGGGCGTAGTGCTGGCCACCCACCCCTTCATGTATGTGTAGTAGAGTTACCCACTCGATATTCACAAACAGGGAGAGCTAATCGTTGACAAGGGTTTCCCGCTCAAACTAACGGTCAGGGTCTCACAAGTTGTGAGAGCTGACCGTAAACAAGGTTTTCCCGCGCGACCTAACGGTCAGGGTCAGATAGGGTAAATTGGGATCGAAAAGCAGATTGGGAACGACCAATCACAGGGTTCCACAAGGTGGCCGGGGATTGGACAACCCGGCCACGAACGAGTATAAAGCCAGAACGCTCAGAGCTCTCGGGGAGTTCGACGACACGAAGACCCAAGACGGCGGAAGAAGCATAGGACCCTGGACCAAGCCCTCCAGCCCTTATAAGGGCTAGGGTTCAGAGTAACCAGTGGTCAGGGAGACATCTCCCTAGGTCCAGTCAGAGGACACTGAAGGAGCGGGGTATGAGTAGCCTGTAGGCTTGTACGTTCGGAGTGTAACGGGTGAGGGGACCGTATACCCCTCAGTGCATAGGGACTGTATTCACAAATAAAGTGTGTGCTACTAAAAGACGTTGAAGAGTCTGTCTGTACAATACTACATATGTACCATTGCCGGCCTGCATAGGTGCTCGCTAACAGCACTTGCCCCAACAGTCTGTTAAGGCTTCACGGGGGATCTTTGTATCTGGTGTGGTGTGAGAGTTATGCATTGTGGGTCTGTCACTTGCAGAAAGAGAAGCGATGCGAGGAGGGTGCTGTGGGCGGTGCGGCCGTGGTGGTGGTGGTGGCCGGTGAGGGTGAGGAGACGCCAGGGGCAGCCTCACCCCAGTCTCAACAGCCCAGCGAGCCCAGCGTGAGAACATCGTCATTAGCACCGTGATCATCGTCATAATAAACGATGTGAATGAATGATAATTCACGGTCGCTTTTCAGTCCACTCGTGGATGAAGGTCTGCCCGCGTCGCGTAGGTCATGGGGGTTTTATGACCACGCCATGCGAGTAAAATACGGGTTTGTTTAACCGTATCTGACTACACAGTGCAGGTTTGGTGAAGGACAATGCCCAGGCATCAGTTCGGATGTCATTTGCCACTGAATTTATCCATGGCTGTGAATAGAACTCGGATCTCTGGTGCTCATTGCAGTGGTGCTCTCCCCACCAACCCCCCTGCCCTGTCATCATTGTCATCATCACTTTGTCATTAAAATAATAACACTGTAACACAATCTTTGTGTTCCTGGGTAGTAAGTGTTAATTCGTAATTGCTTATGCCTAAAAAGTATCGAAAATGCCTATTATTCCCTACAAACTTTGCTTCTGTGACCAGGACAGTGATATTTCAAAATTTTACGATTTTCAATGAGAAAATGGGCGAATGTGTCTTTTCGTTCACAAAGTCAGAAAAAAACAATATGAATCAAAATTCATATGCATTAAAACTAAAGTAATAAAAAAATTACTACTAAAGATTTAGAAGGGAGTCGTTTTTCGAGATTTACAATTGTACTGTAAATCACTTTCACGAATCAGCCCCCAAATGTAGTCTCCCATCATGTTCTCGTTATACTGTCCTTGGTAGCGGCATTCAAAGTCCAGTATATCCTGGTGGAAGCGCTCGCCTTGCTCTTCCGAGTACGCTCCCATGTTCTCCTTGAATTTATCAAGATGACCGTTAAGGATATGGACTTTGAGGGACATCCTATGGCACTGAGCATTTGTGACTGATCAGTCCACAAAGGAATGGAGCCGGTGCACGGTTGTCTTAACACTACATCAGTGTTGCCTGTCGGTCAGTTACATTTGTTCAAATCTTATTCTGATGGTTAACCTAAGACGACAGGACCAGAATGCACTTCCTCAGAAAATGCTGATGGTTTTTGCATATGCAAAGATGTGTGCTATCTATGCGATGTTGTGCATTGTATGAAACTCATGACAGCACGCTTCACCTCATTAGCACAGCCCAGGTATGCATCTCCAAATTAGACGAGACAAAAATGTCAACAACAAAACAAGGATCCTAGCATGCTTCGCAGGTGCAGATAACATCACCATTTCTGCTCTTTTTTTGCATATATCATTATGATATCCACCAGCTCACTAATAATGCCGATGTCAGCACAGGTGGGAAGATAGGAGACTTTTTTTCCAATTATTTAAATGTCGCCAAGTCGTGTAACCGAACCAATAACCGGCACAGGATTTTATCACTTAAATTATTGATCGCCCAGCTCTTACAGGAATCGTAACAGGAATCTCGAGTCTCTGCTGTTTTGAGCTGGTGCCTATCACAAGGCTGCGTGCAGAATATGCGCAGGACAACCGATGCCATCATGACGATGCTGAATGCTTCGATTCCTGTTAGGATTTTGTGTTAAAGCTCCCCTTTTGCATACATATATTATTTGTTTCAAGCCTACACATCTCTGGCTTTTTGAATTCCCTTTTCAGCTCATGAAAGTGCTTGATTTCGAAGATGAAGGTGCTTGTTTTTTTGGGTTGTCTCTTTAAACATCGGCTTGAGAGCCTCGTACAACCTACTGGCAGGGCCGACTTAAAGTCCTTGTAGGCCCTAGGCACTTGTGTTTCGTAGGCCTTCCGTGATACATTTCTACAGTGGTCCTGCTGCCCCTTGTTACTCCCGCCTCTGTCGCTCGCTTGTTTCGTGCCTACTTCATCCAGCCACTGGACAGATGTCGTTACTGATACGTTCGTTATTTAGTCTGTGCCCTCATTCGATGGGAGCGTGCTGTGTGCTGCAGATAAGCAGATTTGATTTGAAATTATTGAAAAAAACAAACAAGGTAAGCCTTAAAATACAAAAAAATTTCAACAATTTTTTACTGTGATTGTCATATCGGATGACGCAGCTTTAAAAGGGATGCTGTTCATTTTCATTGGTAACATTCAACAAAAAAAAACATGGTCAAAATTGTTTTCGTAGGCCCTAGTCGCAGTGCCCACTGTGCCTATTGGATAACACGGCCCTGTCTATTGGTGATGCTGCTGCCCTCCCAACTGTGCTCACGGGGCCTGTCCCCCCATCCCACCGCCCTTCCATTCGCTCGCTTTCACAACCTCCTCCCACCCTCCTATGCTCTGCTTCTGCAGGTCGATGACCTAGACTTCTGGCTGTCGGTTTCTGACGCGCCACCTCCCTCCAAATCCAAGGTCTGTGGGGACACCGCCCCCCCCCCCCCCCCCGCTTTTTGTTAAAACAGCCGTCGTTTTGTCGGCCTTAATTTGGCGCTCTCTTTCGGCAACCTGCTCACAGGCGTGTGTCGCTCTCCTCACCGAGTGGCCACCTGGCGTCGTGTCTTTCAACAGTACGAGCCGATCGGAAGCGCGTTGTCACCAGCTGGTCCGGACGAACAGAGCACAGAGGAGGTGGACACAGTCAAGCCTGATAAGGTACACTATATAAAAACTTATAGATCTTTACGTATGTATGTTGAACTTTTTTCGAACAGTACGTAGCCAACCATGATAATCGGAGGTGTGGGGGAAGGACAAACACCAAAAGCAGTTTAGCTTATCGTGAAATAATCTATAAAAAAATGTCTTATTTACTCAAGACAACCTCACTCAGTCTCGAGTGACTATTTCAGGCTGGTCCTGCCAAGTTCTCGCAGTCGAGGTTGATGTTGCTGCATGTAATTCCAATCAAGTAATTTCTAGGTGCTTATTTTTAGCTTTGGGCTGTTTGACTAATACCAGTTACATTCCGTGGGTTTTTGTTTAGCTGTGGGAGAACCAGAAAACACGGAGGCAACCCATGCAGAAAATGGAGAGACCATACAAATGTCATACGGAAAAGCTCCCAAGTCGAAAATCAAACCTGGGCACCTTTTTGCTGTGAGGCACAAAGTGTTACTACTACAAGTGTTACCGCTGTGCCACCATGACGCCCACATGACCAGTCTCATCATTTAGCAAGAGTTGAGCCACCGTAGTCTGGATGGGTGACCACCATGCACAGATTGTTACAGGCTTTCAGGGCTACATAGTCGCCAGCAGAGGAAAGTACAACTCAGTGCGTTGTTGTACTGAACTTCTGTGCTCCCCACATCCTCCCTGCCGTTGCCAACCCCGTACTGACCAGCGTGGCGAATGATGGTCAACCAACCCCCACTCACCTCAAATTCTAACGACAATAACATTGCCAGTCTTTCCATTGACCTCTCAATAAATGGTACAGTAATACCCCGGTTCATGTCGGGTGGGGGGGGGTGTGTTCCCGAAAAGGTGCAACTACGAAGATCGAAACAACGACGTCAATCGGAGCAATTGACAAGGGGGGGGGGGCGGGGGTAGTTGGTGGCGAAGGCTGAGAGGTGATGGATGACGACAAAGGACGGACGATGTCGTTGGCGACGCGAGTGTGTGGGTTGAGGCGACGCAAATCATCGGTCGCGGTATTCATAATAAGAGCGACGACGTATTTGCGAAACGATATAAAAGGGGGAGACGTAAATCAAGGTTTTTTCATCCCACACCCAGGATTTGAAATTTCCCGATTGTGACTCCAACTTAAGTGCCACCTGACGAGATCATTTGAGGACAGAGTCTAAAAATAAATCGTGCAAAGATAAATTAGCCGGAAAGCTCATTCAGGATGCACTGTGTCCCTACAGAAAAGCTCGAAACACAAGAAGGACAAGAAACACAAGAAGGACAAGGAGGAGGAGGAGGTGGTGGCGGCAGACAGGAAGAAGGACAAGAAGAAGAAGAAAGGGAAGACCAAGGGTGGCTCCGGTGACGAAGCACCTAAGGAAAATGGGGCAGCCGAGAGCCTCGTACTGCCGGTAAAGGTCTTGCACATGCTGTGCACCTACGGAGCAGCAGTGGCCGTGTGTGACGCGATGCGTGGCATCGCGGTCACTGTGCCGGCTGGTGCGACGGCTGCACCAGACGGTTGCGTGCAGCATCACACGTAGTCACGTGGTCAGCTCTCGGTCAATATGGTTCGGTTATTTGTAACAAAAACTGGCTACAGTACAACATTAAAACAATATGCATGCACAGTATGTTGACACCTGAGGTATGTTGACGTAGACAGTATGTCGACACTGCATATGTACATGTACATACACTTTGTAAACACTTGATAATTCACTTTTGTAAATCCCACCAATTGTATAATATTTAGCCCAGGAACGTGTGACCCTGCACTCCACTTGTGATTCTCCGTTGCATCGTGCCTCGTGGAGGCACTGTTGCACGCAACATTCACGCTGCATTTGGTGGTGTAGCGGGCTGAGTTTGTATGCTAATGCATGAATTAATATCACGATTAGGACAGTGGCTTTCGTTATTAGGAAGCAACCGTTTCAATACGGACGATTTTTTTTTTTACTTGTCTTTGTGTATCTCCTTTGTGATGAGACTTTGTAAGATGAACGTTGAGATATATAAGGGCACGGGGTGACCCATAAGGTTTGAATTTGAAATAAGGTAGGGCACTGATAAGCGGTTGAAAGTTATGAATACACAGCCTATATTTTCACGTATAATATACTGTATAAGCTTATAGTTTATTTTGCTGTGACTGCCTTGAAAATACAATGCATTAGCAGTGCTGTACAATCATAAAAAAAAACTCACATTTCATGTGAATTCTGACATTAAACAGAAACCAATATGTGCCAACATGTGCGGTAATAGCTATTCTTTAGAACATGGGCAAAGCATCCCGATTGACCAAATTATAAATTCGTGAATCATTGCTACCCAATATCTGTTTTGAAACATTTCTTGGGTAAATATCCTTGAGATACCAGTTCCTTTCAACACCGGAACCAAATATTTCTGAAAAACATCCTGAACCTTGCAAAGCTTTGTTGTTATTCATATTCTTGGTTCTTTCAGTAAAGTCACGTAGAAGGGAAACAATAAAATATTAAAAATATAAACAATAAAATTCTCACGACGTTTCGATTGAAACACAATCAATCATCATGTGTGAAAACCACAGCCACAGCTGTGGTGACTTTACCGAAAGAACCAAGAATATGAATCCCTGCGGTCACGAAAGCTTTAAATCAAAACTTTATGTTGTTGTAAATATCGACGTTGTTACCGGTATACATATGTTAAGTAATGTGCCCGACTCCTGTCCGGTGATTTTCCAGGTCATGTCCAACTACAAGCTGCTCGCAGAAAATGAGCATCTCAAAATCGTAAGTGATGACAGCTTTATCAAAGCGCCTGTCCGTCTGGTGTTTCTATAGCGAGGATTTTGTCAGCTACAACGCATTTATCAGACTTTCCCACTGCGCAGTGAGCAAGAGATGGCAGTGCAGCCAGATGGGTTCTTAGACTCGGCCGTGCCAGTCTTGCTGCAGTGTTAATCCCCCCTCGTTTGTGTGTTTTCTCCTGCCCACTCCTGTTTTCATTCTATACGCAAGACACTCGTATACAATGGAACTGGCTTAACTTCCTCCTATTTATGATCCTTCTGAAAGAGTCTTGAGGCTTATCAATACATATATGGTATAAAACGATATTCTTTGCAGTCACAAAAGCTTTAAGTCAAGATTTAAACTATAAAACTATTTTATTTTATAAACTATAAACTTTAAATTTTACCAGGTAAGAGCTATGTAGCTCTTTTTCAGAAGTGACTTGGCCACAAGTGACAGCTCAACAAAGTGGCTTCATCATGTGGAAATCTATAGCAGCCAAATACTCTAAATGCACCTTTCTCAATGTGGAGGGAAAAACCAGAGGACCCGGAGAAAAATTCACTGCAAGTACCTTAGCCACACTCATCAATTAGCATCACGGTGTTTGTAATTGTAAGCACTTGCTGCCAGAGGTATTTTAAAGTATTTTTTGGGCTTGGGTAGGAAAAGATTCTGCACTGTTTAATTGAGACAGATCCTTGGGTTGTGTGTGTGCCAGCACTTAGTTTGTTTAAGAAATGTATCACACAAAGCGTTTGCATTTCTTGTCGTCTGCATGCATCCCAATGACGTAAATTGTTTAAGCAACATGCTGCGTAATTTATGCATCCTGGTGTGTTCCATACCCACCCCAGTAATATAATTTAAATAATATCCAAAGCTCATTCAGCATTAACATATTGGTGCATTTACATAATTCATCCCAGTATCGAGCCCTCTGAGCATGCTCTATCCAGTTACAACGCACGACGTCGCGTTTTTCACATCCCCTTTCCATACTCTGCTCCCCCGCATTTGCAGACGTACGACATTCGCGGGAACCCGACGGAGAGCGGGCAGGTGCTGGTGCCCATGCTGCTCGAGAACCGCTGCAGCGCACAACTCAAGGCCATGGAGTTCAACGTGCTGGACTCCATCAACATGCGGCTGGTCCGTCCGGCAAGCGCCTCCAGCCACGACGGCATTGCCGTGCCCTTCCAGCTGCCTCCTGGTACTACGGATTGCCGCTCGGCAGGAATGTGGCCATGTCACCCGGAGCGTTGGCCTGGCCTAGCGCAAGGCGTCGGCAACCTGCAGCTCTTTAAGGACTGCTTGTTGACGTTATTTATTAAGGGACCACCGTCTGGTATATTCACGTGCGTTGTGGCTCTTGAAATATTTAGTTTTGTTATCAAATTCGAAAAAAATGTCTCCACTTGTTACTTTGGTTGCCGACTCTTGGCTTAGCTCGTTGCAGAGGTTCAGGGGTCAAATCCGGGGACCTCCCTGGTTATTTTAACCATAATCTCCGCTTCATAGTGGATGTTAAATATCCCGTGGACGTCTTCCGTGAGAGTAGGCCATTGTGTGGCAATACCGTGGTTGAAATCTGCCAAATGTCGACCATTATCCGCAAACTAATCAGTTGCGATGCTTGGGCACTTGTTGTAACTGGTTCTGACTGCCTTCCAATCCTGCCTGCGATTTCCCACGGCTCCGTTCGAAAATGTGCTCGTTACAAATTCCACAGCGCTGTACGATGCAGCTTTCAACGAATGAGGCTGTACAAAATAACGTGGAAATTAAATTCGTAGCAGCCAAATACTCTAAACGCACGTTTCTAAATGTGGAGGGAAAAACCGGACGACCCGGAGAAAAATCCACTACCACGGGGAGAGAGAGACATGCACACGCCAAATACAGAGGCATCGTCGGGCGAGGTAGTTAAAATTTGCTAGTCACTGCAGACAACAGTGGCAGCACAGTGTTGCATATTTTATTTGTTGTCATGTTTTGGGGTCATGATTAAATTAAACTTATTGCCGATTGAACAAACGATTCGTGGCGTGCCCGGTGCAGCGGGTTTTGGCTCACGTTGCGTTGCCGTGTCGGTCCGCGCAGGCGTGTCCAACGAGACGCACTTCGCCTTCACTGTCGAGAGCATCGTCAATCCGCAGAAGCTCAAGGGGACGCTCACGTACATGGTCATGGTGAGTGCTGCTCCATCGCCGGGCCGTGGGCAGTGTGGGAACTTAAATGTGGTTCAAGGAAAACTATTTGAACAATTTTTTTTCATGTTTATCCGGTAAGGCCGGATAAACTGAGCTTACATAGCTCTTTTTCAGAAGCGACATGGTCACAAATGATAGCTCAAGTGGCTTATTGCGTGGACATTTATAGCAGGCAAATACTTTTAAACGCATGTTGATTCTAAATGTGGAGGGAAAATATACGACCACGGGAAGAACATGCAAACTCTAAATATACAGCAGGCGTCTAGAGTCGCGATTGAACCCACGATCTCCTGTAAAACAGGCGAGGTAGTTGACATCTCGCCACCGTGGTACCCCAATAATACCATGGCAGGGATCAGACTTATTTGTCGAGACAATTTTCTATCACTAGCAGTGAGTAATAACACCAACTAAGCCGTATTTTATCCACCCTAAAGGGATGATGATTATAATATTCGTGGTGGTGGCAGTGGTTATGATGATGATGGCAGGAATGATTCGTGATACTGATGTATACATGAGCTGTAACCCAGGCATGTTCATTTTAAATAACGGTAACAAAATCGCACTTGTATCATTCAACACTTAAGCTGCTGAAGATATTTTTTTTATTAAAAAGGTTTGAAAGGCCACTATTGCCAAGTGCAATGATGCACCTCTGTTATCCTTTCACCTGAAGGTCAGGCTTTAATTTATACCCACAAATGCCTCTACTGGGTGCCAAGAATCACTTTCAGGAGGGTCGTACATTGTGATGATCCGTCATCTCCTTGTGAAGTATATTTAAGTGAGTACCTGGACTAAAGGCGTGCAGGCATAGAAGGTGATAGCACTCAAATATGCCGCACAGATAAGCCATGGACATATTTGCCATTTCAGCTTTTACATAGGCCAACTTGTGCCCACAAAGTCACATGTCAGTGATGAGCTTTTGCGTAATCCACAAACCCCTCCAGCAAAGAGACGGATGGCAAGTGTGCTGACTCGGATTGTATTTTACTCCCACAGTCGAATGAGATCTTGTCTCATGAGAAGTTGGACTTTGCGCTGCAGTTCACGTGTACCTCCTACCTCCTCGCCAGTCCCTGTTCCAGGTGAGATTCGGGTCTGAGGGGTGCGTTCCTACGTCTCATGGCAATAGGTTCATTGTGGCAGCTGCCTTGTCATGCAAAGCAAGTCGATCGCAAATCAAGATAAATGTGTAAATCGTCAATACTAATGATATTATTAGCAGGGAGATATGGGAGAGGTCTGTACAGAAGCGATAGAAGAGAGATGTTCAAAAGAGCCATAGGAAGGATGCACGAGGATGAAAGTACACGTGTTGCTGTGTTCACTCGAGCCAAGCTGGAGTTCACTCACCAGACCTGTATCTCCGTGCATCTCACTACGATATAGCAGAAACGCTGACCAGTTTGCTTATTAAGCTGTGCGGTTGCTATGACCTACCCATCCATAAGTTAGCCCACCCTAGATTGCATCCGCTGCACAAACCATGACAGGTGCGGATGCATGATGCACAAATATAGAATGCAAAACTCTCCAGTGTGTGCGGCTGTGGTCGTCCAGACCAAGACAGTACAACATTTATAACGACGCAATGCCCCGATCCACAAATACGAAGAAGACATCATCACAGCAATGATACACTCCGCTACTGCTCCTGACGCGGTTGTCTGGCTTGATTACCTGAAAGTAAAGTTGTAGTTGTTGCTCTGCAGCTACATCAGCAGTCGTACGAAAGTCCATGTCACTTATATCTGTGCGTGTGTGTGGTCCCAGTGACATGTTTGCGGAGCTGATAGGCGAGGGAGAGCTGGCTGCGAGCTCTGTGAAGGTGAGCGACGTGGAGCTGCCCTTCCCCGTGCTGCTCGCCAAGATCTGCTTCCACCACCACTTCTCTGGTACGCATGCACAACGACAAAGATCCCCCGCGTGTAGCCTTAATAGGCGGATTTATGCGTTAAGTTCTTTTGCACCATACGTAGCCAACCAGGCTAATCGAAGGTGCCGGGGAAGGACAAACTGAACACAAAAAGCAGTTGTAAAGAAATGAGTTTTCAATCTTGATGAGGATTTAAAAATGCATCGCTCTAGTGGCTTCCTCATATCGGAAGGACTATTGTCCCAGACCGCCGCAGAAGCGCATCTGAAAGCGCGCGATGTGGTGACCATCTTTGTTCGATGGTTAGCCAAAAGCCGCTGCGAGGATGACAGGAGTTGTGATTGATGATGGTTTATGCTCCTCAACAAGATCAGCAAGGTATTGTGGTTAATTTGTGGCAAGCGCTTTTTGTGTAATGAGTGCAACATTATAGCAAGTGTTGTCAGCGGGTAGCACCTATGAAGGACGGCACTTCACACAAGGGGGTGGGTGGCCACTACCACTCCTGGCCATCTAAGTCTCCCCAGTGCTTGTGTGTGCACACCGCACCACTTACTCCTTCAACGCTGGACACTACAACATCAACAACCGCCATTCGCCACTAAGTGGTGATGTCACCACGGTGCTTGTGCCAGGCGATGTGTTGGACACAAACACACATACGTACACTCCCATTCATGTACACGTGCCTACGCATGTATACACACACGATAAAAATGCATACCCTCCCCTTTGCTGCCCGGACCTATTGATGATCGCTGCTTGTTCCCACCGCATCCCACGAACACGTGCCCGTGCTTCTCCACGCAGTGGTGGAGCACATTGGCTCGTGCGCCTCCCTCTACAGCCGCTCCATCCAAGAGCACCCCGTCTGTCTGCTGCTCAAGCTGCTGGTAAGGTCACCGTACAGCTGCTCGCTGAGCCCATCTCACTCAACTTTGATCGAAACTGCCTTGCTCGGGATGTTCCGTGTGCTACCGTCGTCTCGCCAGAATCGCCGCATCGTCTTCGTGTCTCCCTTTGTACCTCTTCCCGTGACATCCGTCAATGGCAGGATGAGCGGACGATATCTATGGACGGCAAGAGCAGCGACTCCTCGCTGCTTTCCTTCGTCATGGACGAGGTGAAGCAGACGCTGAGGTCCCCGTGAGGAGGGTGGCTCCTCCCGGACCTCCGTCGCCACGGCCACCTTAGCCCGCCCACCTTCTCGGCACGCACGCACGCCTGCCCACCCGCCCGCTCGCTCGCCCGCCTGCCCAGGTCACACTGCCGGTGATAACCACGATGAACTGCGTCAGCGAAATCATTCGCCTCGTTTAGGATCCGGCCTAGAGAGGGGCGGGGGGGTACTTTTATTTCTAAACTTCGAGTAACGCAGTCGATTCCAGTCACAGCCTCCCTTGTGATGTGTCCAGTTTGAGCTGTGTACTGCTCTGTGCGGTCTGTGTGTGTGTGCGCGTGTGTGCGTGGGGCTGCCTTTGCTGTCTTAAACTTTTAACTGGGAAAAAAAACGTTGTGCAATTGGAAGGATTCACTCCTTGGTTGCGGTGTTACCCAGGCTGTCAGTTTCCGTAAGGCTCACCAGGGCCAGGTATCATTGCGATCCTTTCACAATACACAACATGCGTTGATCAGTAGCCTGCAAAGTTTTATTATTTTACATTCTTTCAAATGCTGATTAGTTTATTGTCGTTGTTTGTTTAGTTTCGATTTGCATTTGAGTCGTAATGTATTTTATTCCTTAATGTAGGAGGGTGCTGCAGTGAATGTTGCGTTTATATTTATGCCGTTACCCGTGAAGTGTTTTTTTTTGTCGCTGCTGCTGCCGTTAAGTTTGCGTTTTAAAGGGCCTTTTGCTGGCTGTTGAAACAGTATTTTTCCTAGCCGAATTGGCTACGACTGGGCTTTGTGAGCTGTTTTGTAAATATACATACAAAATCAGTTAATCGGCTGAAATTAATGACGAGGTTACGTTTGCAATTCTTGTGGTCAGTGCTGTGAAAAATGATGGCTTCTCAGTCATGTAGCCACCAGATTATGTACATTTTTCGGAGGGGTGTGGTACTGCATTGGGAACAAGATATTGAAAGTTAATTTATCGACACTATTTAATTCATGTTTGACTATGGTCTGCCCTAACATCGGTGCACTTACTGTATTACACGCTGAATACAATGAAGATTAGACTTCATTTTATTAATCAGCACGACTGCCTACCCAAATATCTTGTTCTCAAAACGAACTGCCTGCCGTGTCTGTTACCATTGGCAAACTGAGAAAATATTATTGATTTGTTGATCATCAGTGTGCAAAGAGGATTGCAATGAAAAGTTTGAAATGGTTTAACAATAATAATTTCATTTTATAGAGCGTCATTCATGCAATTGCATCCTGCAACGCTGCACATCAATTATATCCAGCTTCATACAAAAAATACAAAAGTAAAACCCCACTACTTTGCAAGAAAAAAATGAATACATAAAATAGGAGAAAAAAATGTGCGTAACAAGAAAAAATCATCGCAGATGAAATAAATTTAATTAATAGATCTGCTGTCTCCATACCCCAGACCACAATCCCAACATTTCTCCGGATTTTGGAGAACCTTCACTCCGTAGAGTGAAGATCACACCGAGGAGGCAACGTATCAAATGTAGTCTACATCTCGATTGTTACAGTGATAGTGCCCTGATGGACACTTTCACACCGATCGTTGGAACTTTGCAATCACCCGGCTAAGCATGACACCAATTCTAAAATCTCAATGCACGCAAAAAAATGTCACTGTAAACATCCAATTATGCTGTGGGTATCACTGCACGACGTGTTATTGGCAAGCAAATATCATGTGACATTGCATGCGTCTTCCTTGCTCTGTATCGCCACTTTTCTAAGTTAAACTCCCTCGATGCAAAGCGATCATACGCACATTGCACAGTGCATGCAGTAGTCCATGGTGAATGTGTCCTTCATTCTAACTTAAATCTTAACTCTGTCTTTATTAAATAACCACCACCCCTTAAGTTCGATATTTTTAATTGGAATCTCCTGCCGTAATTACTCGTAATTTAATCTACGTAGAACAATAATTTGGTGCCTCTAAAATGCAGAAGATGCACAGTACTGAGGGTTTATAGGTGGCAGATTTTTGAAGTAGTATGGCACGCCCCTGGTTTTTGTTGCCACATGTACGTACGAGAGCCACCCTCCCATTTGTTTAGTTTGAAGTCGGCGCTGTCCAACGCTTGGAGGCTGAGAAGGTGGGGTGGGGGGGCAGCTGCTGCTGGAGCAGAACTCAAACTGACTTCTTGGAAGAAAAAAAAATACCACACGAGGCAAGTGGTTAGCGATCCGGACTGCGAATGTCGTGGCAATTGAGAGCTGCCGAAGCATTTGCGGTGTGTGACCCTGCTCAATTGAGCGTGGGGTGACATCGCCCCCATGAGAGGTCCCGAGTCTGTTATGGAAATTTTGCATGTCCATGGCGTTGGGCCATTAATTTGAAAGGATGACCACTGTTAACTTCCTGCAAAGTGATGGTAATCATTGTTGGCGAAGCCAGGTAATTTTTAAATTGTCATCTGCGTGACTAACATACGTAAAATTGTTGTACAGTTAGATAAATGTACGCACCAATGAGGGTGGAGAGTGTCACTTATCTATAAGGTGATTTAAAGATTGGTAGTAGAGTAGTTTATGAAGTAGTGTGTACTTCAGTCGTGGTACTCATTTGAATGACCCCATGCAGTTGATGGGCTGAGTCAAGCCCTGACTGGGATTTGAGCCAACAAATTCCTTATCTCCACCATGTGAATGTAGAATTTCCACCACTGGTTCAGTGCCACCAGTGCTGCCCCATTGCTCGGTTTGAGCCGGGAGACACTTTAGATTTTTTTAAACAATTTGCAAAGCCATTTTTTGGCGTGGCGTTTGAATAGCCGTGCGCAAGTGTTTTGTGATTTGTTATTTTCTTCCTGCAACACAGTTTCATTTCTATTTTTGTGGTGGTGCGGTTGTAGATGCGTTGAGTTTACAAAGGCGCCTTTTCTTAGCGGGGAGTTGCCCTCATGCTGCAATGGTTCTGCTGGTGTACATAGGAGCCGTGAAGTGCGACCACTGATCCGTTTATTTACCTGCAGCCCCGTAGCCTCCCCTGACGGCTACTCCAGCTGATACGTCCTCCTCGTGCATGCGCGAATGAACGCACATTGACATGGACACAGGCACGCTCACTTTAGTCTGGTCATCTGTGCATCGGGTGATTTCATTTGAAGCACATTAATTAGCCACGTGTAAAAATAATATTGTTTTTCTGTAAAAAAAATAGTATATAATCGTAAAAAACATCCTGTAGGATTTTGGCAATTGAGTGAACAGTACATCACCGAGTTTCCAATTAGAAGTAGGAGAAAATGTCCTGTTTTTTTCAAACCGTACTTTTTGTTTCCCTTCCCAGTTCTATATCAATTGTATTTGCATCCTCTCAAGAGATGAGACGACCTCGCAAACGCCCGCTTCTAAATTCGCTACAAGAGGCCTCTGCACTGAGCGGTGACGCATTTCACGAGTCCCGCAAAGAGCGCCGCATGTAAATTGACGTTGAGAATGTTTTATATAGCTAGAGCTGGGTTATGCAGTAATTCATGGTTGATTTTCGGGGTACATCCTTCAGCTCTCAGCTGAGCATAGGCAATTAACAATGCTGTCACGTGAACAAACATGCCATTTTACTACTGCTTCAGTGCAATTGTTAAATGTTGTGGATTGCCGAAGCAGTAATAAATTAAAACTTTTGTTGGCGTGACAACTTTATCAATTGTCTGTGTCAGCTGGAGGAAGGTGGACGACGCACATTTTACTCGCACGATCTGACCCAGAAATCAATTGTGAATCATGATGTTGGTCGCAAAAAGCCTCAACAGAATTAACAAATTAACTGGCGAAAAAAAATGTAGCGTCCGTCATTGGTCCTTGTGATCCCAGCCCATCTGGCTCAGTGTTAGAGCCCCTTGAGCCACACAGCCATCTCAATTTAAACCAGTAACACATTTTATTTCACATTTGCTGCATTCTAAATGTATTGATTTAAAAACGCAATTATTTTCGCTCGTATTGACCAGGATTATTATTTTCCACGGAGGTATATATTTTTCCGTGCATACAATTGATTTTACAAACTCTATCTGAATGTACAAGTACAGCCCAATTGGCAAGTTGGTCCACTGATGGATGAAGGCCACCCACCACCATGTTGGTCATTTGACCGTACTTCACCACACCGGTCAGTGTGGGTATAAGTTTACACAGATAATCCCGTTTAAAACAGGATAGGGCCAAGCACAGAGTCTTAGTAATGGGGAACCTATCCGATGATGTGTTATTGACGGAGACAATTTGAAATCAATCGTTAAAGTAGTTGCAAATAGTTAATTGCCGAATTTGAGAAACTTATGTATCTTAGCTTTTCCAACATGACAGCGTTGATCCACAGCGTTATACTCTTTAGACACATCGTGGAAGTCCAGGGTATTGAGTACCGCGAAGGCTTGGGACTCTTAACACTTGGTCCAGTTTGAGTCCAAACAACCCGTTGGCTTAGCGAGTTTCCAAGCTGTGTTTCTGGAGTGGATGAGCTGGGCAGTTTGTGGCTTGAGCCAGGGGAGTTTGCGGTTCCCCCGGGCTCTCGACTTGCTCAAGGAGCGTGTGTTTGTCAACCATAGAGAGGAAGGTCTTTCAGAAGAGCGGTGTTCAGCACGGGAATCTTGCAGACGTAAGGTCAGTCACAATTGGCGAATTCGTGGATGAAGGCCTGATGGTCTCGCATTATTTTCAAAGAGCATTTAAATGTCATCTTGTGTGGAGATGTAAGCGGCATCCTATGTTGAATGCTACGTATCATTGAGTGGTCACACAGATGATTTCACAGGACGTCAACTTTTAAAAACTTTTCTGGAGCGTTTGACATGAAGAAATCAAGGATTGCCGAGTGATCTAGGTTTATTTTTTATATTAGGACGGGTCGGTAAACAGGTGAGCTGGGATATGTTGAATTCTATGTACGTATGCACGTTGAACTTCTTTTGCACCCTATGTAGCCAACCGTGGGAGTCGGAGGTGTGGAGGAAGGACAACAAACTAAACACAAAAAAGAAATGAGTTTCCAATCTAAATTTAAAAGCGCATAGCTCCAGCTTCTTCCAAATCAAAATCCGTAGTTAGACTGAATTAATCCTAACAACAGAAGGAAGAGTTCCAGACGCACATCTGAAAGCGCACGATGCAGTGGCCGTCTTTGTTCAATCATGAGCGCAAAGCCGCTGCGAGGACTGGCTGAAGTTCGCGCGATGGTTCATGCTCCATGACTAGATCAGCAAAGTATTGCGATGCATTTGTGGCAAGAGCACTCTGCGTGTAATGAGCGCTAAAGCCTAAAGAGGGAACAGGCCAGCTAAAAAAAAGCATTGGGGACCACAGACATTGTCCCGCGTTGTGTTCTTGCCCCCTTCCGCATCACGCGGCTGGTTGAGATGACTGGACAGCTTCACGAAGGGGGAACGCGAGAGTGGGTCGTGCGACGGCAACACTTCATCCAAAGGTCGCCCTTCCGGGTAGATCTAGTTTCCCGGCAAAGCCGGAGCAGGAGCCGCCACGCCTGCCCACACTCTGCAAAACGCCTCCCTGCTCAATCCCCCTGTAGATAGCATTGAGCAAACAAACAAGGGGGGGGTTTCTGCCCCCCTCTAAGCCTCTGCCCAAAGTGGGGAACATCGACATTGAAAACGTGAGCAGATGGCAATGATGAATTTTGCTGAATTGTCCTCGGTTGCCTGCAGCAGCTGTTTGGTCACCTGTCCAGGCACTGTTCAAGCTCAACCCTGCATAGCTTCTGAGATCTAACGTGATAGCGCGCATTTTGAGCGATATGGTCATTGGTGGTTTTATTCAAACATTTCTATTAGTGGAGCAAAGTAACTAATTTGAAACATATGCATGGATGTTGAACTTCTTTCACACCGTTTTGTAGCAAACCGTGCCCATCGGAGGTGCAGAAACACAGTGCTTGTGATGTGTACACCAGCTGTGTTAGATCTTGCTGCCAAAATGTAAACTTTTAAAAGTAAATTTTTTTCCTCTTCAGTACTGTTTTTAGAGCCCACCGAGTGCGTGAATTTGGGGAGAGCTGTAGCAATCCGGCCCAGTCCAGATGAGACTTTAGTATTTAAGCACGCCTGTGTGCAATGTGTCGCTCGGTAGATAATGATGTGGTTATACGCAAGTTGATTGTACCAGTTAGATTTTAATGGCAGATGAAAAATACCCCTGTAACCGCATCATCATATATGACCCAGCAATATAATGATAAACTAAAGCTTCATTTTATAACGTACCCTTAATATGTGATAAACAGAAGGAAAAATAAGGCTAGTTATTTATTTAAAGATAACTGTTCTGTTGCTTTGTCTTAGATATTTTGCTGTTACCGATTGCACATTTAATTATATTTGTCATGTTATTTTTACGATCGTTAGGTTATTCCGTCTGAAGTAAATGGACGCTAAAAGTGCAAGACGCCTGTGTGTGCGCTCAGCGCATTGCACTGTGACTTGTGGGTCTGTCGATGGTTTCCGAAGGTTTGACTTGGCAAGTGCCAGGCCCTGCTCTTTAAGTGTTGCGATTTATCAGCCTTGTGGGGTGGGAGGAAGAAAAAGGCACACACACAGTACCACCGTTCCAGTTCACCCTGGAAAAAGGTGGGGGGGGGGGGAATTGTGTTTTTGTTTCCCATTGACGTTGCTTACATAATCGCCTGTTCTTTTGTTCAATCCCAGGTTTCGCGTGTACTGGTGTGTGTGGTGTGTGTCCGTGTGTGTCCTCAGATTGTGAGGAGTGGTGGTTGGAGTGGTTTTGCGCAATGCTCTACAATACCAATGACCAGGGATTTCGATACCAGGCCTGATGCACAACCCCATTGGCAGTTGGTAGTAAACCCTATCCTGGGACTTCCCGGTGAGTACTCGGTACTCACCGGGAAGAGCCGGGAGTACTTGGCGAGTGTTAACATCGACGCTGGGAAGATGACGATAGCTGGCTCTGCGTGGCGCTGGCTATACCACCTCGTTGCATTTAGCCTCGCTATTTGCTAGGCTAAACGTGTGATTTTAGTTTTCTCCCTTTGATGCTGGCTGCTGGTCATATACAAGCCGCTCGCATAGTAACTTTAGAAAGCGGCTGTGCCTTCGTTTTAAGTTGATGTTTCACAGAGCGGTCTTTGAGCCAGGATATCACCGAGTTCATATTAGACACCCACAGACAGACTGTTCTAGGAGACAGCCTTCCTCTCCACGGTGGCGAGATGTTATCTCCCTCGCCTGGTATACAGGAACGCAAGTTCGATTCTGACGCTGACGAAACCTGTATGTTAGGAGTTTGCATGTTCTCCCTGTGGTTGCGTGGATTTTTCTCTGGGTCCTTCGGTTTTTCCTTCCATATTTAGAAACATACGTTTAAGAGTTTTTGGCTGCTATAAATTTCCACCTGATAAGCCACTTCATTGAGCTATCAATTGTGGCCAGATCGCTTCTGAAAAAGAGCTATATTGCTGAGTGGGCCTTACCTGGTAAAATAAAAAAGTTTTGAGAGTAAATTAGTTTCCTACCAGGCTCCATTAGCAATGGCTTTTATGGATTCGAGTTTATTTTCTACTTCTGTCTACTGTTCTTTTTACAACCTAAATTTTTGGTCAAGTAGTGTCCTGTCGATTGTAGCATTGCATTTGTTTAAAATGTTAATCCTTGCCTAGCTCTGTTTTTATTGAAGGTCATGTGAACCTCTTGGGCCCCCCCCCCCCCCGGCCGCTTTTCAATTCTCTCCCCGTGACGCCGAGAATTTCCCAAATCAAAGTGAACGCTTACTCTACTAGCGAGACATTCCGATCAGCGCAGTGAATTTTAAACCCTTTACCCCCTTGCGCCCTCCCCTTCCCCACGAGCGACATTTACCAACCTCCTTCGGAAAACACCGGTTGCGATGGCAGCGCGCGCTGCTGTCAGAGTGCTGTCGCAATTGGCCATGGGAGGGGAAGGCAAAGACACTTGGCTTGCCGGCTAACGACCGTCGCAACGCAGCTTTTGGCACAAAGTACGCCCCCTTTCCCCTCGCTGGCACCAAAATCCCAAGGCCTCGGCTGCACAGTTGTCAACTTCTTTGTGACTCTTCTGACATCTTGTGCTGCTGTCGTAGTTCCCTCAATCTTGCTCATGGATCCCGAGGCAAGGGATATAAGCGGAGCTGGGGTTGGCGGTCGGTGAGCATGGATGGCGGATGGTTCCGGAATGTTCATCCGTCTCTACGTCCTGGATTTGCCCACAACCACATCCGTGGTAGCTCCACTGCTGTCAGATATTCTCTGTGAAGGCTCTCTGGGGCAAATATTTATTTCCCTATTTATTATCTGGAACACACATCAGCTCTTTATCCTTGCATGGGTGCGTTCGAGTTTATTTGTTGCTCCGCAGATGACGATTTTCTTTTCCTTTGCCACGTTTCCACTGGCGGCGGGGGATGCCCCCCATCTCTCGCAAGTGCATCTTCTCTGCTTCCAGGCTTCAGGTCGTTGCTGCCTGAAGCCTGGGCGTGGTGGACGCGCGTAGTCAGACACTTGGGGTGGGGCAGTTAGGTGCTGTCTGCTGGGCTGCGAGGTGGCCAGGAGATGGAAATACGTGCGGTATTAACCTCGGGTCTTTCTCGGGCAATTCAATTTTATCCCACGTGCAAAATGTACTCGTTTAGAAAGTGGCCAAACTTGAAAATGCAAAACCAGTCCAGAAGTGAGTTTGCTCGAATAAAACGAGGACATCGTTCTTCTGGCTCGCTGCCTTCCAGCATCACTCTTGTTTCACCGGGTGCTGAGGATCCATCGATTGCTTTTACAGCTTTTATAAATCGAGCCACTTGGTGCACAACCTACATTGCCACTGACGACGCGAATGCCTCCTCCCGGCATGCCTGGTCATGGAGCGAGCGGGCCGAGGAGTTGCATCCACGGTCATGCAGTTGATGCCACCGCCTCAAAGACTGGGATTATCGCAAAGACACACGTCGCGTTGTCGCTTGGGGTTTCGCCTTGAATGCCCGTGCGTTCATCCATTCCCTCCCCTCTCGGCTGCCTCCAGTCAGCCAACCGTCCCCTCCATGGCACTGCCCTGGTGGTCATCAGTAGTTGTGGTGAGAAGTATTTACCCAGTTTTGCGTACGATTTTAATTTGACCTTGCATTCCAAGACATATACAATAGCCGTGGGCAGAGCTGCAAATGTGAACAATAAAGAGTTGAATGTGTGTGTACACTTGTTTGCCTGCATTTGCTTTATTTCTACACTTTTTCCTCGACGCACTTCCGATCGCTTCCCCAAGCACCTCCGATGAGCACGGTTGTCTGCGTACCATGCGAAAGAAGTCCAATGTGCCGATGGTGTTGGCTTGAGAACCAAAACTCTCAGTCTGAAGATTGAGGGAAACTCCCCAGTCAAAGCTTGACAAGGTCCATCGTCCCTCCAGGGTCTTTAAAATAGTTTCTACTGCAATTATTGACAGATTTTGGAGTAAAAAAAAAAATACGGTTTTGTATGTCGTTATGTACATGATATACCTATGTTAAGGCCGGGCGGTGGTGGCTACGCAGGTGGCCTACAATTCAACGGTGAGGGTTGATGGATCGCACAAACGTTCCCTTGGGCATTGAGGAGGTGCCACACCTTGGCTTGCCAGGAAAAGGCAGGACAGCAAGTGTGGGCTAAACCCCACCTGTTCCATCTGTGTGGGATAGTGTTTTTCCCCCCTCGTGTGAATGGGTATTTTCCGGGTGCTCCAATTTTAATCCAACACATCAACACTCAGGATAAGAATAGGTTTTACTCTTCCTGGCAATAAAACAGTTGTGTCAAGATGTTAAAAACATCACACTGAAACCTTTTGCAAGGAATCATGTCTACATTAACCACATAATTGTGGTGAACATGCATAAAAAACACATGCTCTGATAGTATCCCTGTTTTATTGCTAGAAAGGGTAAAACCTATTCTCATATTTTGATACTGGCGAGGAAGGTCCCATGATTAATTGGCTGGTAACATCTTGACATATATAGAGGACCGCAGAGCTTGGGTGTGAGAGCTTGGCACCATTTTCTCTCCAAGAGTGATTGAATACAATGCGGCGTTTTACAACTTTTCATTATTATTAACATCAGCTAATGTGCGAAAAGCACATCGTAAAAAATTAACCCGTAAAAACAAAGTTTTTCACTATAAATCCTTTATATGCGTGTTCAATGGGCCACAACCCAGCCCACATTGGTCTTTGAAATGGGTGGCTAGAGTCCTCTCGTCCTCTGGCTTGAGATGGCTGCCACCTATGGGTCAGATGATTGTCTGCCACCATTAAGCAATTGGTAATTAAATATAATTTTTTTTCCCTAAAAGGTGTAAAACTTTTGGAAAGAAATTTCACGAAAATACATTGTCACGCACAACAAGTCTGTGTGCAAAATGTCAGCTTGATTGGATCACGGGAAGTGGGTTAAAAAACGACCAAAAGATTTGCACGGTCGTAAGCAAGCAAGCAAGTGAACTTAATATAAAGGATTTAAAAATAATTGTAATTTCTATGACAAAAGATACTCGGAAGAGTAAAACTGCTAAATATCTCGCGTAGATGTTGCGCCATAAGGCGCTGTAGGCAGCTGACCTGCCGCCACACTCACGGGCCGACAGGGGGCAGCTGAGAGAGAGCGAGGTGGGTCGGGGTTGACCAAAGGTCAAACCCCCGCCCCTCTGTGGCCGGAGGTTGGACACCCCAGACCCCCCAGGGGCTGGGAGCTGAGTGGGATGATGGCCCCCCTCCACTTCCTAAGACCCCTTAAGAATTAAGACCTCCTAAGACCTTCCATAAGGTTCTGGAGGGGGGGGGGGTGACCCTGACCTGGGGATAAAAGGCCAGCCCTCGGGACGGTCGGGGCAGTACTCACCAACTCAAGCTCGAAGACCTCTGAAGACTGGACCAGCGACCCGGGGACCCTCAACCGTGGCTCTCGTAAGCCGGTTGTAGCGATCCCGTGGGACCCTCCCAGAGGCTCTTGCTAAGCCGGGGTTGAAGCGGACCGGGGCGAGTCCCGTACCCTGGGTGGGTCGGTCGGTCCAGCCTTCCCCTAGCCGCCATCACAAGGGACCGGCGTGTGTGTAGCCCCGAGTGGGTAAAGTACGCTAGAAGGGAGGCTGTCTCCCTCTTAGAATATCTAGTGGAAGGGGTCGTACCTCTCCGTGTTAATAGTAGTGGTTAACAGAGTAGCGTCAACAGAGTGTTAAGAGTTCAATAAACGCGTTGTCTCCAGCAGACGTCTCCGTGTGGTTAGTTATAGGACACAACATATATGTAATATATGTAAGACAGTTTTTTTAATTAAACATTGATTATTAACAGTATATCAGTTCTTCATGTCAGGTGGAGCAGTCTATAATGCTGGAAATTATTTTGGCCACTTTGTCTGATTTTGTCCTCACGATACGGTCGTGGTGTAATAATACAGGATTGTTATTGATATGTGTCTTTAGTACTGTAGTGATGGTTCCTTGTGCCGGTAATCCCTGCTCCCCAAGCAAGTTTGACACCATCCTGGAATACGACGTTGAGAAATTAAGCCCATGCTTCATAATCATTACGGAGATATGCCGAAGCTTTGCTAATGCCTAACTATTACTACGTCGTACAAAAGTGACGATACTGATGGTAACATTCACAGTAACCACGTGAGGATGTCAATAAACTCGATGTTTATAACAGTGACGATCTTGTTAATATCATAACAGTTGTTGGGGAACATAATTTCAGGAACATTGGCACTGCAATCCATCAGTAACGCCTTTAATGAGTCTAAGCATGTTTGCCTTCCAAACCAATGTTGTCTAGCGGTATTAAAGTGGGCAAACTGTGCACTGGTTTTGACCTTTTGGGGCTTGTGATCAGCATCAGGCTTGCAAGACGACTACTGTATTACCATGTTATCGACAAGACCACTCCGTCACAATGAGGTCGCTTAGCGGCGGTCTTCAGCATTGGGAGGATCCCTCGTGCAGCGGTGGATTTAATAGTACGAGAGAGCAACGCTATTTGTCGGCAATTAACAGCCCAACGCACCCTCGATACATTATGAACACAAGGAGCATTCTCGCACGAGAAAAAAACTTAGTTTTCTGTGCAACAACGGGCAGGACACAAGCAGTGAGTTCTAACCACACCGAACCTGTCCTTTCAAAACCCCCCTCGACATCAAACACGGGGTTTTCCCGGGGCTCAGGGCACCCGAACTCGACAGCAAAGCACCACACACGATCCCCCCAATCGTCGACGATGTCGAGCAAAGCAGGATATGCAGTCCGCACATCGTTAACCACCTCGAGCAATGCTCCATACAGTCCGCACAACATAAACAATCACGATCAGTGCACTATAAAGTACTTAAAACACACACACACAATCCCGATAATGCACCATACACAATAAGCAAAGAATCGGCGATCCCGAAAATGCACCCTCACACAAAAAACTATATTACAAAGCCCATACTTCACCCAAAGCAACCCGATCCTCATACTGACGACGAGTAGCAGCAATACACGAATCCAAATCGGCGCACGTGTTTGCGAGGGCCGCGTGTATCGGGATGTGTCACGACTCGCCTGTGCACCCGGACGAGCGGAAGACGGCAGGATGGAAGACGACGGCGTCGCGGAGAGTCTTTGCTGTATTCAGCGCGGCATCGTCTTGCGACTTGAGACGGCAGGCCACACTCACAGGCCACACTCAGAGCCGACGACGGGGCGCTCCTGGGCCCAGTAAAGCTCCCCGTGAGCAGGCGTCGATTTTGGCGGGAAATGTCTTTGGTAGCGGAAATGACGTCATGGCGTGGAAATTGTTTGGCGGGAAATTCGGTTTGGTGGGAAGCGCGATTTTGGCGGGAAAACGCGTCCCGTGCGGCGGCGAATGGCGGCCGATCGCGTCGCGTTCCTTGGGGTTCCCGCGCGCACGGGAATTGTTTTAGCGGAAATGACGTCATGCCGATGAAAGCGTTTTGGCGGGAGATTCGTTTTTTTGGCGGGAAGTGTGATTTTGGCGGGGGACTCGTCTCGTACGGCGGCCGCTTGCGTTGCGTTCCTTGGGTTTCCCGCGCGCACGGGAACAGCGGCGCCTGCACACCGACTCGTTAGACCGGCTCCTCCAGCTCGGAGCAGCTTCCGCGAACAAAATTAAAAAAAATCTGCGAGGCGGCGCTCTCACCACGGTGACGGCTGCGTGGAGACGCAGCTCCCCACCCGCTGTCAGCCACCATGCAGCGGGTGACAGGAATCTCCCCTCGCCGTCCTCCTCCACAGAAGACGTCTTCGTAAGTAGTTTTCGTAGAGTTAACATCGCTATCCTAGCCTGTTTCCTAACTATTAACCATTGCTAACTCCAGCTGTAGTGTTCTACACAGAGGCACACACTCTGGACTGGGAGGCAACACTTATTTAACTTCCCTAGCAGGTAATACTGAATATAACGCGGGGTCTATAGTAGGTGATGTGGCTCACGATGTGATTAGCGAGTTAACTCGAGACGAAGACCCAGAGACGACGAGACGTGGGACCCCGGCTTGATTCAACACTTAATTCTAGATTTGAAGCTTTCGTGACTGCAAGGATTCATACTCTTAAGTTTTTTCGGTAAAGTCCCGTAGGGAAAAATAAATAATAAACAATAAAAATAATAGAAATAAAATAATAAATCACGACGTTTCGGGCGCAACACAAACGTCCGCCAACTTAAGCAATTGTTTCTTGCTGTGGTTGTCCCACCTGATGACGGACGCTTGTGTTGCGCCCGAAACGTCGTGATTTATTATTTTATTTCTATTATTTTTATTGTTTATTTATTTTTTCCTACGTGACTTTACCAAAAAAACTTGAGTTTGATTCAACACTCTTAGGACTGCCCCTTGATGCTCCTGGGCGTGGCCTCACTCCGCTTTCAGCCACGCCCCCATTCGAGACCTTTCCCGAAGGATCCCGACCCAGCATCACATGCCCCACTCAGGCCACCACGTCCTCACTTGCCCTCTCTCTCAGGCCATCGCCAGCACTATGCCCCTCGGGCTGCCTGACACGCCGTACTTACTCTGGTGCTAGAGAGATGCTCCAGACGCACAGTTACACTCCTGTAACAGTAGCTGGCGCGAACACCCTCGTGACACCATTTATGTCACTACACACTGACCTTCAAACCCTCTACACGCGATTAAGATTCTGCATTGAAGCTCCCAGTGCCTCATACACGACCAGTTTCTTGGCCTCGTCGGTTCAAGAATTTCAAATATGCATCGTCCAAAGCGGGATACATTTCTTTACAACTGCTTTTATTTCTTTAGAACTGATTTTATTTCCTTACAACTGCTTTTTGAGTTTATTTTTTGTCCTCCACCCCCCTCGCACCTTCGATTGGCACGGTTGGCTACGTACGGTGCAAAAGAAGTTCAACATAAGTACATTTATCGATCACAGGCCCGAGTCACATCTCTATCTGCGGTTCAATATTGTTTCAGAATGGACGTCTTCTGCAAACAAAACCGCGGTGGTGAGATGTTAATTCCCTCGCCTGGTATACAGGAGGTTTAGGTACGGTCCCGACCCGAACGGCCACGTTCTTTCCATAGATTTTCTCCGGGTCCTCCGGTTTTTCACCTCCACGTTTATAATCAACGTTTTGTTTAAGAGTATTTGAGGGCCCACGTGATATTTCACCTAAATCATGGCGTCGCACTCCGTGAATGTTCCTTGTAAGACAGAAAAAGCCAGTCACGCCATCGGGATACATTACCGTAACGCGTATTAGATTTTATTACATTTCATGAACATGGTCAACAATTGGATAATCCGGTTGGGTCACACATTCCCTCCCTCAAGTGCCCTGTAACTGTCGCCGTGTTCCGAAGGTCTTGGCCTCTGGTCGTGCTTTGTGACAGAACGGCTTCGCTCAGTGGGGCCTCATCAGCTGCGACAACAAAGATGTCACCTCAGACGGTTTATCCCGTATTCTTGTACAGGGAAACTGAGTTTTCATGTCCATGCGGCATACAGCCGCTTCAATACGGGGAACAACAATCAACCTGTGTGCATCCACATATCAAGCAAGCAGCAGCATCAGCATGCAAGAGCACAGACAGTAAGCATGATGAGTAGCATCAGTGACACCAATGATCAAAATTAATACACAACAGTTTTTGCTTAATAACATTGTGCCTATTTGTTTGTGTTTCTCCCTTGTGGTGATGGGACTTTGTAGGATGAACGTTGATATTTATAAGGGGGCACGGGGTGACCAATACGGTCTGAATTGGTCTGTGATAAGGTAGGGCACTGATAAGGGGTTCACAGGTATGCGACAAGGTCTCAGGTCTCCTTCACTAAATAAAGCGTGGCTCATGGCCGCGATTTAAATTACCTGCAGTCATCTTGCAGTCCTCTTTCAAGAATGTATTTATTTTAGGCTGACCCACGCTGCAGCTGCGTTCTGGACGCACGGTCACCGAATGATTTTGCCAAATGGTGCTACGGGGTTTGACGTCAATGAGGCCTGCAGATCATTTTAGTTCCTGGGACTGACGGCCCCCCCGGGTTGCAAGTTCCACTTTGCTCACCGTTACACCACGGCAACGTCCCTTGACTGCAAATAACAGATACATTCAGCAGTTTTTTTTCTTGCTGTAGTTGTCCCACCTGATGACGATTGCTTGTGTTGCGATTAAAACGACGTGATCTATTATTTTTCTACCTACGTGACTTTACCGAAAGAACCAAAGAGTATAGATACATAGGAGGAAATTACTGCCACTTCCACGAAGCTCGTGCTCCACCCTAAACAGCATTGCACTGCACAAACCACGGCAGTTGATGCGGACGATACCCGATGCACAAATGGTGAATGAAAAACTCCGGCAGCAGTGCGCGACTGTGGTCGTGCAGATCAGGCTGTACGCAGTATAAGGACGCATGGCCCAGATCCGCAAATATACAAAGGAGAGATCATCACAGCGATCTTACGCTCCCGCTGTCCCTGACGCGGTCGTCTGGGCTTGACCACCCTGAATGTGAAATTGTAGTTGTTGCCTTTGCAACTACGCCAGCAGCCGTGCGACAAGAAGAAGACTGCCACTTCTGGGTTGCTCTTCTTAACCGCAAAATATCTCTGGGAAAGAAGATCGATGCCGAGGAGTATCAACGTATAACAGGTAGTGGCAGTTGAGAGAATCTCTGCTAATCTAGAATCTCTGCTGTTTGAATAATAAGTACAGTGTTGTGTTTGTATATGTGTTTTGTATTGTGTTTATGTGCTGCATGTGTATTATGCGTTTACAGTTGTATATTTAGGGGGGTTAATGGGGGGCTAAATTCCCCCCAGCCCCACCAAGTAAAAAAAAAAAAATTCATTCAAATGTGTGTATGGTTCGCCCATGTATCCCCACACCATCATCAACAACAGCGCATCCAACCGGTCACAATCACCACCGACACCACAATAACCACCACTGACTACATCACGACGGACGACGGCACTATTGCGATGAACGTGCTGTCGCCATGAGGATGACCAACGTCAGGATGACGACGATAATCCAGCGACACCGAGACACGCGGGACTGCGGTGAAAAGCAGAGCACGGCACCTCCTGGAGGAGCCTAGCACCACGGAGCACCTCGCCAGGGGCCACAGAGCGTGCCGCATCTCCAGTGCCACCATCGTCATGAGCCCCGATACAGTGGTGACAGAACGTGACACCGGGGGAGGTTAATAAACTACAATAAATCTATAAACTATTTTTATTTGACCAGGTAAGGCTCTACTGAGCTGTGCAGCTCTTTTTTCAGAAGCGACCTGGCTATTGTCACAAACGGTAGCTCAACGAAGCGTGGAAACGTATAGCAGCCAAATACTCTAAACGCGTGATGTTGATTCTGAATGTGGAGGGAAAAACCGGCGGGCGGTGGTGGAGGATCCAAGGGGAGGGGTGTTGGTGGGGGGGCATTGTCCTCCACTCGAGACCTCAAATTGGTACATTATTGTTTTATGAAAATATTAACAGAGAAAATTTGTCATTTACTTGTTAACGTAGACTGAAATTTAAAAATAATTAACATTTCAGGATCGCCTGTCTCCCACGCTACCGTCTCCCCCCCCCCTCCCGGGGCGGTGTGTCGACCGACACCCAGGGTTGGTGGAGCGAGCTGCCCGCGGCCCCTCAGTGCCGGGGGGTGGAGGGAGAGTCGCCGATCGGCTCCACGGTGAGCCAGAGCCCCCCCTCGGCGCGCATCACCAGCTCGGGCAGGCGGCGCACAGCGCACGTCGTGTCCACGGCGATGCGGAAGCGCGCCAGCGTGAGCGCCAGCGCCACCTTCATCTCGGCCATCGCGAACCGCTGCCCGATACAGTTCCTGTTCAAAGACACGAAGATCCAAGATCCCCCACCAGGCCCCACTAACATACCGTCCCCGCCGTGGAGCGGGAATCGAACCCGGGCCGCCGGGTTCGTAGTGCAGCGCGCTCGGCAACTCGCCATCGCCCCCCCAAAGACAAAGATCCCCCGTGTAGCCTTAACGGACTGTCGGGGCAAGCGCCGTGAGCGAGTGGCGCCTATCGAGGCCGGCACTGGCACACGAGGGGGTGGGTGGGCAGCACCACGCCCGGCCGCCTTTGTCTCCCCAGTGGCGATGTTTACACGTCAGGACCGGTTGAGGTGATCATGTGATCATCACGGGTGTTGACCATGAATGGGAATCGAACTCGGGTCGCTGGGTTCGTGGCACAGCGCGTCAACCGCTCCGCTACCGTTTCCCAGTTCCTATCCGCTTGCTCGTACGCGCATCGCGGCGCTACGTTTGGAACTGGTTGCCATTATTATAGCGCAGCGGTTCTCAGAGTGCGATCCGCGGTATCGCCCAGGGGTCAGCGACGCTCCTCCGGGAGTCCGCGGGGGCTGTGATGCAAACGCAGCTTGATCCGGAAATAATTCATGTTTTACTTTTAATATTTAATTTAAAAAATGGAATTAGGTAAATTACCCTGATGAAACTACCCTAAGATCTAAATGCCCACCCACCCACCCCCCCCCCCCAAATAAATACGTTTTTGCTGCTTAAAAAAAAAGACTTTTTATGTTCCTGTAATAGGAATAATTTAGTTTAACATGTATTAGGCTTTCACAACCAATATCATCCATAATAGAGTTTTTTTTTTGTTAGATCGCATGAATCTAAATGTATCCTTAAACCTGCCACCACCCGACATAGCCAATTAGTAAGGTTTGTGACATAAACAGAACGTGCCAATTCGTGACAAGTACAGCACACCGGTGTGTTCGAGAGACAATCCACTCAACATTTACAATCTGAGCACGACGTTTCGCCAGTAATTCCAACTAGCTTCATCAGGCGGATGATTCTAGTTGTAATTACAACTAGTATCATCACAAATCTGGCCGTCCGCCTGATGATGCTAGTTGTAATTACTGGCGAAACGTTGCCAGCGATCCGCCAACCCAACCTTGCTCGTGATGGGAGCGATGTTTACCGGGGTCCAGCGGAGAACGGGATGAAGGCGTGAGGGGAGATCTTGTCCACCTTGTCGGGGCTGAACCGCTCAGGGTCGTACACCTGGAATGGGACGTGGCGCAGAAAACTGTTAAACTAAACAATTTTTGTTATTTTATTTTACCAGGTAATGTCCCACTGGGCTGTGTAGCTCTTTTTCAGAAGCGAGCTGGCCACAAATGATGGCTCAACAAAGTGGCTTATCACGTGGAAACCGAAAGCAGCAGCCAAATAGTCAAAACGCGTGATGTCGATTCTAAATGTGGAGGGAAAAAACGGAAGAACCTGGTGAAAAATCCACACGACCACGGAGGGAGAGACACGCAAACTCCAAATATACAGCAGCAGGCGTCAGGGTGGAGATCAAACCTGTATACCAGGCGATGTAGTTAACATCCTGCCCATCATCGCTCGCTTCTCCACAATCACGAGGCCCACGAGGCACCCAGAACGTGCCCAAACCTCTCAGGATCGCAGACGCTACGCGGGGTGCCACGGTGGCGAGATGTTCACGACCTCACCTGGGCTACAGGACGTTGTGGGTTCAATCTCGAACCCTGACGCTTGTCGTATATTTGCACGTTGCTTTCTTTGTGGTCGCGTTAATTTTTCTCCGGGTCCTCCGGTTTTTCCCTCCGCATTTAGAATCAGCATCACGCATGTTTACTATTTGGCTGCGATACATTTCAACGCGATAAGCCACTACATTGGGCTATAATTTGTGATAGCCAGGTCGCTTATGAAAAAGAGCGATATAGTTCAGGGGGGCATTACCTGGTAAAATAAAAATAGTTAAGTTTTATATAAACAGGTGTTGTAGACTACTGTAGAGCTATATGTTTCATTACACAAAAATTCATTGTTGTACTGCACTACCCTCCGTTGTCTGTGTTCCCCGACGTTACCAACCCATACTGACCGGCGTGGTGACGAGTGGTCAAAATAAGCCCCGTGGCCCGTGTGGTGTTAGGAGGCCGTCATCCAGCAGTGGATTGACAAAACGGTGGCATGTGCACCTAATGACGATGTGCAGTGCGTACCAAAGGGCTTAATCAAAGTCCACAATGCCGACAATTGTGCGTGGCGTAGAGCCGCCTCGTTGCAGCATAGCGTTTTCATTGGCTGTCAAACCGCAGCGTCACAAACAGCGTCGCCCAAAGCCACGTGGAGGCGCTGCAGAGTGTCACAAACAACATGGCTGACGTGGACGTGTCTTTCGAGCAGAGGGCTGCGATTGGATCTCGTGGTGGAAGGTGTCAGGTCAGCCGAGATGGCGGCAGAAAGCGTGTCGCCCATCCCCCCGCACCTCGGATGAGCGCGGTTGGCTAGGGTACGGTGCGAAAGAAGTTCAACGTACACGCGTACAGATGCGGTGGTACCGCTCGAGCTACAGAGGCATCGCTGCTTAGTCCGGGAGTGGCGGCTGCGGCATCACAGCCGAATCCCCTACCTCTGGGTCCGGCCACACCAGGGGGTTGTGGTGGGTGCCGAACACCGAGATGATCACCGTGTTGCCTGGAACGGCACAGTGGAACGCAACGTCACCAACCCGAACATCCACAACTCACCGGATTACAGCCGTGCATCGTCGTCGTCGTCATCATCAACTCAGAAGTCATCACGGCCAATGCTGTTTATGCCACCACATCTCACCATCACGCCATTCCTCACACAGATGAGGGCTTTCACGTGTCCATCAAGATCTGTCCTTGCATCTCCATCTCACTTGAGATCTCCTACTTGCTATGCTGTGGATACATCCTCTCTGCCTGCCAGCCAAACTGCTTACAGCCTGGGTTCGAGTCCAAGCAGCCGCCTGTGAACAAACCGGGTTCTCAGGGAGGTGACGGGTTTCGGGTCGGTTACCGGTGAATGCGCAAACAGCTTCGTCGTAAATATATTTTTTAAAATCGCTAAATAAATCCGCCAATAAAAACGTTGAGTTTGACTGGCATGTGACAAGAAATATCTCTACATCAGAGTGGGGGGTGAGGGGGGGGACAAGGGGTCATTTGTCATTACCCGACTGGGATCACACTGATATCACTGTGATCACTGATATCACTGTGATCACTGATATCACTTATATCACTGTGATCACTGATCTCGGTGATATCACTGATCTCGGGATCACCGGGATCCCTGGAATCACTGAGATCACTGGGATCAGTAGGATAATTGAGATCACTGAGATCACACACAGAACAGCAATCACCGCCCCCTACTGGCAGACTACTACCCCAGGTCACTCTTGCAAATGAAGACTTATCCTGGCCTCTTCGAGTTCCCAAGCTGGTTAAACAAAATCAACGTGAGACTCGATAAACATGCTACACTTACATTGAAGCACCTCTGTAACATCCACGACCGTTCTCTAAGACGGGGCGAGAGTACACAGTGCCCTGCGCACGTTCCAAACCGGTGGCATTATTCGGGTTCTTTAGCACGCGACTCTGAGAGAAGAAACATTTTGAATAAAATTTGCTGAAAAAAAATGGGAAATAAATAAACTGTGACGGTCACCCAAGCGCCACGACATCACGGTGGCGAGGCGATGTCAACTACCTCGCCTGGTCTGCAGAAGGTCGTGGGTCCAATTCCGACCCTGACGCCTGCTGTATATTTGGAGTTTGGGTGTCTCTCTCCCCGTGATTTTTCTCCGGGTCCTCTGGTTTTTTCCCTCCACGTTCAGAATCAACATCACGCGTTTAGAGTATTTGGCTACTGCGATACATTTACACATGAAGAGCCACTTCGCTGAGCTTTCATTTGTAATAGCCAGGCCGCTTCAGAGAAAACGGCTACATAGCAGCTCAGTGAGCCTTAACCAGGTAAAATAAAACTAGTGAGTTCGTTAGTGTGGCTACTAGAGAAGAGCTGTTTGCATTTCGCGCGGCGTTTTCATTCCTATGGCAAGCTGTACGTACAGTATGTGGAATGTTTTTTGCACCGTACGTAACCAACCGCTTTAATCGGAGATGCGGGGGGAATGACGCCGCTGCCGGCTACCAAAAGCGGTCACCTTTGGGGATGACGCGTCCGTCCGTGAGCGTCACGTCCTGGGTGCAGGCACGCGCCACCGCCGTCACGGGCGGGTGCAGCCGCAGGCTCTCCTTGAGGCACATGGTGAGGTAGGGCAGCTGGGAGAGGTCATCCCTGTCAGGCGGGGGGTGGCGTGAAGATTTTGAGTGTGCGGTGTGCATGGAGTGTGCGGTGTGTATGGAATGTGCGCTGTTCTCTCTCCCCAGATGGTGCATCTGCCAGTTATCTCGGTCAACTCATAGCACCTCTGTGCCATTACCTCCTGCACCCAGCCTGGCACAGCAGTTAACCCACAACAACAACGCTCTGTTCCGTGACCGACCGTACTGAGCCTGGCACAGCAGTTAACCACGGTGGCTAGGAGATGTTATCTTCCTGGCATAGTATACAGGAGGTCTTGGGTTTTATCCCGACCCTGACACTTAGAGTTTGCGTGTCTCTCCCGCAAGGGTCACGTGGATTCTTTTTTTTATCCTCCGGGGTCCTCTGGATTTTTCCCTCCACATGAGAAACGTGCGTTTAAGAGTATTTGGCTGCTATAAATGTTCCACGTGATAAGCCGCTTCGTTGAGCTGTAACTTGTGAATGGCAGGTCGCTTCTGAAAAAGAGATACGTCGCTCAGTGGGGCCTGATCTGGTTAAACCATTTTTTTTGTTTAAATAGTGTATGCAGAGAATCGCCAAAATCAGAAGCAACATCAGGAGAACAATCCATCACCATTTACGTGATGACCATCATAGGAGCAGCAGATAAAACAGCAACATCAACACCAACAGACACAACACGATCAGAATCATCGTTGTTAGCACCAGTATGGGGGGTGGGGGGGGGGGGAGTGGTGGTTGGAGTGGGGGGGTGGTGGGGGGAACCGACCACTCGAGGCCTCCTCCATTCTTGGCCTGCAGGAGCTGCGTGACCTCCTGGCGACAGCGCTGCTGGTACTCGGGATGGCGCGCCAGGTTGTACAGCGCCCAGCTGATGCCACTCGCCGTGGTGTCGTGGCCTAGACATGAACACGGTGCGCACGACAACAACAACAACGGTACTAACAAAGACAAAGCTCCCCCGTATAGCCTTAACAGACGGTTGGGGCAAGTGCTGCTAGCGAGGTTGGCACGGCGCACGAGAGAGTGGGTGGCCAACACCACGACCGGCCGTCTTTGTCTCCCCAGTGGCGATGTTTACACACCTCACCGGGTACTCATTTGAGGCTGAGTCGACCTAGGGGAGGCCCATAACCTGTTCAGATAATCGTCGCTGGTGTTGGCCATGAACGGGAATCGAACTCGGGATGCTGGGCTTGTAGCGGAGCGCGCTAAACGCGACACTACCGCTAAATGCACACATGAACACATGTGTGCACACGCACACACAGAAGGTTGAGATGACTTCTGTTCGTGAGCACCTGTCAAGCCTGGCACAGCACACAACAGGCGGTGGTGTTGCCAACACCACAAATGCCCGGCTGTCTTTGTTTCACACTGAGGTTACAGGAGGTCGTGGGTTCAATCCCGACCCTGATGCCTGTTGTAAATTTGGAGTTTGCGTGTCTCTTTCTCTCCCCGTGGTCGCGTAGATTTTTCTCCGGGTCCTCCGGTTTTTCCCTCCACATTTAGAATCAACATCACGCGTTTAGAGTATTTGTCTGTTATAAATGTCCACGTGATGATAAGCCACTTCGTTGAGCAATAATTTCTGGTAGCCAGGTCACTTCTGAAAAAGAGCTACACAGCCCAGCGTGCCTTACCCGTTAAAATGAAAAGTTTAGTTTAGTTAGTTTCGTTTCGAAGGCTGTGGTGTCCTGTGCTCACCCTCAAACATGAATGTGTCAACCTCAGCCTGAATGTCATCATCCGACATTCCCTTTCCATCTTCATCCTGAAAGAAAACCATCACCATCATAACCATCATCACCAACGTAATCATTCTTCTTTTAAAATCGTACGGCACATTGCGGAGAAGCCGCTGAACTTTTTGATTTACAGCAAATGTTATAAATCAACGTCAGGGTTTCTTTAGCCATTCAACTACATTTACTGTGAGATGCATTGCATTGTTGATGTCGTCTCGGGACCCAGAGCCACACAGAGACTTACAGAGAGACGCAGAGACCACAGTCACCACCACCACTGCTGCCACCGCTACCGCCACCATCGCCGCGACCACCACCACTGCTACCACCGCCACGGGGGACTCAAACAACGCTCCGCGTGGTGCCGCCCGCCCACCCTGGCCAGCAGGACGATGTCGATGAAGTCCGGGAACTTCCCCGGCCGGCCGCCCTGGCTGAGCGCGGTGCGGCGTCTGCGCACGGCGCCCAGGGAGTAGTCGTGCACCAGGGCGCAGAGGTGACGCGCGCGGCGCCCATTGGCCGACAGCCAGTAGATCGCGTCGGGGTAGTGCAGGAAGTTGAACTCGCGCTTGATCACGAGCTTACTCAGCTCGTAGACGGCGCCGATGTAGCGGCTCGACTCCCTGCACAGGGACGGAGCGGCACTCAGATGCTGGAATGCGCGGACCGGTCGCACCCTCCCCCCACCCACCCACCACCCACCCACCGCCCCCTCCCCCCCACCAAACGCCCACCCACTACCCACGGCCCACCGCCCACGTTGAGCTCACGCGACTTGACTTTGCCGGCTGAACACGACCGCTGTGTCCACGCCTGAGCGACCTTCAGTTGCCCAGGCAGGAGGCCCTCATGTCCACAAGCTATTACACCGACTGGCCAGATCGCCACGAGGCCTCGTCCAAATATCCATCGTGAATCGTAACATCGCACCGGCTGCGAAAGCCGACGCGTCGAGCTCACGTGAGCACCGTTGCTCTTGTAAACGGGCGAGGAGCTCGGGCACCATGCATGGGGGTCGAAGGCCGAACACTCGAGGACAAGTTGGTAACCAGGGGAGAGGTTAACGCATGGCGAGAGAAAATAGTTTTTACGGCACGATAACGCGCGCGGGTCCTTTGTGATAAGATAGGGTGTTTAGCCGTATCTTGCTTGCATCTCCAGCGAGATAAAGCATGCTCCGAGCCACAGTGCGTTGCTGTTGCTGCTGCACCGTCATCGCGCTAGCTGTAAACCACGCGCTGTATTAGCGACGGTTTGCTCGTTCAAGGAGTTCGCCTCGTCATTTACGTCACCCACGCTCTGCTCATTTCCATTCCACCATTGCGGTTTCTCCGTTTCACGACTGGACTTGCTCACTTCACGCGAGCCCGAATTCTGGCGTCAAAGCGGGGAATCGAACCAAGGGGTTTCTCGCTGCGAGGCGCTGCGTCACCATTATACCACACAGAAACTCTTTAGTTTCCTGTGAATTTTGTAACGGTCTCTGTGTTGCGTAACTCGAGGGAGGGAGGGAGGGGGGGAGGAAGAGGGGGAGGGAGGGGCTCACTGCTGGCAGATGTTGTCCTGGCCGAAGGTGCACTTGAGGAGGCTGTCGAGCGTCATGAGGCTCACCGACTCGAACACGTTCACCGAACTCTTGCCGCTCCGCAGCATCTCCGTCCAGCCGGCCTGTCGTCGAGACACGACACGGCAACGTCCTCGACGGAACCGGACGCTCGGATTGTACGAGTCCCGTCCACTCCGCCGGAGGCCAAACCACGGCAGTCCGCTATTAACATTCACGCGGTCTCTAGGCTAGCGGCCGGTCTCAATTGGGCCCTCCACTCAATGCGACACTGACAGAGCCCATCCGCTCCATCTGGAACTGAGTTGGGACATTGTCCTCGGCTCGGTGTGAGCGACATCGAGACGGAGCCAGCGCCTCCACTCCACTTGGGAGAGATGAGGCGGAGCACCGCTCTCCCCACACCGCCGGGACACCGACCGCTCGCTTAAAGGTCGCGACTTCGACCTCGTGCTGCACTCAGTGGACACGGGGAGAGGGTGTCCTCCACTGCACATCGCCCTTTCCTCCCTCCCTACCCCGCCCCTCTCTCTCTCCCTCCGCCCCTCCCCCCCTCCCTCCTCCATCCCCCTCCCTCCTCCATCCCCCTCCTCCCTCCCTCACATGCATGGCGGAGATGCTCTGGTCGAACACGGAGACGTAGGGCTGCAGGATGCTGAAGTGGAACGCCGGCGTGAGGAGGTGGCGTTGGCGTGACCAGCGCTGACCGCGGCTCAACAGCAGCCCATCCCCTGTGGATGCACACAGGGGGGTGGCAGAGGCAAAGGTCCCCCGCGTAGCTGCACAGACGGATCGGGGCAAGTGCGAGTAATACTGTGAGCGAGCGCGGCATGCGAGACCGCTATGTGGCAGACCTCTGCTCCTCGGCGCCGATGTTTGTGCACGGCGCGAATCGTTCAAGGCCGAGTCGACCAGGGGAATGCTCAGAAACAGCTCGGATGTCACGTGTGCTGTTAGCGAGCACCTATTCAGGCTCGCACACGAGTGCTGATGTGACCACACCACATCTAGGTATTCGTCTGCTCAGTGCTGGTGTCTAACACACGACAGAAAGTACTCATTTAAGGCTGAGTCAACCTAAGCGAGGCCCGGGACAAAAACTGATGCTATTTGTCACTTAATTTTGTGCCATATTCGAGAATCAAACTCAGGTTCACGGGTTTGTAGCGCAGTGCACTCACCACTGCACGACCTACCACCATATATAAAACCATACACGAGACAACGATCCTGCGGCCGTCTGGAACGCTCTTCTACAGGGGTGGTACAGATGTCTTGTGAACCCCCCCATTTAATTCTCTAAAATGTAACATTTTTTTAAGTAAGGTTTATTTAAAACAGAAATTAATGTGTAAAGTTAAAAAAACTAGGGGTCAATGAATTGGGGGTCACAAGCCATCTTGACCACCCTGTAGATTAAAAAAAATATTTTTAGAACTGCTTTTTGTGTTGAGTGTTGTTGTCCTTCCCCTGCACCAACGATTAGTGCGGTCGGTCACATACTGTGCAAAAGAAGTTCAACGTAAATACATACAAAGCCAAGTCAATTCCACTCCTTCAAATATCCGAGAGCGGATATTGCTGATCACATGAGGAAGCAGGCAACAGGATTGCACAAGCAATGGCAGACCTTGTAAAATATGTCAAAGTGAGGCGACAACGCGAGCACTGTACCTCCGATTAGCGTGGTTGGCTACGTAAGGTGCGAAAGAAGTTCAACGTAGTTACTTTGATACTTGCGTTGCGTTTGTGCTGTTCGCCTAATGGCGTTCTCTAGTCTGACACTGGTGAAACTAGGCCATAAACAAGGCCGCTGTCTCTGGTGTAGGCCAATCGGTTTCCAAGACAACGCATGCATTATAAGAGCGCGTTTGTTGCTTGTTCACTACAAGCACTGTGTGTGGTTAATGCAAATTTGATGCCTTGCAATAGTTATCTATTTGGTGTTTGAACATCTTACCACCTCCACTTTTTATTTCCCCAAAGGGTGAAGCCCATTCTTACTGGCAAAAAATGTCCCATAGATACACTGTACAAAAAATGGCCACAAAGACAAATCTCCCGTGTAGCCTGAACAGACTGTTGGGGCAAGTGCTGTTAGCAAGCACCTACACGCGCACACAATGAGACGCGCACACAATCACGTACACAAACACACGTACACAAACACGCGTACACAAACACGTGCGTGCACGCAGACACTCAAAAGAGATTGCCCGTATGACCACGAAGACTGTTGGCCATGAAGGCCGTCGGGGGGGCACCGACGAAGGGTGACAAGGCCCCAGTCTCCCCAAGCGGCTTCACGTCGACCGCACCAACAGAGGGGCTTCATTGAGACCGGAGGTCGCAGTTCAACCACCGCAGACCTGGCAGCCTACGCCAACTTTTAAGCGGAACCCCATTTGCCAAAACTGCTTCATCGGACACATTCCTTTGTGCGTGCGGTTTCGTGTTATCAGGATTCAGTGCTGACAACGCCGCGATGATAACGGCGGACGGACGGCGTGCGGCATGCTCGGTTTAACGAGGGGGCTGCGTGAGGTCGTGCGGCCCTGTGGGTGGTGGCGAGTTGTCACGGTGGGGGTCGGTGGGTCGGGGGTTGAACCGCGAGAGTCCAGAGCGAGGGGGGGGGGTGGGGTTGTCGCCACGCGGTAGCAAACTCACCGAGCCACGGTCGCAGCAGCCGGTAGAAAAAGTCGTCCTTCTCGGCGATGCTCGCTGCTCACGGCGAGGAGGAGGTGGTGGCGGCGGTGGGGGAAGAGGGGCCAGAGCACACAGAGAGAGCACACACAGAGAGAGACGGCGAGAAGATGCACGTTGAGCATCGTACACGCAGGTGACTCGTCTCCCCCCAGTGATGGTGTTTTACACACCACAAAATACTAATTTAAGGCCGAGTCAACCCAAGGGAGGGCCAGGCCGAATTTTGTTACTAGATGAGATTCCTGGCAATAGTGTAGAGGAGATCAGCAAGGTATTGTCTTTAAAATTGGACATTTTTTTGCTCGCATCAAAGTATGAAAAATACAGGAATGTTTTACCCGCGACACGTCACCGCGACACCACGTCACCGCGTCAACGCATCACCGCGCCGAGGAGCGCAATGCGGCGATCCCTCGAAGTTCAAAGACCCCCCCCCCCCCCCCACCTGAGGCCATGAGCACAGACTTGACGTAGTCGGGGTGGTAGAGGCGGATAAAGGGAAAGGGCCCGAACCACGTGAGGTTGGACACCTTGAAGCGACGCACGATCTCGCACACGGTCCGCAGGCCCTCCTCCGTGTTCCGGATCTGGGCGAGGGGACACGCACGGACTCCGTGAGCGCTCTCCGAGTGTGCACGGTCCGTGCGCTTGATTCAAGAATCAGAATCTTTATTTTGGGCTGCAGGAGGAGGAGGGGGAATCGCGATGAGCTCTGTGGAAGCTCTTTTTTCACAGACGTCTGGTACGAGCCATGGGGTCAGCGAGAAATACCCCAAAAAACGACATGATGCAAAATTAAGAAAAAAGGGCAAGTCACTGAACAGAATAATTTATTAATTAACAAAATATATAAGGACGGATTTATGAAGCTTGGGCAAGGGGGCATAAACAGGAACAAAGCAGTCCCTGTTTCCACAGAGCGAGTCTCTCATGGGGTATTTAGACAACAGATTAACAGCCAATCTCTCAATTGCATCAGAAGACAGCAGATAGACCAATGTCTGTTCTCCGATAGGGTCTCGTTACAATCCACGGTCAGACTGGTCTCTGATAGTTATCTGCTATTCCTATATATTTCTTTTTTAATCAGCTAAGACCCACTGAGCTGCGTAGCCGTTTTTCAGAAGCGACGCGGCCATAAATGATAGCTCAACGAAGTGGCTTATCGTCATCGCGTGGAGATTCATAGCGGCTCAAATTCTCTATTTGGGGTCTCTCGCGAGCTCGGAGCTGGCACCACGCGGTGGGGATCGGTTCACTGTGGAATGTCTTGGTTGCAACGAAATGGACGATAGTCAAACTGCATCTTTAAAGAATAACTAAGGGGGGGAGAGAACTAGACGCAGTTTATTCTATCACCTATCTTAGTTTATTTAAGTAAGTGTGTGTTGTTGTTATCTGCTGTGTACACGGTCACTCTGAGTGTAATGCGGCTCTAACGGCGAATACCGGCGACGATTATCTGAACCGGTTCTGGGCTAGGTCGACTCAGCCTCAAATGAGTACTTGGTGCGGTGTCAGCATCTCCACTGGGGAGACAAAGGCGGCCGAGCGTGCTGCTGGCCACCCACCCTCTTGTGCGCTGTTTCGCCCTTATTAGATTGCAACTTGCTAACAGCACTTGCCCCTACAGTCTGTGAAGGCTACACGGGGGATCTTTCATCTTTATCTTTGTGTGTGTGTGCGTGTGTATGTGCGTTCGTGCACGTGTATGCGTGTGTGCGTGTGTGTGTGCGTGTGTGCGTGCGTGTGTGCGTGCGTGTGTGTGCGTGTGCGTGCGTGTGTGTGCGTGCGTGTATGCGTGCGTGTGTGTGTGCGTGTGTGTGTGTGTGTGCGTGCGTGTGCGTGCGTGCGCGTGCGTGCGTGCGTGTGTGCCCGGGCGAGGCCGCACGATGCCGAAGTGGCCCAGCAGCCAGCTGCGGCGTGGCGGCTCGGGGAAGCAGGCGAGGCGTTGCGCGTTGAGGCGGTACGCGAGCACGGCCCGCGCGGCGCGGGCGGCCCCCAGCAGCGCCACGGACAGCAGCACCAGCAGCAGCGCCAGCAGCACCGGAGCCATCCTGAGCGCAGACTCTGGGGCGGCAACGGACGGACGATCGGACGGCGCTCGCGCCGGGCTGGGTGCGCCTTGTGCGCACAAGCGAGGTGCAGGAGGTGAACCGCACGACGAGGCAGCTGCCTGCCGAGTAGCGCGTGCAGTGCACACAGCACACACATAGCACACTCAGCACACACACAATACACATAGCGCACACACACAGTACACACACAGTACACACAAAGCTTTGTCCCACGTCCGACTGCATAGCTGCGCGTAGAGAGAATTCAAACCGCGGAGCGGAGCGATTTTTTTTAGTGTAAATAGGTAAAGCCGCATATACAGCGCAGGATCGCACAGAGCGAAACGGCGGCGTAGAGCAAGGGGGATTCCGAGCGTGACTCCGCGAGCCGAACGAAAAGCCGTTTGATAACGGGAGAGCAGCAGAGCAAACCAACGCAGACACCGGAGTGGTGGCGGACTTTAAGGACGCTACGACGTTGATAAAAAACGTAAGCCGCTGAAAGAGAAAATGTGAGGAGTCTCACGGCAGGGAGCAAAGGACGCGAAGACGGGCGGCCACGCTTGGAATTGCCGTGTCCCCTCCCAGCCCTGGCTACTCACGAACTTGCCATCCGCGGTTTTGGCTATCCGAGAATCACATCTGGAACCTCTACATGACTACTGGTCATCGAGAGAGAGAGGGGGGGGAGAAAGAAAGTGATGAGATAAAGTGACGAGAGGGAATGTGATCCGAGAAAGTGATTAGATGAAGTGATGAGAGAAAAAGGAATGAGATAAAGTGATGAGATAAAGTTTCATGAGATAAATAGAGAGATAGAGAGAACTTCTCCGACGGTAATAAGTTAAAGAGAAAGGTTTTTCGTAGGCCAATATCATTATCCACTTAAATGTGTGGATCATTTCAAGAGCATCTCCGGAACGTTTCCCTGGCGAATAACGAGGGAACGCTGTGAACACGCCGAGAGGCAGGGGGAAGAACGCAGGGGTTGAGAGAGCGACAGGCGAGACACTGGGCAGAGTGTGAAGAGTGGGTGGGCTCGGGGACACGACGCTAGGAGATGGGCTGATGGCCATCGGTCGAGAGCGATGATTGAAGACGATGATGATGGTGTGGCAGCCGATGCCCGAGACGGAGCGATGACATTGAGCTCGCGCGCGCAAAACGGAGCTTGAGCCGTCGCTTTGCGAGACCGCGGAGGGATGGCGATGAACTGGAGACGTCTCATTCAGCAGCGGGTAGATCACAGCTGATGACAATGACGACGGCGATGACGACGATGACTTGTTATAATCACAAGAAATCGCGACGGTGTCAAACGCATGCACGCGCGCCGGTTCAAGCACTTTCAACAGTGGCCCAGAGTGACCCTACCCTCGTGCAAATACCCAGTTTGGCATTTACTCAAGAAACTTGCAAGACAAGCAACGGCCACCACAAACGTCACGATTCTGACCGTTTTTTTTTTTTACGGCAGTCGCTCAAGCCATTTACTCCGATGTATAATATACTCTTATATAAGCGCACAACTTTATCTATGATGAACACTGCACTTTCCGTCGTTTTCATGTAGGGGGCGCTGCAAACCTACGCGCCCCCTGCATGAACGACGGAGGCGCAGGGACAGACGTTCGATTACGTTGGAATCAATCTACAGACGGCGGTCTTCTCGCACGGCCAGCTCTGTCGCCTTATCTCGATCCCGCAATCCCAAACGGGTGAAAGTCCGTATCGAAACGGACCCCCAGCAAGGCCATCGACTTAACGACGAGAGAAAATTCACACAAAATGTTTTGAATTAAGTCTTCCAGATGTAAAATATAAGCTTTTAATGAAGAAATAAAATAATCTAATTCAAAACATAATAAAATTCAAAGATGTTTCATTTTAAAACTTCAAAACGGAGCATCGGGTGCTTGCGTGAATGCGTCGTTCGTGTGCAAATTTTTTCGTGACTTTCCTGGTCGAAATCCGAAGGCCGTAAATGCTTGTGAGGTGCGCCGCAACCCTAACCCAGGTGCCCCTGAACAACCCCTAGTATAATACATGCGTACGCGACAATTCAACGGGCGATGTTTTTACCCACCGCTTTTTGGCGTCCTCGAGTTGACCGATTTGCAAAAGGCCTCCGCTGCAGTTGGACCCGGCTGCCCCCGGTTGCAAGTCACGGCGGTGAACTTGAACCTTTGCTCAGTGTTGATCCAGTTATTAACAGGGCGGAGAAAGCCCGCGTCCTGCCAGTTGACACTGCAAGCGCAAGGGGAAGAGAGATGAGACGGCGATGCATTTTACACTCTCCCTTCATTGCAATGCTATTCCAAATTGCACGTAATAATAATCATTGTCAAGCGCTAAATAATAGCGCGATCACAGCGTCACAAAACAAAACACGGCACGTCGTGCCAATGACAGGCCCGCGCAATGGGAGCAATGAGTTTATGATTAACTCTTTAAAGAATTTTTTTTCATTCAGATTTCAGAAAGGGAATTATAACACAATTATTATAATAATAGGAGCGCAATATGCTGGCGTTGTGTCATGAGATCAACGATGATTAAATTCCAAACTTAGCTGCCGTCTGAGAATTCAACACACTCGTCAACAATACATTGGCAACGTTTCGGGCAATGGCCCTTCTCCATAGGAAACGGAGAGGCTGGAGAATGGCTCTGGAAAGATGTCACGGAACGAAAGATGATGTCACACAACGAAAGATGATGTCACGGAACAAAGCACTCATGAAGTCACTTGAAGGCACTTCTCCACAATCAGACACGGCGGTGGCGGTGGTGGCAAGTTTCCCGCATGACCTGCAACTGAGTGTGCGTCAGTCACATGCAAGTCCATCCTAAATGTTAATTCTCGGGACTGGGGATATGCCTCCGTGTTAAAAAGTGAACTTTTTTTTGTTGCAAAAAAATATTTTCGCCCCCTCCTCCAATTGTATACCCATTGTGCTATCGATTCAGGTTATGAGATGAAGAATCCATTCGGATCTCGTGCAGCTGTTGTTGTTGGTGGAGAGCCGCCCACGGAAGTGGATGTCGTGGAGGTACCTCTGAGATGCCGTAAAGTGATCGCCGGGTCCACGAGGTAGAGGGCGGCACTTTCTCACGCAGAGTAACGTTCGTCGCGTGACAGTCAAACCGATATGTTAAATTCTGAGGAGCTGGAATTTTGTGAAGTGCAGAGCCAAATTAGAATGTGACTTTTTTCATGCATCTTTCGCAGTCACGGAAGGAAACCCATAAACTTGCTACGCTGGAATATATTGTATGTTCATCATGGGTGGCTGCAAAAACTGTGCACCCAATACATCAATCCCGACCCAATACATCAATCCCGACACAATATTGGCCGACCCACCCCAGCCACTACAGCCACCACAAGTCACCCCAGCGAACCAAGGCAATTGTATTTCACATTTGCAGGAAACCGCGGTGAGTCGCTCCCAGTTCACCCATCAGTACAGTACATTGTGCAATGCACGCACTTATACCGTAAATATATTTAACCATCAGCTTCTGTAACAAAAAAAAACGTCAAAAAATCCGGCATGCGAGTTTCGTTCTACACGGAATTAAGAAGAAAAACACCATCACAAAGAAAGAAGTGTAAATGGACACACATTACCTATCGCGAACACAGCGTGGCAGGCTCTGTGCAGGTGCGACCGCTTGCTCCTCGCCTCGCGCGTGCCGAGTGCCCGCACCGGGCAGCTTGCGGGCTGCTGATGAGCGGCGAGAGCGCGAAACCCGCCGGGCCCCGGGTCTGAGTGGAGGAGCGGGGATGGCGCGCGGGGCGAAGCTGCGAGTGACGGCACCTGCGGTGAGGTCGCCGTGGACGCCACGCGCGAAGGAGTTCCTCCAATCAGCATCCTGCGTTGTGGTCACTCCCCCTCCCTCTTCTCCACTCCCTCCTCCCCCCTCCCTCCCCTCCCTCCTCTCCACACCCTCCCCCTTCCAACCCCTCCCTCCTCCCCCCTCCCTCGCCCCCTCCCTACCCCCTCCCTCCTCCCCCCCTCCCTCGCCCCCTCCCTCCTCCCCCCTCCCTCCTCTCCACTCCCTCCTCTCCCCCTCCCTCCTCTCCCCCTCCCCCCTCCCTCCTCCCCCCTCCTCTCCTCCTCCCTCCCCCCTCCTCTCCCTCCTCCCTCCCCCCTCCCTCCTCCCTCCCTCCTCTCCACACCCTCGCCCCCTCCCTCCTCCCCCCTTCCTCCTCCCCCCTCCTCTCCTACTCCCTCCCTCCTCCCCCCTCCTCTACCCCTCCCTCCTCCCTCCCCCCTCCCTCCTCTCCACACCCTCGCCCCCTCCCGCCTCCCCCCTCCTCTCCCCCCTCCCCCCTCCCTCCTCCCCCCTCCCTCGCCCCCTCCCTCCTCTCCCCCTCCCTCCTCCCTCCTCCCCCCTCCCTCCTCCCTCCTCCCCCCTCCCTCCTCCCTCCTCCCCCCTCCCTCGCCCCCTCCCCTCCTCTCCCCCTCCCTCCTCCCTCCCTCCTCCCTCCCTCCTCCCTCCCCCCTCCTCCCTCCCCCCTCCCTCCTCCCTCTCCACTCCCTCTTCCCCTTCCACCCTCTCCCTCCAGCCTGGAAGCGCATTATTAAGTAACACACAACACACACCGCAATTCCTTACAGGTGAGTCACATGCTAAGTGGCTGATTACTGATCTATTACATATGTAGAGGAGTAATATGGGCCTCCTTTGGTAGTACCAAAATATAATAGGGGTTTTCCCCTTTTTTTCTGGCAACTAAACTGAAACCTTTTTACAAGGATTCATGTCTGCATTAACCACAATAATGTTTTTGTAAACGGATTTTTTGAAAACAGAGGCAAAATTATTCGGTTTGTCCGTCCGTCTGTCCAACCAATACATTTATATCCCCTCTGTACGTGCACGGGAATTGAAATAATGGCATCTTTGTTATTTGATTTGTATTTTTTTCCCTAGAATGTTTTCACCTCCACGTCACTTGGCACCCGAGGCGACCCCCTGTAAGGATGGGCCGCTCCCTGCTCCTCTGCTGGGTCGATCAAATAGTTGTCACTTTCCTGCTTAAATCCTAATGACACACTGGTCACTTTGGCAACTTTCCACGGCTGGCTTCGGACGACTGCATTTGTTTGAGCAATGGAGACATATCAACTTGTTTGGTTACTTCGAGAAAGGAAACATTAAACTATTTAGCTCTTTCGCTAAAGTCACGTAGATTGGAAAAATAAAAAATCAAGTTTCGATCGCAACACACGATCGATTGCTTGTGTTGTGATCGAAACGTCGTGATTTTTTATTGTATTATTTTTCTAACTACGTGACTTTACCGAAAGAATCAAAGAGTATAAATTCCTGCAGTCACGAAAGCTTCAAGTCAAGATTTAAACATTAAACAATTGTAATATGCAGCCATGCATCTCGTTGACACTGACAACTTTACCCTACACTTCGCACCACGTGTGCACGTATTATCGACGACGCGTCATCTCATGGGCCCTCTCACCTCGGGAGCTGCCCCCTCCTGCAGCTGTGGGGTCAGAGGTTGGGTGGAGGACACAGACACTACATACACATCTACATACACGCTACATACTAACTACATACACACTACACACACACCACACACACACTACATATACACTATCTCTTCTTGACGTCTGCGTACAAATGCGTTGTTTTTTCTCTTCTTCAATCCCAAGATGCTGCACAACATCAGCAGCAAAAGCGGGAGACGGAGTGGTGAGGACGAGGGAGACGGAGTGGTGAGGACGAGGGAGACGGGGTGGTGAGGACGGGGGAGACGGAGTGGTGAGGACGAGGGAGACGGAGTGGTGAGGACGGGGGAGACGGGGTGGTGAGGACGAGGGGGACGGGGTGGTGAGGACGGGGGAGACGGAGTGGTGAGGACGAGGGAGACGGGGTGGTGAGGACGGGGGAGACGGGGTGGTGAGGACGAGGGGGACGGGGTGGTGAGGACGGGGGAGACGGAGTGGTGAGGACGAGGGAGACGGAGTGGTGAGGACGGGGGAGACGGGGTGGTGAGGACGAGGGGGACGGGGTGGTGAGGACGGGGGAGACGGAGTGGTGAGGACGAGGGAGACGGGGTGGTGAGGACGGGGGAGACGGAGTGGTGAGGACGAGGGAGACGGAGTGGTGAGGACGGGGGAGACGGGGTGGTGAGGACGAGGGAGACGAAGGCGGCCGAGCGTCGTGGCGCGGTCCGGGTCCCAGGGGCCCCGGGCGACCAGGACCCGGGCTGGATTGTCCACCACCCTGGGTGCCGTGGGGGGGGGGGGGGCGGGGGTCCGTATATCTCCCCCCTCCTCCATCCCATCCCCAAATTTTTTTTTTTAGATTCGACTAAGAGACACCCACAATAGTTTGTACAAAACCGTGGTATTTTTGTTGAGTTCATGGGTGTTTTTATTTTTCCCCGCTTCTCGGTTTCGGGAAAAGGTGACAGAGGGCTGCTGATGATGATGATTGTTGTGCTGATGACGGGGACATTGGAATGTGGTGGAGCGGTCGTTTTCTTAGCCCACAATCTCATTCCCCTTGCACGGCGATCAGGACGCGTTCGGGTAATAAAGGCGGCCCCGGTCAATACTTCGCCGTCCTGTTCGGTCTTAATTCTAGATTTGAAGCTTTCGTGACTGCAATGATTCATATTCTTAGGTTTCGGTAAAGTCTTTTTGTTCAGCCCCAACGTTCAGCAGCGGACATTTTGTTCTCGTTTACAGCAACAATTTTTTTTGTTAAATTTCGATTTAAAGCTTTCGTGACTGCAGGGATTCATCTTCTTGGTTCTTTCGATAAAGTCACGTAGAAGGGAAATGATAAAATAATAAAAAATAAAATTATTTTATTATTTCCCTTCTACGTGACTTTACAGTAGAAGGGAAATAATAAAATAATAATAAAAGAATTGTTTTTTTTTATTTCCCTTCTACGTGACTTTACCGAAAGAACCAAGAAGAAATAATTAGTTTCTAAAGATTGTTTTTCAATATATACGGAGCTGTTGCATGAACAGCGAGGTTCAGAACTGAGTCCTCTCGCCAGCTGTTGTTTATATCTACTACAATCACCCAGGAATGTCTGTCATTAACACTCGTGACGTCACTCCACATCGACCAGCCCCCTCATTAATATTCATGAGCAGGTGACGTCCTTCAAATGGACACCCCCCCACCCCTGCGGGTGACGTCACTCCATATGGAGTGCTCCCCGCCCCTCGCTAATAATCATGCGCAAGTGAGTCACTCCACATCGAACAGCCCCCCTCATTAATAATCATACTGCTAGGAACCTCCTGGTTCCACCAGCCCACAGGGGATTATTGTGTCCGTCGTGCATCCAAAAATGGGAGGGGTGGGGCTGGGTGGGGAGGGGCTTATAAAAATACAAAAGTGTATTTTCATAATTTGTGCATGGTGTAGTCTGGGAAGTAGCCACATGGCAAATTTCCAGTTTGTTGCGTGTCGGGAAGTTCGCTAAACATTTTGAACAGACACATACTCACAACTTTGCCTTGTATGTATATGGAGATTGACAAAAACAACCTCTCATCTTTTAAAACGTTTATTTTACACCATATTGAAAAAAAATATCTGTACAGGACAGCAGTAAATATGTACAATTCCCGGTGGTTATTTGACTATACCAATCATCTACAATCACACTGTAAAGCAAACAGCTCTCTGCAAATCAGCACGAGATTAAATATGCAATCACCGAATCACACACAAACCCCTAAAAACTCAGATGCCAGTAACGCCGACCTTTACAGCAACCCATAGGGTTTGGCAGCTTCGTAGAAATTGCATTTCAACCCCATCATCATCATCGTCCGTCAATGTCTAAAGGGGTGGTAAAATGAGTACCACATTGGTGAAGCTCCTGCCACTTAATGGGAAGTCATCAACGGTTGTCCTGTGAGCAGACGTGTCCCAACAACAGCAATGTGGAGTTGGCATTATAGGCAGACCTGGACAAACGTTACAATGTCGTAGGGATGACTGTCAGATATGTTTCAGATCTACAGATCTCGTCCATTCGCTGACCGATGTAAAATGTCTTCGTGATCGCAGTAGTGATGTCACGCGACGTCACTTTATGCGGGCGAAGCACGCAACTGACATCATGTCTCCGTAGCCGTTTCACCTCTTGAAATCGCCCGAACTTTCACATCTTATGCTCGATTTATTTTTCAGATGTGAAATTCGTGAACACATCCCCCCCCGCCATAGCATGTACATGTAACACATTCCTGCGGAGGGAGCTGGTAGGACCGTTGGGTTGCTCGGTCAATGGCCTGCAGGGTCAACGGCGGCGTGGTGTATTCCGCAAATATGCCCGACTGTGAGGGCGGGCACAAGCTGGCGTGAGTAGGTTAAACGTTGAGTTTTATAAGGGCACCACGGGGTGACCAGCCCCTCCCCACCCAGCCCCTCCCCACCCAGCCCCACCCAGCCCCACCCCACCCAGCCCCACCCAGCCCCACCCCACCCAGCCCCTCCCCACCCCACCCTCTCCACCCCCCACCCCACCCTCTCCACCCAGCCCCACCCCTCCAATTTTTGGATGCACGACGGACACAATAATCCCCTGTGGGCTGGTGTAACCAGGAGGTTCCTACCAGTATTAGGTTACCACGTGTCATTCAAGCGACATTAAATGCCGCTGTAAAGTGCTCAGCTGATGAATAACGCAACACAGAGGGCCCGGAGAGCATCCCACGTGGAACACCGGGTGATCCAACTCGAGATACCCCACCGACGTCTGACCCTCCTCCTTCTCAACAGCTGATCGAATTGTGCGAGTGTTTTAAAAAATATTAAAATAGAAACGACCGTATTAAGATTGGCGTGTGAAGGCTTTGAAATTAAATTCAGCGTTTCGTTCTCCCGGCATACTCCGTTCAGCACGGCTGGCCGCGTACGGTGCGAAAGAAGTTCGACGTAGATTTACAAGCTGCTCCCGTCGGCTCACTCGAGGCGCTTCTCCGCATTTCAAAGCGTAAACGAGTGCGGAGTGATTTAGGTGGTGGCGAGGCGCCGAGGAATCAAGTGACCGTGACAAGAGGACGCACGTGGGATCGACATCGATGCCATGTGCTGCGCGCACGACACGTGACGGGGGCATAGATGGCCGTGACCTTGAGGCGCGGGGTCAAGGTCAGTGCGACTAAAGCCGGGCCGGAGTCGGGGCGCACCGAGCACCGCAGCGGGGCCGATGGCCGTGTTGCAGACCGCGGTGGGGGCAGTGCCAGATTATCCTCGTAGCTACTACATATACATATGTAGTAGTACATATGTATATGTACTACTACATATGTAGTTGTAGCTACGGGCCCCGCGCTAAATGCTTTCAAGCTATAAATTCCGGTTCAGTGATTATGCACTTGCTCTATTACTATAATACTATACCGCCTTCGACTTTTAGGAACGACTGGGTGTTTAAGGTGAGCGATTTGATTTATTATCTGGCCGTATAACAAATGAAAAAATACAATTACCTTACTATGCAAGTAACAAAAAAAATACTGTTTTAATATTTACGTGTTTTTTTTTTATTCAGGGCCCCCTTTATAACAACATAATATTCTACAGGCCCCCGTTCTGATCCCGGGTGTAGAGAGGCGGCGGCTGTCGGCCATGGAGCGTTCAACCCGTGACCTCTCGCGCGGGGTGACAGGAGGAGCGAAGGGAAATGCGGAGAGCGACCGACTGCAGAAGCGCGTGGGCAGAGGCCGTCTGTAAATGGATCACCCAAAATGTCCTATCGGGATGGTAATAATTCACCACCCCCATCACCCCTTCTTCATTCAATGGACTGTCCCGATCCAGGTTCACAATTCAATTGACACTGTGGTAAATGCAGCGGCTTCCCGTGGCTGCCAGGGGTCTTGTGAACCCCAATTTTCGTGCGACATTCACGGACGAATACAACGGCGATCGTCGTCCTACACCCGTGACCTTGACGCGGCCGTCAGGGTCACCGTGTGCGGCGTCGTCCTGCTATTTAACACCGCAAGCAGGCGGATGGCTTCACGCTTTGTGGCGAATCGCCCGATCACGCTGCTGGATGTAATCGCCAGCGAAACGACACGGAACTCAAATGGTAAATGTCGTGTGGGTTCACTCCCTCCAACACACCGGTGGGCTGAAGTAGTTACTCATTGGCACGTTTTGTTGACGTGACAAATCCCTTACTGGCTGTGTCGGGTGGTGGAGGGTTACGACACATTAATACCTTCGCGACCTAACCCAAAATACTTTATTAAACTTTTAATGTGTTTATCCTTCGGTTTAAAATGTACTTCTTGGCGACAGCAGCATGGCATTGAATTGTGATTCTATGTACAAAGTAGCACTACACATGTATAAATACAGCAAACGTCCTCACGCCTGTGCGGTTTATTTCTGCAATGTGTTTCGGGCCTGTGCTGCGTTGCTCACATTCGGGACGATGTCCGACGTTTCGCTCCACGCGCTGGCTTAGCATCTGGAAGAAACTTCCCGAAAAAGCTCCCAGCATATGCAGCAGCGAAACGTTTGGGACACCGTGCCGAAGAAACCCGGAGTGCAACTCCCTAGAAAAACGTATCGGAGAGATCTGTGTACACCACGCACGACAATGTCGAATGTGGAGACTTCTTCCACTCAATTCCCCAACCGCACCAACGCAATCAGCAGATGGGTGCAAATCATCGTGACCCGGCGAGGCACGGGGAGACTGGTAAATAAGAAGCAACATTTAAATGAACGATTAACCATCTCCACCGGCTTGTATCCATCTTATTTCCATAAACTTTTTTTAAATAGTTAGTGCGCGAATACAAACACCTGAACCACACTCGTTCCTAACACACTTGCGTGGGAAGCATTCGACGGGGAAAGCTCGCTTTTAATTACGATTTACCGAGCATTTTCCCAATCGCCACAAGTTTGTTTTCTTTTGTCTGCTTGCGAACGTTCAAAACCACCGGCTGATTTTTAAAACACGTGCACATTGGGACGTTGAATGCACGTAAAAAAAAAAGCAGCGTTTTAAATTGTGCAGTTGCCGACGAGTAAGCTCGTGCTGCCACCCTTTGACACGTCTTAGAACTCCCCTCTGTGACGTCACAAGCCATTGCATCACGAGGCGCACGTGGCACCGGTTTCGAGCCAACCGAGCCTTCCTTCTTCCGCACACAATGCAAAGCGCCCGCCCCTATTGGCGTACTTTTATTTAACCAGTCGAGTCAAATGAGATATGCTGCATTCTGCAGTGGAGTTTGCGGTGCTGCGGAGGAGATTAATGAGCCGATATCAAATTTAGTTGTAGAGTGTAATTTTCAAATGTTGTATTCCACGACACCGCCACACGCGTCAAGACTGCAACGTGTGGGGGTCCTTTCAACGCTCTACGACTGCAGTTGCGCTTGAAATCTACCAGTCTGTTTACTTGTTAGTGCAATAACCACCCTTGAACTATCAAATGCTTCTTCCGTACCTTAATTGTACAAATGAACGGTTTAAAAGTAACTTTTACGAGCTACCTTTCACGACGGCAAATGCATTCTCTTCCATGTTAAGTTAGTGCAGAATCGTAAGACTCCTCCTGTGACCCTGCTGTTGGTCTTTTCCTCCCGATTATCTCTTTGCTTCATTGCCGTACGTTATTTTATTGCTCATCAACTTTGGTGACCCAGTTCTCACCTGGTTAAACAAATACAACTTGTAACTCAAATAGCAGAATAGCTGTATGTGCATAATCTTACACTGCGATCACACACGAGAGGTACGTTTCACCCTTTCCCGTTCCTGCGACGCACGTTGTTCGTCATCAAATTTTCTTCCGATTCCGTTCCGATGACATACGTATATGTAGAACTACGGCAAACGTTTTCACGCTCGTGCCGTTTATTTCTGCAATGTGTTTTGGGCCTGTGCAACGTTGTTACATTCAGGGCGATGTCCGACGTTTCGCTACATATGCTGGGAGCTTCTCCAGGAAGTTTCTATCAGAAGAAAAGCTATTTTTACTTGGTCGGTACCGAGGCCCCCAACAAGGCCACGTGGGAGGGCGTGGCAGAGTTTGGCGCCAGCTATCGTAGAGTGCGATTGTGTCGCTACAGTTCTCCGCGGTGAGTATGTCTTTAAAAATGACGGCGCTACTCCTCTCTAAACAAAATAAAACGCCGAGCCGCTTACGAGATTCGGTGGTGAATGGGACACCTGCCCTGCGACTTGCAGGCGTCTCAGGACGACGGGAAAGGGTCAAACCAACAACAGTGTGCCGAGTAAGATTTGACACCGCATTAGGTCTCAGCACTGCACTCATTTTAGAATGAAACCAGTCTGCTTTTCGTGCACTCTACAAATCAAAGACTTCATAAAACAGGGTACAAAATAAATGAAATGGATGCCCCTGGTCTTTATCAACAATTAGCAAAATCCAAAATACATCATACACCTCTTTATATATATAGAGTTTATTTACTGAATTACCACTCTGAAATATTGTTTATGAAAAATTATTTTGTCCGTTACAATTCATTTATACTCGAGTCATCAGATAGCAGACGCATCATGAATATTAACACTGTAGTGCTTCGGGTAGTGTATAGTACTTTTGCCAGGCTTCCATAAACATCCAAAACATGTGCATTAAAGTGCATAAAAAAACATGAAAATACAAATTGACATCGACAACGAAAACAAGACGTGTGCTTGGCATATTTTGGCACAAATCTAATTAAAAACACCTTCATGTCTCAATCTCTGCCTTTGAATTCATAACTTCTGTAAAATTCCTGACCGTGATGCTTAAGCATTAGTTAGTCCTTCTCAATTGACTGTATCCGACATTGCCAACTTAAGTGACCACCAAAGGTAATAAATACATTTCCATCTTCTCATAACTGTGCACAATAAATAGCAATTAACGTGTACTCCACCACCAACCACTGTCACCGGCCATCCCTACAATCGCATACCTGTCAACCCACACGGGTTACCCCATATTCTTGCACAGGGAAATTGAGTTTTCAGGTTTATACGGCGTACAGCCATTTCAATACGGGCAAAAAAATAGTCTATTTTAGATTTGAAGCTTTCGTGACTGCAAGGATTCATACTCTATGGTTTTTTCGGTAAAGTCACGTAGGTAAAAAAATTAAATAAATTAAAATTTCTTTAAATCACGACGATTTAATTTAGTTGTTTTCATTTATTTAATTTAAATTTTTACCAACGTGACTTTACCGAAAAAAACCCATAGAGTATATAGTCCTATTTGTTTGTGTTTCTCATCCTACAAAGTGACGGGACTTTGTAGGATGAACGCTGAGATTTGTAAGGGGCACGGGGTGACCAATACGATCCGACTCGGTCTGTAATCAGGTAGGGCACTGATAAGGAGTTGACAGGTATGCAATCGGTCATACAAAACTCTCACGCCCCCCCATTGCTACAGGCCCAGCTGTGTGCCACGTTTTTCTGAACCGGTTTCTTACAACTGCGCCAAAGCCTTTTCACGGTTTTTGCCGCACGGCTCTGCCACCAAGGTGTCTCCGGGATCGCGTGCCGCTGGGCGGCGCGATGCCTCCGACACGTTTCGCCGCTCTTGCTCTCACGGGGAGCTGCTTCTGGGAGCTGACATTCATTCGAAACGTCGAGACACCTTCAGCTAAGCAACACGCGGCACAACCCGATGGAGAGACCACATCACGTTTCTATGAATATTAGAAATTGTTTTGCTTCTGCCGATTGGTTTTGCTCAATGAAGACCAAAAACAATTATTATAATAATCAACCCAAAAACAACTCGCGTGTCGTTTTCATTCATTTGGTCATCATCTTTAGGTCACTTACTGCCCTGCAGCGGTTTGGCCAGCGTGAAGTTCTCTTTAACAGGGGCAAGTGTGCTCGGGACGAACTCGCACGTACAACACTCACTGGCAACCTGAACCAACGGCTCTTCCGACATCAAAAATAAAACAGGAAAAGCTACGCTTTATGTACAAAGACCCCAGTTTATCCGTAGAGGCTACCGCAGGAGCATGTGAAGGCTGGCACGGTGCACAAGGGAACGGTGCGGCACAGGGCTGAACGCACCCAGGGCCGCCTTTGTCTTCCCCGTGCCGATGATCACACACACACACCTCGCCGGGACGGGTTCAACACCCATTCCACATTTCCAGGATTTAAAACACGTGGATCAGCAAACAGCACGCTAACCCTCTGCGGTATCGCTCCCCCATTTACGCCTAACACACACGCAGACTTACAGGGGTCTTAAAAAAGAGTCAAACCTCATCACACTCGATTATGAACTTTAGGCACGCAGGACACAAAGGGAGAGACGCCTACACGTGCCCTCTGTAGGTGGGTATGTTACATAGCAGCTTCACTCAAACTGCTATGTACACACCCACCTACATGCCCTCTATATGTGGCTATGTACATAGCAGCTTCACTCAAACTGCTATGTACACACCCACCTACATGCCCTCTGTAGGTGGCTGTGTAACATAGCAGCTTCCCTCAAGCTGCTATATAAACACCCACCTACATGCCCTCTATATGTGGCTATGTACATAGCAGCTTCACGCAAGCTGCTATATAAACACCCACCTACATGCCCTCTATATGTGGCTATGTACATAGCAGCTTCACGCAAGCTGATGCCGCAACCCTAACATTCTGCAATTCAACCTCCCCTTCCCCCCCACCGCCCCCCACTGAAAGGTGTGGACCAGAACAAGAACCCTAAGTGCTCACAATCACTTGCTTCCCAGCAGTTGCCTTGTGCGATACATTATTGCTGGGCAGTGCAGGTAGTACCAATACAATATCACCTGTGGACATTGCATATATAAATATCACTCCCACTGGGCATCACTCAAGAGCCAAATGCCTTGGTGGTAGTAGGATTCGGCATCCAGACATTTCCTCCGAAGACATAGTAGGAGAATAACAGGTGTTTTTTTTTCACAGCCGATATCGAATAAATAGAATTCATCACGGAAGGCTTTTACTATCGATCCTATTCATCGCTTAGATTACGTAAATGTGTCGTACACCAACGTTCGTTTCTCGGAATGCTGGTCGTCGTGATCACCGGCGAAACGTCGTAAACTCAAATTGTAAATGCTGTGGGTTTGCTCTCCAACACACCGGTGGGCTGAAGTAAAACTTAAAACGAAACTTTTTCTTGTGCCAGGTTAAGGCCCACGGAGCTCTTTTTCAGAAGCGACCTGGCCACAAATGATAGCTCAACGCAGTGGGTCATTATGTGGAAACATATAGCGGTCGAATACTCTAAATGCATGTTATTTCTAAATGTGGAGGAAAAAAACCAGAGGGGCCAGAGAAAAATCCACGCAAACTCCAAATATACAGCAGCAGCAGGCGTCAGGGTCGGGATCAAACCCGAGACCTCCTGTATACCAGGCGAGGCAGTTAACGTCTCTTCACCGAGGTGCCCTAGTAGTAACTATAATTGGCACATCCTGTTCACGTGACAACCTTTACTGATTGGCTGTGTCGGGTGGAATTGGGTGTATGACACATTCACATTTACACGATCCGACAAAAAAAAACGTCACCGTAAATTAAGTGGAGTTGACGGGCCACTATGGTGTCCCCCAGACCAATATCTAGTCAGAAACGTGTGGGCTTCAAATGGGAGTCAAAACCCTGGACTGGTAACGGCTTCGTTGAGCCTCATCAGCCGGGCATGGACCGCTAAAGTGAGAGCCACTGGAAGCCTCGGCATCACATCACAAGTGCAAGGCTTGCTCGCGTTGCGTTCAGAGCTGGTGCAAGGGCACAACAAAAAAGCCACTCGCGCACATTCGTCAAGAACGCAGCGGAGAGAGATGCTGTGAACAAGAACCATTTCGCGGGAATGTCACCGATTATCCCCTTTTAAAGGCCACAGTGCTATTGACGGACGCGTTTTCGTTCTGCATCCTCTGTGGGTGAACCCGTGAGTGACACTTAGTTGTAATTTCACACACGCAATCATTCTGAACAGCTACAGCTGGCTACGAGTTAACTCCTAACTGCACGAGTAATGCTACAATTAGCCATGTCCTGTTGGGCTACAGCCACACACCTTTGCTTTTGGGGAGACAATGGCTCAGACTTGAAATTGCTTTATAAAAGTCATCAAATTTTATAAGGTCATATTTACTCTATGGTGGTTTCTTAAACTTCAACAATTTGACAAGTTTCTTAATGGCCTCGAGGCCATTATATGATTACAAAATATAAAAACAAAAATATACCGATTTTTTTTAGTTGATAAATTATACCAGTTCCAAATAACTTTGGGTCTAATGCAATGGCTTAGAATCACTGTTGTTCACTTAAGGGTCTCAGAGAATCTCCCTTTTCAATATCATCTCATCTTCAACGTCATGGGCAGCGCGGCACAAGAGCTCAGCCCGACTTTCCCCAATGCGTTGGTGAACACACGCATGCACACGCGCACTGTTTAGAACGGCGATCTACGCGCGCGCGTCCACGTGTGTTCGGGATAAGGATTTGCATTTACAGGATGCTTAACTATCTCAAGCAACTCGAAAGTGCCTAACATCACCATCTCACCTCAACCGTTCCAATACCCTTCTGCAAGTCTAGCCAATGGGAGTAAATTGATCAAATTTGAACACATTACATTTTTTTTATTCTACCCATTCTACCCTGGGGCCGCCCCCCGATCTGGAGGCAGTCGTCGCGATGGTTCTCAGCAGGCGGGGAGGTGCTGGCGCAGGACGTCGCGCGAGGCCGGCGGGATCCTGTCGGGGAAGCGCACGGAGAAGTCGACGACAAGGTCGCCGCGGCGCGAGGGAGCGCGCGGGAAGGGCAGCCCCTCGCCCGCCACGCGCCGCGTCAGGCCCGGGCGCACCACCTCCGTCATGGAGAGCGACAGCTTGCGCCCGTCCAGCGTGGGCACCTTCACCGAGCAGCCGCACAGCGCCTGCCCATCGACACGCACACCACACGCACGGAGATTAAGATGACGATTCGCTCCCCGACAGCTTTCCTTACAGCGGAGTTACTCACTCGTTTTCAGAGGGCGGCCACTTCGTCGATAAGACATCATCGGTGTGTGAGGGCCACCACACGTTTCAAACCATTGGGGTTTGACAACAGCACAATGATGATGATGATGGGGAGCGGTGTTGTCACTCTTTGTGCATTGTCAGGGGCCGCACTAAAGGCCACCAGGGGCCGCCAGTGGCCAGCAATGAAGAACACTGCTTTACACAGAACGTCAGGGGGTGAGGGGTGTTGGCGACCACCTATTATAGCCTTAAAAGACTGTTGGGGCAAGTGCTGCTAGCGAGCACTTATGAAGGCCGCCTTTGTCTCCCGAATAGCGATGTTTACATCAGGACCGGTTAAGATCATAGTCATTGGTGTCGGCCGTGAGCGGGAATCGAACTCGGGTCGCCGGGTTCGTAGCGCAGCACGGCACCCACAAAACCCCTAACGGCCACCTCGACGAAACGCAACGGCAACTTTCCGACAAAAGCGCGCGGCCCACCTCTCGGAGCGAGACGCTCGCCGTGTAGACGATGTCGGAGCCGTCTCGCCGGAACAGCGGGTGCGCCTTGTCCTTCACCACGAAGACGACGTCGGCCGGGATGTTGCGCCCGCCCTCGTCGCCCTCGCGCGGGAACGTGATCTTGGTGCCCTCCTTCCAGCCCTTCTTGATCTCCAGCGTCAGGATCTTCTCCTCGGTGCGCGTCGACCGCCCGTCGGGGTTGAGCCGGCGCCGCGAGATGCGCATGCGCTTCGTGCAGCCGCGGTAGATGTCCTCCAGCGACACCTGCAGCTCGTGCACCACGGGGGGGTCCTGCGTGCGCCGCCTGTGGTGCGACGGACCGCCGCCGCCGCCGCCGCCCAGACCGAATGCGGCGAACGGGTCGTCCGAGTCGATCTCCATCGCCTCGCCGCCGCCACCGCCGCCTCCGCCGCCGTTCATGCCCAGGCCCCCCAGGCCGCCGTGGCCGCCGTGGCCGCCGTGGCCGCCGCGACCCGAGCCGAAGAACATCTCGAAGGGGTCGGCGCCGCCGAAGAAGGCGCGGAAGGTGGCGTGCGGGTCGCCGTGGAAGGAGTACGTGAAGCTGCCGCCATTCTCGTTCATGGTGGGGCCGTTGCCGGGGTGCCTCGCGTTGCCCACGCCTCCTCCCTTGAGGCCTAGAGGGGAGCGAGGCGGACGCGGAGACGCGCGTTCGTCAATGCCTATCCCCGAGACGTGGCGGCATTTGCGCGCCGTACGATGTACGCGGCGCTGCCCTGTGGGCGGTTAGGGTTCGCAATCCGGCGGTCGCTGGTTCGTTCTCCGCGCGCGGCTGTTGAAACGACGGGACAATTTTCTAAAGTCGCCACCCAGCAATATACGTAGGTAGGCCGCAAATAAGTTAATCGGCAAGGCCGAGTGTGGTGGGGTCGAGTGTGGGTACCCCCACCTCTTCCAAGGAGTCTGATCAGTGATGGAAGAGTAGGCCAAATACCCACGAGTGGCTCTCTAGAACTCCCTGTAGTGGAGGACCTTCCTCCAGCACGAGCAAGTAATTTCTGGGCCGCACTTTTACGATTAATTCATGAAAAGGTGCCTCCCTGTTTAAAACATGTACTGAATGGTTGTCGTCGTCCTTCGCGGTACAGAGCCAGTGGTGGCAATTCCACATTCCCATGACTGGAGCCAGTCTCTCCATAACACTTCTATCAGTGGCTGGAGGGATCGCATGCTGAAGAGACCGACCCACAACCAGAATTTACACACACGGCAGATTAGTGAGTAAGATTTACTCGTGAAATGATAAAGGCGCAGTCTCTGCAACTGCTCGCTCACGCCACTGCTGGGCCTCCACTAGAGGGAGCTCTGGAGAGCCCCTTCGAGATGATACTTCACCTCCCCCCCCTCCACGCTTGCTGGCCACACGTTCCGCGAGAGGTGGCAGTGCCCACACCTTACCCCACCGCACGCCATCTACCGCTGAGTGGATGTATGTACGTACATGTTGAACTTCTTTCGCATACCGTACATGGCCAACCGTGCTCATTGGAGGTGCGGGTGGAGAGAAGTGGAGGGGCACGGAGGATTAAATCAACTTTTACCATTGTTTTAACTGCTGTGCCGAGAGATTTAACTGCCGACCTTTGGATTTCTATCCACTGCAAGGTCACCGTTCGCTTAACATTTCCGTGATAAATTTTAATTATTTAAAGAACCAAGAATATATTTCCGTGATACATAAACTATTTATTTTAAGTAAACTAAATTATTATTAAATTTACCAGGTAAGGCCCACTGAGCTATAAAGATCTTTCTCAGAAGCGACCTGCCCACAAATGATAGCTCAACGAAGCGGCTTATCGCGTGCACATTTATAGCAGCCAAAATACTCTAAACTCATGACGTCGATTTGTTATGTGGAGAGGACGTGGAGAAAAATCCTCGCGACCATGGGGAGGGAGAGAAACACCAGCAAACTCCAAATATACAACAGGCGTCGTCAGTCAGGTTCAGGATCGCACCCACAACCACCTGCACACCAGGCGAGGGAGTAACGTCTCTTAGCCACCGAGACAAACCCCACACGAAGCACGATCGCTTGCGGTGGTCTCTCTAACCCCGCTAGCTGGACGTGGGCCACCGATGGAAGATTACCGCCCGCCCCGATGTTTATTCTGCGAGCGAGGACACGTTGCCTTCTGATTTTTCCACGCGTGCGGTCGCGTCTCTGCCGCCCGCTCTCTAGAACGTTCGTTCCGGCCTGCGAAGAAGAGCCGTGACTAAATCCGCCCGCTCAGAGGCCCCATGACGAGCGGTTGCGCAACGCCAGCCATGAGATCACTGCTCGTTGGTCGGCTGCGGACCGTGTTTGGTGCTGCCACAGGTCAACAAAACAACCGCGGCGGTGGCTCATCCGGCGACTTGGGACACGGCTTGCGTTGATCGTATTTCCTTACTAAAACTCAAACTGTACTAAACTATTTTAAATGTTACCAGGTCAGGCTCACTGAGCTGTACAGCTCTTTTTCAGCAGTGACCTGGCCACAAATGATGGCTCAACGAAGTGGCTCATCACAAGGAAATTCATCGCAGCCAAATACTCTAAACGCGTCATGTTAATTATAAAAGTGAAGAGAAAAACCTGAGGACCCGGAGAAAAATTCACACGACCACCAGAAGAACAAGAAACTCCAAATATACAGGCATCAGGGTTTGTTAACGTCTCGCCGCTAGGGCACCTTACAGTTTGGGGAACAGACTCGTAACGTCTAAGGGACTTTTGCTGATATGTGAATATTATGGAAGTGCGGCCCTGCTGTACTGCTCATCAGTTAGTACACTGGCCGCCCAGCTCCGAGCCCGATACCAACCCACCTAGAAAGTAAACATGCAAAACATTACTATTACTCATAGCAAAACCCACATGAATATTGGTTGTATTATTTTTGGCTGTGGTGTAATGGCGAGCAGCCAACTGGACTTGCAATCCAGAGGTCACCGTTTTGACACATTTCTCAAATTCCACCCCGCCCCTCCCCCACATGCCCCCGTCCCTGTCTGCCCAGAAATATTTCACGCACCTCCGACCAGCACGGTCGGCCACGTACGGTGTGAAAGAAGTTCAATATGCGTGCAATGTAAATGGATTTGCCACAATCTAGAGTTGAAGTTTCCGTGACTGCAGGGATCCATACTTTCGGTAAAGTCACGTAGGTAGAAAATAAAATAAATGAAATCACGACGTCTCGGGCGCACCACAGGCATCCTCAGTCTATCGGCAGGTGGTCGCGTTGTGGCGAGGTGAAGTGTGGGGATGCCACCCTCTTTCAAGCCACCTGCCAGCCAGTGTGGAGCAGTCACCGACCCTCTGGAGGGGCTCTGAAGAGCTCTCTCTCTCTCTCGTGAGAGTCCATTCTGTCAGCACTGCCATGAGCATGCCATTGCAGGGCTGCACCTTTTTCATATTGCCGAGCAGTATAGCAAGTAAGCTTCTGATAGACACGTAGAGTTGAGTTTGAGTGGTATCCCCTGCAGACATCGTGCTGTCTGCACGCGTTAATTAAACCCGCGCTCATATAAGGAACTGACCTTAAGGAACTGACTCATATTCATCCTGAAAATAAGTCAAGAGACTCAGTGGGACTTTACCGATTAGATAAATTCTATTTACTGCAGGATGATATAGTTACTATGTTATTGTTGTTGTTGGACAATAATGATTACGAATTGGCATGTGTTGTGCACGCTTTCAGTTATGTATATACACATTTAATCACTGCTGTATTTAGTACCCATTTCCGTTGGTATTGGAGATCCGAAAACATCCTTGCGGAACTCTCAAGAGTCAGCAGAGTATCGCGTTGTGTCAGAAATCGCCCATGGAAACTGACACCTCATGTCTACTTCTGGAGTTGCCGCCTCAATATGCCTGCCTCTCTTACCCGGCACTAAACAGTACTTCTGCAATGCCGGCAAGGAGCGGTTTGCGAAATTGTCAGCCTTCCAATTATATTTAATTTCGCCCTCGGAGGTGGGTTAGTTAAACTATAAACTAAACAAATGTTTTTATTTTACCAGGTAAGGCCCACTGAGCTGAACGAAGTGGCTTATTACGCGGGAATTCATAGCAGCCAAATACTCGAAACGCGTGTTACTAAATGTGGAGGGAAAGGGTGGAGGACCCGGAGAAAAATCCACATGACCGCGGGGAGAGAGACACGCAAATTACAAATAAACAGTCGTCAGGGTCGGGATCGAACCCCCGACCTCCTGTACACCAGGCGAGGTAGTGAACATCTCCTAGCCACCGTGGCGAGACGTGAAAGTCAAATATGTTGCGATTTTTGTTGTTGACAGCATCATTGGTGACCATACTGAGACTATCAACTTGCCACACTTGAGAGAACCTGGTTTAGTCACGCATGGCTTCCATTATTTTTAAATGGAATGAGATCACTGGCTGGTGTGGTCGCATGACAGGACCACTTATAACTGTGCTGAACATAGACGCTGCACTTTTAAATAGACGTAATGACAGACCCGGTAGCATCATTACACATTTACAAATCTTGTACGAAAAGTTGTATGCTTATGCTTGTCTGCCTCTCATTTATATTTTGTTTAAAAAGGATGTATACGGCCATTTAGGCAAAACTTAATTTACAAAGCAGGACCAGAAACGTTTGGTAAATATAGAAGAAGTGATTTCCTGTGTTTCAGTCATCCAATAGACCTGTCGGAATGAACAAAAAGTCAAAAGTTTCTCTGCTCAAACCACCATTGGGCGACAGTGAACCAGTGGTGAAGAATTCCACATGTCTATGGCGTGAACCACTCGGCATGTTTACGTTGAATTTAAGAGATAAAATGAACCCGTCAACAAAGTTCACTGCCGTATTAAGTCTTGTGTTTATTACATAATTGGTGTCATCGCCGAGCAGTGCTCGTTAACAAACACATAGTGTACTTCGCTCACACTGCAAACACCGCAAGCACAGTCGTAACATTTGTTGGCACACGACGGCCGGCTCTTGAAGAGTCCAGTTTGACCTTGTGTGTGCGTGTGTGTGCGTGTGTGTGCGTGTGTGCGTGTGTGCGTGCAGGGAAGCGTACAAGCAATCTGGCTTCATATTCTTCATTACGTGCAGGCCAGAGAGGGAGGGTCCTAGTGGTCCATTGGGCCAGACGGGTCCCACAACCTCATTCCATACGGCCCCGCCAGCCACGCGAGGGCTTCAACGACACCCAAAGGTGGTGCCCAATGCGTGCACAAAAAGTTCCCGGCCTTATCCAGACCACCAGCTCCGAAGAACTGACCCGCACGTGCGGCCAAATTTGCCGTTCAGACCAACACCTCGTCGGGTTGAGAAAGTGTCGCCCCCCATCCCAACGGGGAGCTTTCAAACAAAGGGCCAACAACCACTTTGAAAACGGCCCGGCTAAATGGCATTCATCACTACAAGGATCTTAGCCTCACTAATTGGGCACTGGAGGGGAACATTTGAACGGGTAACACTTTCTAATTTGAGCGTGCTCAGTCACGTCTGTCGCTGCCAGCGCCCCTTTATGCTCAGGTCGACACACACGGTCACAGCTCCCTTTCGTGATTGTGAAAGGTTGCTCCTGCTCGCTGTACTGCGCCTGCTTTCACTCCAGTCGATGTTGTTAGTCGTGCGGG